CTGTCGTTTTATGATTTGGGCATCCTTAGTCCCTTAGGACACATACGACCAGGAGAATTGGAATTGGCTTTACTATAATATTATTTTTAAAGTATAATCAATTTACCCGACACCATAGAGGTAGGTCTTCAACCTCATATGAACAAATTTGTAAACTGATCCTTCCAACACTGATAGTCATTTGGTTTAATAGATCTGAGATCGAAGTAAACTCAGATCAGTTTGTATTAAAATTTTGTGACGACTTCCAGTGGATATTGGTGTAATTAGTAAGATTTCAAGAAGAGGGACATTTGTTGAGGCAAACAGGTTATTCAGCATGTACTTTTTAAGTGCAGAAGTAGAGAACATTAAAATAAAATGAACAAGCCTCCTGCAACGCTTGAGATTGCAAGATTTTTTCACCCAAACCAAAAGCAGATGTGCAAAAGTAGTTATTGATATACTAGAGAGAGATTGAAAAGTAAGGATAGATGAGAATTGAGATAAATAAAATACTGTGTTAAACATCCAGAGGTGCTATGACTATGGAAACACAATTGGTGTAGGGTGTAAGATGTAAGGTTACATAAGAATTTGGAGTATATCTTGATGTACCTTTGGGGTGTAGAAGAGGTGTTACCTGCACCATGAAGGTATTGGCTTGATTGGCTGAATGGGCCTTTCTTGTTCCCTGGTTTCTTATGTTTCTAAGAAAATCTATGTTCTGATCAGTCATGGTTAAATAATTGCTAAAACTCACTGTTCAATATGAAGAATTGGTCGTGACAATGGGCCTGCTGTTTACCAAGCAGTAAGTAGAAACCGGGTTGTTAGTCGATTTGTCGGATCGCTTTTCTGGGGGTAAAAATTCCTTCAAAAAAAATAATAATAATAATAAATTGGTCACTTCAATTCGCTACTGTTTGTGGGACACTGCTGTGAGCAATTGGCTGCCGCGTTTCGCCCCCAAAATACAGTCAATTAACTTTACAGTATATTCTGTGAAGCGCTTTGAGACGTCTCGAAAACCTGATAAGGTGCTATATCAAATGCAAGGATTATTATTATTATAATACTTAGATGTAGCACAGAAGAAGTTTTTAAATATACAGTATTTTTCTGCCTCATTATTGAACCCAGGTTTCCAGCTTCTACATTGTTCGATAACACAGTCAAATGACCAAGCTTTCCCTTAGGCTTTTAAATGTTTCTTATTACTTTGAATGATAGCTACCAAATTTCACATTAACTTGAAAATACTTTAATGTAAGTGACTTAGCGTCAATCTGGGAACTCGATTCAATTATTTCTTGTTTATCATATCGATTTAGTATTGCAGGCAATATTTTGACGTACAATGAATGCCTAGGGTTTAAGTAAGAAAGAGCTGATCTTTTGTTAACGCCATATCATGTCAAAATGTCTCAAAGAGCTCCACAGGTAATTCCTCACTGGAGCTAAGGGGATTAAGGGGCATTCAAGATTCAGAAGGTAGTTGACATAGTAAACAGACAGTGACTTTTTCCCCTAGTAGGCCAACACTGTTTGAAGATTTAATGTTATAATCAAGGCTAAATAGTTTGAACTGGGCTAGAATTATTTTTTTCTTGTTGAGAGTAAAATAATTTTAGAATGCATTGTCTCAAAAATTCTTAAATGTGAAATTGATTGACTGATTTCAAGAAGTGGATGGAAAGACTGAAGGTTAAGGCAGGGATTAGGTGAGGTGGTCATACCAATTTTATTTGGGGGATTATTGGCCAGGACATCGATGAATGACAAGTGTGAATACATTTTTGCTGAAATTGACTTCTGCTGCATATTGATCTACTGTTGTATTGAATTTATGCTTATTCGGTGTAAAATTATATTGAACTGATTTGAATTCTTCAATATAACTTATTTCAGGAACGTGGTACCCACTTTGGCAGGCAGCATGAGATCCTTCAAGGAGTTAGTCAAGCACCACTTAGGCTTTGCTGTAGTATAATTATGACTGAGGCCAGTGTGGAGCAATTTGATAAGTGTAAAAGTTATTGGCATTCCACCTAAGGTTTGTTAAATTTGTTTTAAAGTTGCATGATACGGTTAAAAATCAGAACTCTATAAATGCACCTCTGTCTACCCATTGCAAAAAACACCTGGGTATCTGTGTATAGTGGCAGGTCATTTGTGCTGAGCTCAGGGCAAGGTTGGTACTGGCAGTTCTAACTAACATTACGTTAATTGACTCCTGCAGTATAACTGTACCATAAGTGAATATTTGTTTGCCTGGTTTAAAATTTTGTCACATATACATACCATGTTACACAGTTGGTTTCTGTATGTTGATTCTACAGTCTACTAAATATAGCAAAGCAAAAGGAATTGTGTGAAACGTTTGATTCCTTTGACAATCTTTGTCAGTTGAAAGAGTATAAAAAAACACAAAACAAAATATTTGGAATCTTAACTATTTTCAAATAAATAAATATTCTGGCAAACCGATTGTTCGCTTAAAAGGAACCAACTAAAATCATGTTAACAGGAACCAACTAAAATCACATTAACAGGAAATGAATGGGAAACAAAATATATATTAATTGATGTGTAAATTTCAGAAGGGTTTAGGATAACTAGGTATGTAGAGGACACTGTGGATCAGAGGGTTTGAGGATTTCAGATCTTTGCTGTAGGTATATTATTCATTGGAAAATGTTGTGTTGGGCTCCTCATAGCGGATTACAGATGATACACTGTTGGAAGGATCTCAACAAAACCCAACAAGAGTGAGAGGAAAAATCAGTAGGTCACTCTAATCAATTCTAGTTCAAGGCATCTAGGTACAGAGGAGCAAAGGTTTGGAATAGGTTTCTGCACTTCTGAACAGGTGGTGATATATAGAATAGGGAAACTGAAAGGTCAACAATTCTGTACATGGTGACATTGTGAAGATTAATCACCAAAACTCCTGAGCTGACTAATTAGTGATTTTCTGTATTATCCATATATCTATCGGTACCAAATTGGAATTACAGTAGCACAGCACAATTTTATATTGATACAGCTTGCAAGATGGCTACAACTGCTCAGAAATGGCCATATCTAGACAAACATCTAGATACTGTGATTGGATCCTCGCACTCAGCCCAATCACATTTAAAATGTTTCTCACAGGTTTCCTTTGGCGATCAGGAGAAGTATTTACTGAAGCTGTTTCCTGACACAGAATATACTTACTTTGCATGTTGTATAACATAAGATTGGAGATGTTGATTGCATAGGTTGGTGAAAGTACAGTACTACTAGCAAGGTCTTTCTTTAGGTTCAATATTATACAATGCTGCGACCAGAGATGTAAATCTCTGGTAACAATTGCCAAGCACAATACAGTGAAATTCAATTAATTGAATCTAGGATAATTAAATAGTTCGGTTCATTGAATAGAATTTAGAAATCCCAAACCATTTGCATGCCCAATCTAAGAATATAGATCAGTTAATTGAATAATGAATATATAAATAAATTTGTTTATTGAACAATTTTTCCCCGTGACCATTCCTATACAAAACAATTAATCTAAATCTGGATAAACACAATGTCCCAAATCACTACCTTCTGTAGTGCAGCGAATGTTCTCTCCTTCCCTTGGCCATACTCCCCAGAGGCGTCACTGTCAATTGGTGGGTTAGTCATATGTGAGTGAGGATGCATCTGATTGCAGTCGGAGGTTGTTCAGCTCGAGCTCTGGGAGAATGGTGTCCTCTTATATTTAGTCCTGTTATATGAATAGTTTGGGTTATTGAATAAAATTTGCTGTCAAATTGCGTATTCAACTTCTACAGAATTTTACTGTATTCCAAATTTGGAATTGGAGAGAACCCAAAAATTGGTGATTCAGCAATTTGAAATGTTATCAGCTCAGCTCCAGCCTCTCTGACTCTGGATCCAAACTCAGCCCATCCTGAGCTTGTCCTGTCTCCAAAAGTGACCAGTGTGCGACACAGAGACAAACTGCAGAAGCTCCTCAACACCCTGGAGAGGTTTGATCACTGGGCCTGTGGCCTGGGATCTGAGAGATTCACATCAGGGAGATACAATTGGGAGGTGCAGGAGGGGAACAAGGCTGTGTGCGAGTGGCCAGAGATTCCATCAACAGGAAAGGAAGAATCAAAGTTGGCCTGAGAAAAGGGAATATTCACTAGGGTTGGTCCTCACTGCTGACCGGCCTGTCCCTGGGAGTGAAAGATCAGAGTGTGCCTTCTTTTTGATCAACCGGGTGTTCTGACATCACCCTGTTTGGGAGTGTCCAGGCCAAGCTGGGAATTCCATGCATTCCACCTACACATGGAAATTTCAGAGATAGATGGTTGGAATGGAGTGCACACTCTCTTCCTGGAGGGATTCATCCGGCAATGGAGCAAGCCCTCCATGGCCTTGCTCCTCCCTACCTCCATGACCTCCTAACCCCCTACCAACTTGACTGCTCCCTCCACTCAGCGGTCTCCGGTCTGCTTCACGCCCCACCATTGGAGGGTGGGCCTTCAAGCTCTCTGCCCCCACCATCTGGAACTCGATCCTGCAGAAATATAATTTTTCTGAGTTTTAGCTTTTTTGTTCAATGGGTTTGAACTTTTTGTTTAGATTTTAAAACTAGCAGCCTTCCCTCAAAATAAGTACTGTAATTACTCTGTGTTGTAAAAATCACTTTTAACGTATGTCCAGTATTGTTAAAGGTTTACATTTTCTAGATTTGAATGAAAGTAGGAGCCGCACTTTGAATTTTATGGGTGTATCTGTCTGCCCTATTTGACTTTACCTTCAATGAGATTCACACTGCACCCGTTACCTATCTATTATCAGATTTTTATTTCTCTTACTGTTTTTAACCACATTGTTCTATTTTGATGCATCTTTTATTTTGTCTTTTTATCCATCTGTGTTTATCCCATAAGAAAACGATCTCAAGTATATTTGTTTAAAGTGGGGATTCATTTCAGTCCATGGTGATCAGTTTCTGACTATTTTGTGTTTTACAGGTGATTAGCTCTATGAGCTCGGTAGCAGAACACTGCCTTCCCTCTTTACTTCGCACCTTGTTTGATTGGTATAGGCGACAGAATGGAACAGAAGATGAGTCTTATGAATACAGGCCACGGTCAAGTACAAAATCCAAAGTGTAAGTGATTTAGAAATTAGATATGTATAAGAGTGGCTTGAATAGGCAAGCAACTGAAAATATTCTTTTTTCCACAAATCTCTTGTCTGTGCATCTAAACTGTGTGTTCAATGCCACTCCCAATGGCAATTAACCAAGAATGGGAACATGTCATGTGAGGAATCGTGGGAGCAAACCCACATCCAAAACAATCATCTTGCTTAATGGAAAGATTGCCTCACAGGATTCTTATTCAATAGAAAACACAGTAAATGACTGCTATTTTCTCCTAAAAAAAAGCGCTTCACAGATTATATCGTAAAGTGAACTAACTGTATATTTTGTGAGCGAAATATAATTATTAAATAATGTGTAAACATTTTAGCGAAGTTCAATAAACTCCCTCAAAACAAAAAAGGAGGCTTAGAATTCATATGCACTTTATTGCAGACTTTTATGATATGGCTTTGGTTATATCAGAATTGTGCATTTAATTATTATAAACTGGGAAATCCTTGTTTGTAATTTTAGAGAAGATATTTTCCACTTAGCCTTTATACCTGTTTATTTCATGGAGAAATATGCAATGTACAGACAGCTGCCTGGATTCCCTTAAAAGTTACAGGGTTAGAATTACAGGATGAATCACTGTTGAATACTCTTGTATCCCTGTAACTAGAAACAGTAGGTCTAGCTAGAGAAAGTAAAGGTAGCATGCTGACTTGCTAATAAATTAATCTCTGTGCAGTAGTTTGTTTGGAGGAGGCTGTAAGTCAAATACACTATAGTTTGTATTAATGAGGTGCTGTTTATGTAATATATTCTGAATCTGTCACTTCAGCAGTTTTACTTAATGGAAATGGCAGTAAAAACTCCACTTACCATTCCTCTGATATGTAGAGGTTTTTCTTATTTTTGAAGGTACCTTATCACTACTGTTTTAAATAGTGTTACAATAAAACAAATGCACATTTTCAGACTTTTTTTAGCTTTTCACTTTCTTGCACATTTTGATTCTGATCAGCAGGCAAGTACTTTCTTTGCCACTATTTAGAATATAAAGAAGTTAAAATGATAAAATAAAGTGGAATTACATTAAATGTTACAGCATGAAAACAGGCCAATCGGCCCAACTAGTCTGTGCCAGTGTTTATACATGAGCCTCTATGCTGCCTAATTCCAAAACCCTCTGTTTCCTTCTTCCTCATGAAGATGTCAGATTTCATCTTAAATAGGTTAATACTTTCTGCTTCATCCACAGCTTCCAACACTAGATTCCACATTCTTACTGCCCATGTAAAGATGTTTCTCCTAAATTCCTTTTTAAATCTGCTACTGGCTATCTTATATTTAGTTTATGCACATGCTGTAACATTGAAAGTAAATGTATATAATTCACATTCTGTTACCTTGAGGTCCTAGCTCTAACATAGATTCCTCTGTGAAGGTAGATGGGTAGGCTAGGTAGATCAGTGGTATGCCACTGCTTCAAACTCTTGCTTTCCTCCCCCCCCCCCCCCCACCGACACCACAAACCTTTGTTGATGCAAAACCTTATAACCAGAGGTATTTTGAGATATGTGAATATTACTTCAAAATTACCCAAGAAGATAAAAACCAGTGAGCATGAAGTAGATTAGTGACAAGTACTCCAGGGCATACATCAGCAAAACTTTGTTTTTCAATGAGTCAGAAGTATATGGAATCATCTACCCAAAAAGGTGGAATTACTCATTGTACCATTAATTGTCAAATGGAAAGTTACTGTACTGGAAAAGTGAGTTTTAGTAAGAAAAATAATCTTTTATGTATGACATATTCCTTTTGTATATAATCCATCACAACTATTTAAGTCTTCAGTTTTATGGTGCCTGTTTTAATAGAATGCAATAGTTCACCTCAGGAGCCTGCTAAGATATTCAAATGTTTGCCTGTAGGATTTCCTCCACATTCCCATTTCACTGCAGTTTATTTTGTAACTGATTAAATTAAAATATCTAGATGGTGGCTGTGCATATAATATATGTAACAGGTCCAATTATGGGAAGAGCAAAAATAGCTAATACATCGAGCAAAAATAGCTAATACAATTTTCTCTTCTTTCCAGGGATGAACAACATCGTGACAGAGATTATTTGCTCGAGCGAAGAGACTTAGCTATAGATTTCATTTTTTGTTTAGTTTTAATAGAGGTTTTAAAACAGGTAAGCTATCAAATATTGTCATGTTTGTTTTGAATCTATAGCAGATGTTATCAGTGGTTTATAAAGTATGGTCATGCCGTTGCTTCTGGGTAAGGGAGCAGACTATCTAGTGACTTACTGGCAATTATACATTTGTAGATGTAGGGTGAAGAAACCATCATCCTTGGCTGTAGATTAGCCAAATAGCTCAAACATTAGGAATGACCACTTGGGTGATGGTGCCTATGGAATGTACCCCAATGGAAAGAAAAGGCCAACACTTATGAAGAGAAGAAAATTGGTGTAAAAAAAATCCAAGAATGGTGATTCTTTCACAAATCGCAGAAAAATGGAAATGTTGTGCTGAAAAAAATCTAAATTGTTGGAGCTACTGCTGAATCCTCACCCTCTTGGGCCTATCGAAGTGAAGATACTGCAGCTGTGCATTCTTGTCCCACTGCAGCTTAACTGTTTCCATGGCAGTAGGACAGATGCAGTAAACTCATGACTGAGGCACTCGTACAATCTGTGTCAGAATCTGCTGCCCTTACCATTTTCATTTGATTTAAACCTATTAATTTTACTTAAGTAAAAATCTGAGTAAATGTAAGCATATTGATGTTTTAAAACTAGATTATTACTCCTCGTAAAAGAATTCAGCGACACATTTTGGAAAAGTTAATTGCTGGGGCTGTTGAGAAATAAAATGATGAATGTTTTCCGACTCTACTTGACATGTACTGGTGGCCTTTGAAAGAATTATAATACAGCATGTGGGTAGAAATGTGGGGATATTCTTCATCACTTGATAAACTTCTGCCTAGATATGCAATCTATACAGCATAATCTTTGTCCGAGTTAATTAGGATGCTATTTGCATCAGACTGAGCTAGTAAATTAGTGTCTTTAACATTTTATTAAAAAATCAGCCCAACTGGGTAAATTCTTGGTTGAACCACATGGAATGCAGTTATGTTGTAAGGTACAGTGCATTTACATAATCATTTCACTGTACATTTTTTTGCACAACTAAGGTCTCAGGGATTGATATACCTTTTCCGCTCAGGTTTTCATATTTACAAGGCTAATGTGATTTGCAAGGAGTCATATCACTAATGAGTTGGAATGTGATTTGCAGGGAGTCATACCAGTAATGAGTTTTTTTTCACACTATTTCTCGAGTGAACTGAGGCGATGGAGTAGCATACTGTTGTTTCATTTCTGGGAACAGCTTTTGAATATTGCTGAATTTATAGGATTAAAATCTTCCATAACTGGTAGCCTAAAGATTCACAAGACTGTGTGTGTGTGTGTGTGTGTGTGTGTGTCTCTCCTCTCTCTCTCTCTCCCCCCCGCCTGTGTGTGCGCTGCTGTTCAAAAAACATAATAATCGTTTCTCTGTCTGTCCCATTTTCTTTCTTGTAGCTTCTTATTTCGCTGTTCCTTTCTCTGTCTCACTTGTTATCTTTAACTTTCATTTTCTCTTTCCTTTGTTTTGCTGTTCTCTTCTGTGATTTATTATTATCATTTTACTATTTTCATGATTTTTTTTTCTTTCCTGTTATTTGTTTGTATTTCCATCTCTTTTTTTCCTCATTTTATTGACTTGGTGATTGTACAATTCAATGTGAAGTTCCATATCCTGCTATAACTCTAAACAGTTCACCAACAGGCTTGTATATTTAATGCAATACGAAATACAAAATATTACATTTGTTTAGCACCTGTCACGTCGGGATGACGTCCCAAGGCGCTGAAGAAAGTTGATTTAATAAATAAAAGAGGCTGATTTAACTATACTACAACAACACATGAGAAATAGAATTTTTCTCTTGAGTTTTACCAGAAAGATCAATATGAATGTTTTACTTTTCATCATTTACTCTAAAGCAACTTTTCCAGCCAGTTGGTGAACAAGTGTTTGCTGCAGTTGAATAACCTGTTAGCATGTGAAGAATGGACAATTGGGTGAGGTTTGAGAGGGCTATTAATAGCCATGAAACAATAGCCAATGAAGGATAGCTAACACCTTTAGGAGAGGAGGGTGGTATAAAATGGGTTAAAAAAATAGTACGTTCACATGTTGAAGTTGAGATATTATGGTTTGCTGGGGGCGGGAGTGGAGGGACACAGAGACCAAAGTGTTAGCAAATAAAAAATCTGGGTTATATGCATCCTAAAAACACAAAGAACATAACACACTTATTTATTAATTATTCCACAGATTCCTCTTCATCCAGTGCCAGATGCTTTAGTACATGAAGTTCTGAACTTGGCTTTTAAGCACTTTAAACACAGGGAAGGGTAAGTTGGCTATTTGCCCTTTTTCCAATTGCACTAACCACAATGTGAAAAGGTATGTTCTTGCTTAGTGAAATGTAGTTTTGAGCTACTCTGCAAATTCTTTCTTTGTGTCAAAATAATCATGATATTAAAACCCTTGAACCAGATGAGGTAAATGATTGTCTTAATGGCCTGTGGAATTTTATTGGTCTTCCACAAGCTTATATGGACCTTTCAATTAGAGATTGCATGTTGAACCTTGGGTGGGTGTGGTAAACACAATCAGAGCGGGACAGTTCTCCTTTGCCGCTGGATAACCTGGCTGCACTTAACTATGTTGAGATAAGCCGCTGGGTGTCGTGTGACAACATTCGGATGCTGAAAAAAATTGACTTCTTGGCAATAATACATACTGTACTGTATAAGGAAACATTTTCTTTCTAGCGTGGTAAACTGATCAGTCCATTGCATTTTCTGAAAATTGCTAAAACAATGACTCACAGCATGAGGTGTTCTTTACTGATGCTACAAATCGCAATGTTTGCACTTGTGAAAGCGGTCACAAGCTCAGGAAGGTGAAAAGACATCATATTGGCATGACACTCTAGACACACTATTCACTCATCTAATTTCATGCTTCCATTCCCCTTGCCTATAAAACAGTCATTCTTTCTTCCACCAGTTGGCCAGTACGAAGAGCTTTATACTTCACTGCTCTCGTGTTTCATTGATTGCTCTTTCAATGATCTATTTTTCTTTGAACCTAGTTTTCACATTGTGTGTGGATATCATCATTCTCCCCACTAAACCACATTTTAGTGCTTGGTTGAGCAAGGCTTTTTTTCTCCTCAGCTATTATCACTTTATTTTAAAAGCTTTAGAAACTGTAGAACTGAAAATCTATCAAATCTCAGAATAGGTTTTGTTCAGCTTACACAATATTTTTAAGCAGGTTTTTAAAAAATGCCATTATCCATCAGGCTGAGAAATGTATCTCATTGTACACATCAAATCTACATTCAGATAGATTTCTTGAGCGGATGAAAATCTTAAATTCTATTGGTGAGACATAGTTAATAATCTGCATTAATCTAAGTTTATCACTGAAAATCTATCAGAATTATAAAAAAAAAGTTGTCTTCGGGTCATTAAATTTTTTATTTAGTTTTTAAAAAGCTATTACCAAGGAATCACAATATGTAAGGTGAACTTGCAAATTAGAATGGTGGACAGTTCACGATGCAGTCATAGTTGTGAGTCATATGCTAAATAATTTATTCTTGTGATTAGTAACATCATAGGGGGTTGAGACCTTTGCTCCATTAACCTACCCAAAAAATGTACCAAAAGATAATTTTTGAAGAAGTGTTGTTTTTCAGTTTTAGACGGTTACATTTAATGTAGTTGGTCAGCACACCCCAGTAAGTTTGTAAGGGCAATGAACTGTTATGGCTTTTTTCATTTGAGTTTAATTGTTGATCCTTTAGTTTCTTGTTGAATGAACTTGAACAAACTTCATCTCTCAAATTTTGCACTGAAATAATGACCCATCAGTTTATATACACTTTGAGCCTTTGGATGCCATTCGAGTAAACTTCTTGTCATGGAAGACTATCTGTTTGGAGGATATAAGTTGAACCCATTTTATTAGTGAGTTGCATGCCCTGCTTGCCGATGGATCATGCTAACCAATTTGGTTCCCGATTGTGTAATATTTCAGACAGATCCTGTTTCTCTCCAAAGATAGTCTCCATTTCCATTTACGCCAAAAATCACAATCTCCTCATTTTATCTCTCTCCACAGAAATCCAACTTAGAGCATCCGTTTCATTGTGTGGATGCTTGTAGAACATTAGTGTACTGTGTGGATAGAATAAAACCATTCACAGTCGGTCAAATCAGTATTTGTTACGTACAGTTCCAAGGTTCAGTGCATGATCCGTGGGTATTGTATCTAAACAATATCTGGCTAAGTGCTTAATTGAGTGGATTCTTATTTCTCTCATTTCCTTTGCAGGAAATCTAGTTGCTCTTGTCAAGAGTAATCCATTTGTTATATGATTGGTATTCTTACATATACTTTATGTAGTTGACATCAGAAAGAGCAACAACAACATTATTACATTTATATAACGACTTTCAAGTTGGGAGGATGTCCCAAGGCGCTGGATAGACAGAGTTATGGACCTGAGCTGAGGGTCGGCGTGGGGGAGGTGGGAGGGCAGAGGGGGAAGCAGGGAAATCGAAAGCACGGTCGAAGAGGAGGGTCTGAAGGTGACGAGGGAGGGGGCGAGATGCAGGGACTGCAGGATGGAATTCCAGAGTAATTCTTGCAGATTTATGGAACATTTCTATTCAGATTCACCAGTTATAAGCAACCCAACTTTCTGGTGTCCCTGCAAGGGTAGCAGGTCTTTGTCTCCCTCTTCCATTTGATGGTTACCTTTGGGTTAGGCTCCAGCAGTGGTGGAAATTGCAGACTGAAAGAAAAAGATTCCCTATATTATAGGGCTGTCTTCTTCTGTGAAGATTGGTGCTCTGCATGCCAACTATAACCTAGCAAATTCAATGTTTTTTCAGCTATTTTGCTGTACAATAATATAGTGCTCCTAGACCATCCTGCATGAAGGGCACTGTAAAATTCAAGCTGTTGTTTTGCTGTTCTGGAATTGTATGATGATAGAATGAAATAAAATATTCAGAAACCTTGTTAAACTTCTCAGTTATTTTGGGAACTATAGGAAATTGTGGATGATGATTAAAATACCAATACTAATGCTGAAAATGTTTTGGGAATTTACTGTGCAACTGCTGTATGCAAAGCAGTTGGCAGTAAAATGTTGGTCTGCAGCGTAGTGAACAATATGTAAATAAAATGCAAATCTTTGCCAAGTTTGAGGCTGCGACAATGTTGTAATGTTTTGGAGACCTTTCTGCATTACACTTTTGATGATCCATGCATTGTATTGTGAAAAAATGAAAGCAAATGCATTTTCTGTGTTCATGATTTGCCATTACCTCCTAAATTCATCTTGGTTCCTTCCTAGACTAGTGGTTCTCCTTCTGCAAGGGAACAGTCTACTCTGAAAAATATCTGCACAAAATTAATAACAGCATTAATAAGTGACAGGTGGAGAGGTGTTACATGCTTTTGTTATATTCTTATATGAAACTGTGATGATGTGAAAGTCAAAACTTCTAGATTGCTGTTTGATGTTCATTTTATAGGATCTAGGTTTGCTTTTATTAAGCACAGTTTTATTTTAGTTGTTTCTCGTTTGTGCCTCTCATAGGTATTCAGGACCCAACACTGGGAACATGCACATTATTGCAGATTTGTATGCAGAAGTGATTGGAATTCTTGCACAATCAAAGTAAGTGATCGTTCCATTGCTATATAGCCTCGAGGTTACAGCTGTGTCAGTACTTCTGTTCTATGACCAAAAGAGATAGCGATCTCTTATGGGGGGTATTTTAGAACCGCATTAAAATATCCTTGCTAGTAAAACAACTTTTGATTACCCACTAAATTGCATGTTAGTATTATTGTATAATACAGAAAACAAAAGATAACATAAGAAGATACAAGCAGCCTGTGTGACTCAGTGAGAAAGGCAGGGATGTGAGGGGGAAGAAGACTGCAATAGCTTTGGAAATGTATTATCTTGTTTGAGGGGAAACCCTCACTTGCACTTAGCCAGAACAATGTTTTATATTGTTTTATCTAATGTGTAGTTAACCTTTCCATGAACATAAGAATGAGGAACAGGAGTTAGCAATTTAGCCCATGGAGTGCAATGTGCCACAGAAGATCCCGTGCTGTATTCCAAGTGCATTCTATTATATTTATTATATTGTAATTGCATTCTCACCAATTCCATACACAACCTCAACAGTATTTCCATGCTTTTAAATTCAGTGCCTCTAGCTAAGAACCCATTTGCCCTGCTAGTGACTATTTGTACCTGTGTCTTTAATTTTTTTAATACTACACCCACGTCCCTTTATTCAGCTCGTCCCTCTAGGACCTCCCATTGAATTTACGTTTCCATCCCTTATTTTTACTGCAAAAATCTATATTTTACTACTTTGAATTATATTTGCCAAATATATACTTAACAACTACTCACCTAATCTTATCAGTATCTGTTTTAAAACTTTTACACTATTCTTCTGAGTTCACCAAACAAAGAAGCTTTGTGTTGTCTGCAAACTTGGATATATTCCCTTCTTGCCCAACTCAGAATTGTTGTTACAGTGAACAGCTGCAGGACTAGTAAACGATCCCTGGGGAATTTGCTTGTCACAGCCTGGCAGCCCAAAGACATGTATCTGTTCTGTTAAGCAAGCCTAGGTGTGTTCATTGTGTGTTGTTTTGGTCCTTGAATTCTTTCCTGTTTCAGGTTTCAGGCAGTAAGGAAAAAGTTTATGACAGAGCTGAAAGAACTTCGTCACAAAGAGCAGAGTCCTCATATAGTGCAAAGCATCATCAGTCTAATCATGGGAATGAAGTTCTTCCGGGTCAAAATGTATCCCGTGGAAGATTTTGAAGCTTCATTTCAGTTTATGCAGGTAATCTGCATGTTTATTGGAAACATTTTAAGATTTACTTAATAATGCAGAAATGCCCAAGTATTGATATTTAAGTATGATTAAACAATATTGATGTTTCAAGATTACAGTAAAATCCTGATACCTCGACCCTGGCTCAACTTGTCACGACCCATAAGTCATCACGCTTTCAATATCCCAGCAGTAATTTATGTATTTATACATATGCCTGACTCACCACTTCAGATAATTTGTCCCTGAGCCCTTTTCCTCTGGAGTGCCGAATTATCAGGAGTTCACTATATATCAATTTTGCAGATGTTTTTATTTTACAGGTAATGCAATTTGGGAAGAAACTAGTTTTTTAAGAAATTGAATCGTCTTCCCTCAGTTCCAGACGTCACAGACTTATCGAAGGGCTTGGTTCCATATACTGTCCACTGTACCTCACCTTCATGGTGATCCCCACACAGATTTTATCAGCCATTTCAAGAGTTGCTTTGATAGAAGCCAAGGAGGAGGTTGCCAGCTAGTCATAGGCCAGGGAATGGGGTGAGATATTGGAAGACCAAAACAGAGAAAAATAAATTTAGAATTAGGCAGCCAAATAAAAGCAAAAACAGGAATGCATTGAAAAGAAAAATTAACTAGGAAACACAGAGACAACTGAGAAAATTAAGACAAAGAGTAATTGGGGGAAGAAAAAATAGTTTGTCTTGAAGTAAATTTTAGGAAAAGCCTTTGGCTTTCTCACTGTTGGATTTTAATGATGTATACCCACATGTGTCCAAGATCGTTACTCTGAACTGATGACTCAAAGGCATCCAGGAATGATCTGGTGGGAAGAGGTCTGATCTTCCTCTTCCCACCTCATCACACAAGAAAACTAATTGGCAGCTAAGTTCCCCATCACCCACCAGTATAGCTGCCTTTGTTCACAGCATTGGTGTCCTATGGACCCTTGCTAACCAAAAGTGTTATGCACCCAATTCGAAATATTGACTAGCTGGCTTCCTGTGTTTAAAAATAGCCAAATTTAGGGTCATCAGGTAGCTTCCTGCACATTGCACCCATGCTCAGACCTGAATTAGTCACTACTGATTGGAACTTCAGTGCTTCAGCGCAACATTATTTGTAGTCTGCTCAAAATCTACCCCAGCTGTCTCTGGGAATCTTAAGTGTATAATCTATATTTTAGACAATAGTTTTTCAGGTGTACTGCAACTTTTCACTTTGTGAAAACCAAGGATGCTAATTGTTTGTGTAATCTTGCCCATTTAAATGCTTAAATCTTTGCTTTTGGATGTGGGGGGTGGATTGCTAAATCCCCTAGTATCTTTGTGTTTACTTCATTTTCTTGATATTTCTTTGCTTTGAATGATTTACACAATGAAAGCATGTAAGAAACTTCACAAGAAGTTTTGTGAGCATGCTTAAAGTTCCATTTTTTATCTACTGACATATGTCCAGCATAACTTTGTATAATCTTGTTTAAATTTTCTTAAATTTCTGTATTCTAGATCTCTTTTTGTATTTCAGCATAATTTATGCATCTCTTTGAAATGTGTTAAAAGAATAAAAATATGTGAGAAAGTAAATTAGCAGAAATGCCTGATATAAACAAGATTAGAAGTTGTATGCTTTGTTCAAAATTATAAATACCTTTTATTGGACAACTTCAAATTCTATTTTAGCCCCATCACAAAGTAGAAATGTTAAAAGAACAGCGAGTGCAATTGAAACAGAAAATCACTTATAATAATATATTACCTTCTGAAAGTATGTTACCTTCTAAAAGTAATGTTCTTTTCATTCTGGGATCTGATCAGTCTGTCATCCTATTTCTTCAATACCTTTATCAGTGTGTTTCTTTAGTAATTAAAATTGACAGAACTTCTGTTCTCTATCGCTTTGTCTCTGAAGATTTTCTTGTTTGTTCCATTCCTAAACATTGCAAGGAAACAAAAACCACAACCATTGTTGATCACACTATCTTCACTCTGCAGTTCAGAGAGTAAATCTCAAACCCTGTAACTCTGCACACCCAATTGTGTTAAACATTTTTTTTACAAGTATTACAAGCCCAAATTCAGTTTTGCAGAGGATAAATGAATGTACAGATAATAATAATAATAATCCTTGCATTTGATACCACACCTTTCAAGTCGAGAGGATGTCTCAAAAAGTACTTCACGGGATTCATTGTAGGTGTATTCACTATATTTTTGTAGACAAGTGAGGATACATGGTGTTCTCTGTAATGGTTGAATCCTGTGCTGAAAAGTGCTATCTTAGTGCAAGTCTAGAAAAAAAATTGTACCATGTTTTTTTGGTTTGGTTTCCATCAGCCCAAACTTTACATTATAGTAGGATGTTGCAAAATCATTTCCTTTGCACCCCTGCTGGCTAGAAAATGGTGAACTTGGGGTTGATAGCACACTGAACACAAGCACTTCCTGCACATAAGAGCAGTACTCAGGAAGTGCGGTTAGTGATGATCTGGCAACTTGGAGGTCAGCTAATTTCAGCAGCTGGTCCAAGCATCAAAAAAAACTGAGGATCCACAGGGTAATCACCTGATAAAGCAACCCTCCTTATAATGGAGTTCTACTTTATTATTATTGCTACTTTTTTAACACATTGCTATCCAGTGAAGGGGGGCAGTGAGAAGTCGAACATCCAATTTTCCTCTTTTCCAATAGAGAAATGGCAGAGCCCCACTTAGTGACGTTGTTAATTTGTAGAATAGGAGGAATCACAACCTGTAACTTTCCAATCCAGTGATGCTTCACATTGATGCTCCAATCTGCTGCATTACCTGGTAATCGGGATTTCAAGTTTAATGAAATTATTTTATCATGGTGGTCTGTTGCATCCCCCTCACTAAAATGGATGCCTTAACTTTGGAACAAAAAGCTGTAACTTTGTGTAAGGAGGGATAATACTGCATTTGTGTATAATGCATTGTTTGGAGGTACTGTATTTAAATATTGGCTCCTTTCTGCTCTTGTCAGTGTTTTGTTTGCCAGTTTTCTGCCTTCTCTTCCCTTCTCCCCTGAGGTAACGACTCCTGCTGCCCATTCTTCATAGATAATAATAATAATTGTTGCAGTTGATACAGCGTTTTTCACGTCTTCTCGACTTCTCAAAGCGCTTCACAGAATAGACTGTAAAGTGAATTGACCGTATATTGTAGGTATATTGTAGATAAGCAACCATGGACAGTGAGTGCTCTTTCAACTCTTAATTTATTGCTCACTTCTTGCTCCATCATCACTGATGAGCTTTCAGCCATCATGCTCTGTTCTCTGGAACTTTCCTCAAAACTAATTTGGGTTGTTATCTCCCTCCTTGCTTTCAAAAACCTATTACATCTGTTTAACAATTCATTTGGTCAGTGCCTTTGAATCTCTTATTTTCCTGTTCCCTGTTCACTCAGCTAAATTGGTCATTATAACTTGCACTATACACCATGTAGTGTTTAGCACGTTGGGACGTCTTCCTGATGTGAAAGGCGCTATATGAATATAACTTAAAATTGTATTGCGTAACTTCTACGTAAATGCAAGATATTTTTATTATTACATAATTGTAAATTGTTACCTGACATTCACAAAAGTGGGATAAAACGTTGACTTTGTAATCTCTAGTCCTACATTTACATGTACAGATTGAGCATTCATGGAACTGCCATTACTATTTTTAATAGATTAATGTTTGCTAGATTATGCATCCAAAGAATGTTTATGTAGTTTTTTGGGATGTGTGTTGAAAGGGATTTCTAAGTGAAATTTCTGTGCTTTCAGGAATGTGCACAGTATTTCCACGAAGTGAAAGATAAAGACATAAAACATGCACTCGCTGGACTGTTTGTGGAAATTCTAATTCCTGTCGCTGCTGTGAGTAATTATCTATTCTATCCTTTCAATGTGTAAACAAAACCAAAACTATTGGCATGTGCATTTTAGAACTATTTATACCTGTAAGTATCTTGGGAATACTGAAATTAGGATAGAAGAGAGGTGCTGGTTTAAACAAAAGTTGGTAAAGCTCATTTGAGAGAGGGTGATATGGTAGAGTTGCATGCTCCTAAGAAGGATGAGAAACCCATAGCTATGTTGGATATCTGCATTGATTATAAAGGATGTTGTAAGGGGTTTAGGAGTACCCTGGAGGGTTAATGAAAAAGTCTTTATCCAAAAAAAAATCAATCCACTTAAACTGACATTCACAATCCAGTAGAATAGATTATAAGGGATGTTCTCTTCATTAATTCAGAATCATGCTGAGCAGCCCAGTTGGAATCTTGTTTTCCTCTTAATATTTCAGGCCTATTTAGAGATGTGTTTCAGTCGCCTCCGAAGCCTATTCTATTCTGTTTACCAAGTAGCAGAAAAAAATCTGAATTATTAATAAAATATTTGAAATATGATCTGAAAAATTAATCTAGAAAATTCTAACTTGTTCCAAGTAGTAACTTTTTGCCAATATTTGACTAAAAACTACATACAAATTAGGAACCTTTATTCAAGCTTTTTCCAAGCACAAATTTTATTCAGTTTGTCAAGGGGGTTGCCTCGTTCAATGGGTAAATACATAATGGGGCCTAAAAATGTGTAGGACAGAGTGCTACTAAGTCAATAAGAGCTCAATAATTACTCTGGTCACCACTTTGCAAGTTACCTACCAACTGAGTTGAGTCTATGCCAATGTTGTTGATGACAGACTGCATTGATGTACCTTGATGTCACCCAAGCCCACAGTCTTGAATGTTGCCATGACTGTATCAGCTAGTGAGCCCCAGTGAGACTCTGGCATCACTGTTCCAATGTTGCATTCTCTAGAGATCTGTCATGAATGTTCCAATACAAGCTGTGAAAAGGCTGAAGCCTTGATAAACACTATTATGCGCAAGTAAAATGGTTTTCAAGAAATTAAACCTTTTGCATTTTAGGCTGTTAAGAATGAAGTGAACGTGCCATGCCTCAAGAATTTTGTAGAGATGCTTTATCAGACCACCTTTGAGCTTTCTTCAAGAAAGAAACATTCATTGGTAAGTATTTTGTGCTCCCAATTTATCAAAAATACAGCACTTCTCAATCTGCTGTTCTCTCTGGGTATCTTTCTCTCTGGCTCTTTTTATTCTCTCTTTCTCAACCTCTTTTTATCCACTGTGTATATACGCGTCTTTCTCTCCCACTCTGTCTCTTTCTGTCACCCCCCGTCTCAATCCCTACCTTGTGCACTGCTAAATAAACTCACATACATGCGCACAACTTAATTTTTTTGTGCTACTGGATTTTATTTTGCTGATGCCTTGTGGTCTCTTTGACTTGTTAATATTCAAGTGTACTACAATTATAGAAACAAACTGCCTGGATCAAACCTTTTCATTATTATTAATGGAAAGACATATACTGAACACAATAAATCATCAGGATTGTAGTTTTGTTAAGTATATCAGACTAGAATATATATATATTTTCCCACCTATGAATGCACAGATATTTTGAAATTGCAAAAAGTTCATGCCTTGACTTATAAAGTACATCCCCAAGTACATGAGGGTTAAATTCACTATTCTACATTATATTCATATTCGACAATTGCAAATGCACTTTTTCATTGAACATGTGTTTTTGTCTTCTGCCTTTCGGATATAAATTTTTTTAAATGATTTGGTCTGAGGCCAAGATCCTCCCTGTTTATCACACAATGGATTCAGGAGGCTTAGAGTCTGTACCTATTCAAAGCTAAAATGGCTTTGCGTCACTCCATTGGAATTCTCATATTGGCTGGGTACGTGTGGTCTTAACAAGCTGTCAGGTGCTTTTGATTTATTTTTCTTCAATGACCAGGAGAATTTAGTCTCCTGGTTTTAAGTTATTGATTTTTTAACTCACTTGGAAGCTAGTTGGTTTCGAAATTGTACAGTACTGTTGGGAGCTATTAAGTATGACAAACATTTTGATTTACAAGGTTGAGTAAATACATTGAGTTTTCAATAAATAATCCAAGCATGGATAATATTCTCATTTCTTCTCAAACCTACAGATTGATTTCAGATATTTCTGTTTAAATTTTCAATCCATCCCTGAATTAGGGGACAAGGTTAATATCTGTTTTTGGTTATTAATTGTTTTTTGTAATTGATCCTAGGCTCTGTATCCATTGGTTACCTGTCTGCTGTGCGTCAGTCAAAAACAGTTCTTTCTCAACAACTGGCACATATTCCTACAGAACTGTCTGTCTCACTTAAAGGTAAGAAATACAATTAGCAAAATTCAGCTGGTTGAAATAATTGAATTGTTAACATTCTTTGCATCTGAAAATTGTAATGATTTCTAAAAAATATCAAACTAACAAAGTCAAAAGAAATAATGGTAATTGGGGTTCAAAACATATTTTTGATCTTGGTTCTTGTGGGTGGATCACTGTTCTGAATACTCTAATCCTGAAAAAGATTTCTAAAACCGATTATTTACAGAATATTTTATTTACCCGATTTCTTTCAAGTTTTATATTTCTTTCTCTTTCTACTTGGGTACAAATGGTAAAAGAAAATGTCAAAGCAACATTATGGTTCTCTGTATCTCTTGTTTCTTCACGATGTCTTCACTGTTAAATATTTTGGCTTGATCCTGAACTAAAAGCCGCTCCTGGACATGCACCTCGTGGAAATGTTAATCGTGGCTCAATGTATCTTTTCCTTCACTTGCTGTCATATTTTATTTTCTAAGAAATATTGTACTTGCAGACTTTTTTTTCCAAAGAATGTAAGGTGCACTAAATCTGGGAATATTCTGGTGGACAGACTTTGGTGATGGTTTTCCTCATGATTTTTAGAGATCATTTATCTAAGAGCAAATTAGTTTTTTCATTCTGCATGCTAATGTCACTAATATCTGGAGGTCACTACGTGTAAATCCCATCTTGTTTTGTGCTGTTGGAGCTAGCTACTAACTCACTTGTATGTTAATTTCTGTTTGTTCTTAACATCAAGAAGAAAATAGCGAGAACAAAATGCTTGATTCATTGTTCAATGTTGTTTTGCAGATTATTTAAAATACATTGTGGTTCCGTCTAATGCTTGCAATGTTATGTTTTACGTTCAAATTTAATAGTTGCTTTCTGTTCCGTTCAGTGTAGGCTGCCAGTTTTGTTCCATGTTGTACCTAACCTTGTGCACCAAGCATCACTATGAGCATATATTTGTTTTCTCATCTAACCCGCATGGACATCCCATTTTCATGCTTGTTTATGTTTTGCTGTCTTGCGTTGCTTTATTCAGATGCCATCTAACAACAGTATCAGAAAGCAAATAGAAACTTTGCAGGTGAGTCCAAGTAGAGTGCATATCAATCAAGTCCTCCATATACCTTCTTGAAAATCTGCAGATCGATTAAACACATAATTTACACAGACTGTTTTCTGTGATGAGCTGTTGATTATTATTCAATTAAATGACATTGATTGCACACATTGTTAATCCTTCACTGAGATTAACTGTCCATCAACTGTAGGGAGCATCCCATTTTCCATTGCACCAGCTTTCAACAAAAACTTACCAACCATCAACAAAAACTTAGTGAAAATAGCATAAAACCACCCTCACCAATTTCATAGTATGTCTTACAAACTAGTTAAGTAGGAGTGATGACAAAGTAATACATTTAATTTGGGATTCAGATAACAGTCATGGTTTTAATTATATTAATATTAAATGAGTTAAAAAGTTAAAATCGAGAAGTGTATGTCTCGGGATGCAGCTGTTTTTTTTTTTGCAAAAGCCTTTGTACAGAAAAGAGACAGGACGTCCATTGCTGGCCACTAATTGTCTTGATGAATACTTGTTCCCATCGGATTAACATGTTGGTGCTTCATGTGCTCTGTTTAGTTTTCTATTGCTGTCATTTCAATGTTTACAACCAAACTATTTTGGGGGTAAAGAATTGCTCATTCTAAGTAACCATGAGCTTTCTCAGCTGGCAGAAGAGAGTTCTTATATATCATGTTGGACAGTTTATGTTCATTCTGCGTTAAGTCTGCCGTTTTTTTGATGTCACAGGAAACCTGTCCAACAACACCACATATCCAGGTTGCCTATATCTGAGAAAGGGCATGTAAAAGGTGGAATTGAGTATGTTCAGACAGATAATGGATTACTGGGCTCCTTTGGTACAAGACAGATTTCAGGCTAACAATTCAGGATTTTGTTTGCCAGATTTTCTCGTCCTTATTGAAAAATGACATTCCTTGATCTTAATGCAGACAATTGACACATTTCAGTAGTTCTGAAATTGGTGCCAAGGCTGAAAGTCTATAACCCCTAAAATACACATTACCAGCCAGTAGCAAGGACCCCTTGAAATTCTAAATCTTAGCTTGAAACTATTAGACATTTCCCCATTTTGAGTTGGCAGCAAGCGGTCATTGTTTGGTGCCTTTCAGCACATCTCCACATACAGCTTTGCTCTCCACGTTAATGACCTTCCTTCATCATTCGGCGCTTGTAATTAGAGGTAAAGTGACTTTGTCAGCATGAATGCATTTTTCGTTACCAGACCAGATTCTTCCTGCAGATGTCTCGAAATAGTACTGAAGTCATATTTTAGGTTCAATTTCTTAGACTTTGGAGAGAAGTGCATCTCACCAAACCCACTATGTTCAATCAACTAACTCTATGTGAAGTTGGCTAGATTCGTAAAAGTACAGAGCTCTGAATCTCTTTCAGTGGATGGGGCTTTGTCTGAAGCCCTTTGCAGGTTTCTCTGTATTAAATTACCTGTTAACCAGGGAGGATCACTTATGCCAGGATTCTTGCACAATACTGCAGAAACTCGGCAATATGCCTCTGACAGTTACTCTTATCTTACAAATCCAGTTTAAGTTTTCTCTTCAGGGTAAGGACCCTGTTCCCTGACAAACAGCTGCACTCCAGGGGAGAAATACTTTCCAGGAGATAATAATAAATAATAATCCTTGCATTTTTGATATAGCACTTTTCATGCTTTCAAGACATCTCAAAGCGCTTCCCAGAATATACTGTAAAGTGAATTGATTGCATGTTTGTGGGCGAAACGCAGCAGCCAATTGCACACAGCAGTGTCCATTAAACGGTCGTGGATTGAAATGACCAGTTTTATTATTTATTTCCTTTTCTTGAGGAATTAACCACTAACCTACAGGGAGATGTATGTATTCTGGACTGGTGATGCAGTTTGGGCTTGTTGTGTGGACAGCACTTTCTATATTTGGGAATGCATAAACTTTGAAATATGCTTGTGTCTGCTTAAAATCACAATGTTTTTGCAAAAGCTACAGTTTAAAACTTTGTGACCACTTTGAACTATTTTTTCTGGAAAGATGAAATCCGAAGGCCCAAAGGCCATTCTGAATTTCCCTTGTGATCTGTTTCTTTTATGAAGGATAGATTGATGGATTCAATAGATACACATTTGAGAATACTTTCTATTATCACCCCTTTATCTGCTTCTAATGATGTGCTTATATTTCTGTACGTTGATTTCTTGTACTTTAATTAACATTTCATGCTAGGTTCTGAATGGGTGCCTTTTATTTGTTCCAATAGAATAAAGACCCTAAAATGTCTCGAGTTGCACTGGAGTCACTGTACAGGTTGCTGTGGGTTTATGTAATCAGAATAAAATGTGAAAGCAATACTGTAACACAAAGGTGAGTCCAGGCCTGTGAGTATAAGATAAATGGTAATGTTAGTGAGCTAGCTGTAATTAAGTGTAATTATTATAAGAAATACCACAAATGATGAAAATTTGTAATGTAAGCAAAAGGCTGGAAGTGAATAGAAAATTGACTCTTATTGTTTGGGTTTTAACCCTTCAGCAATTTTCTTGCAGTTAAAAAGCTCTATATAACATTTTTTCCATAAAATACTTACTGGAACTATTTCACTACCTTTATGGCATTTAACTATTTTAAATTAATGGATCAGTTCAATATAATAGTACCAAACAAATTGGTATTTGTCAACCAAAGTGAGATCTAACAGATTGCTGTTGACCTTTTGTGCACACTTATTGACTTACTGGTTGTGTTCCAAATAGCAGTTATGAAGACCCGATTTGCTCTGTATTCTTCAGTTTGGCCTTTGCCACACATCAATTAAAACATGTTGAAACGCTTTTATTTTACATAGTTCAGGGAAGTTAGGGAAGTAAAGTTAGGGAAGTAAAGAGAAACATTCTTTCGAAGTGTAATGTACACCACAAGTACTGTGCTTTGAAATGATTCAGTTTCATTGTGTACAGCTTTCAAATATTAATCTTCAGTGGGAATTAGATTTGAGTAGTGTACTGATGTGCTGCATGTTTATTTGAAAAAATACTTGATTTTTTTATTCTTAAAATACTAATATATTGTCAAATATTTTGACGCTAAAATGTTTTAAAGATCTTTTTGAAAGATCCCCCCTATTAATTGTGTTTTTATACATTGCTTCCTTGCTGGTACTGACATTTTTTAAAATCTGTTTTAACACTCAAATTCTTCTCTCACTCTTGGGAACAAAAAGTCGCCTTTTGAGCATTGTATCAGCACTTTTCCCCAAAGGCTCACGCAGTGTGGTCCCTCGTGACACGCCTCTCAACATATTTGTGAAGATAATTCAGTTCATTGCTCAGGTACGGTTTTTGGCAGCAGTTGTGCTTTACTGATAAAAATTAAGATGGTCTTGCATATTTTAAAAGGAAATCATTAACTTCCTCACATCCTGTACATTTCTGGTTTCTTGGTGGTTTTATTATGTGATAATCTCTTTATTTCAGTTCCATTTAACACTTAACCATAAGCGTTCATAACATGTGCTGAGTATCAGTATTGTTCTCTGCATGAAATCACACTTACGTAGGGCTGACTTTTAAATTCATCAAAGTGAGAAATAGTGCACTGGATTATAGCTGTTTTTTACCCAATTTGTTTTTTTGGGGCTGTGGAGAACCACCTGCTTCCCACAGCTTAAGATGCAGCTTTTGCTTAATTTATCTTGAGTTTATTTGAGATTTTTTTTTGCTCGCTGTGCCCCTAAATGTGACAGACAATAAGAGGTTATTCATCTTCACTTGCAGCATCTCCCGAGCCAGTCAGAAATCTAAGCAAACAGACAGGAAAATGTAATGATTAACCACAGATTAACGCACTTTACCATAATGATTATTCTTTTGGTTTTGATAAAGATTTGAAAAGTATTTACAAAACAATCACTACAAAAAAAAACTTTACAGACCAAGTTCCCATTCTCAGTTAAACAGCTGAGGAGTTATTTTTCTCGCTCCTCCCTTCTAACCTTGTGAGGAAGGGCAATTTCGAATTGAATCAACCCAGGTCGGGCTTGCTTCTCTTCAGCTGCTTGGTACAGAGAAAGTTGTGGCCGCAGGTTTTATTGCAACCTTATATAAGTATCACAGACCTGCCAAAAGCTTTAATTAAATTAATTTGAAAATGTTTTCTGCAAGCATTTCTACATTTTTCATAGCAAAAGATGGGCAGAAGCAACATATTGATTCTACCCATATTTGAAATTTTAGTTTGCACCATAAGATTATAGGATCAAAATATTTTAATGAACAAGTGATCCAGGTGTCAAATTCATATTATAAATTGCTGAAATAAGCTTCATCACATAAAAATTACATGAAGCGAGAAGAGATACGTCGACACTACCTGGGACCTTTTAAATGCAACTGTTCGAGTTAAGTTAATATTTAAAATAAATTCAGCACTAAAAAGAGATTTTAACTTAACTTTTTTTGTGTTTTAACTACAGGAACGACTTGATTTTGCAATGAAAGAAATTATTTTTGATCTACTTTGTGTTGGAAAACCATCAAAAACATTTACCATTAATCCAGAGGTAAGACTTTGGCGAATGGGTGTGTGTTAATTCAGTAGACAATCTTTAATGTTATTACAGGCCAGCCCCTTAAATGTCCTTGCAAAATAACAGTAAACAGAGTTCTGTGTTGTACATGCTATTAAATCTGTTTTCAGCCATGGCCAATGCAATTAGGAGTTAGATTTCCTGCTCTGAATTGCGCTATTGCTAGAATCTATCACTTTGCTTCCAATAGCATTACCCAATCTGACAATTGGCCACTGATGTAGCCTTTACAATGGTCTGCTGGACGTGATGAATATTATTTGATGTTTGACATTTCCTTTTCAGTTCTTTTTAAGACAAATCCAGACTAATTTAAAAGCAACATTTTTTTTTAGAAATACAAAGTAAAGCCTAATTTTGTGATTAAAGAAAGCGTGATGTTTGAGATCCTTGGCTAAACTGAAAGAGAAACTTCAAGCTTTCGGTTATAAAGAAAGGTTCAAAGTCGTGAACGTTTCATTAGGAAAAAAAGATTGAGGGAGTACTAGAGGCCTGTAAGATGATGAGGCATAGATAAGATCTAGGTAAGCAGCTGGTTCTCCGGTGATTTTTAAAAGAAAATTATTTAATATCTGTTTGAAGACAGTATTGGAGAGTATACAAATAGGGTAAACTGAGATGAGCAAATATTTCATGGGAACACAATGGTTTCTAAGCTGCTGGGGAAGATGGCGGGGGAGAAAGAGTTGATTGTGGAGGAACTTCAAGCTCTAGGTGAAGATCTGAGGATAGATAAATGCATAGCGAAATAGAATGACTCCACAAAAGCAAGTCATTAGGCCCAACTAGTTTATGTTAATTACAGTAATTTGTATAATTTGTTTATTTTAAAATTTAGAACAGATGTAAATTCAGAAGAATTCCAAATGGTGCTGATGTATTGTGAACTGAATACAACTTGTAGCTTTACAATCCTTTATATTTATAACCTAGTGCTTGGAGTTTCTACTGTTTTCACACTAATTTGGTGACTGAGTATTGTTTGAACAAGAATTTTGATGGCTTTTATGTTTCTGGACTACAAAAATATTCTAGTCACCAAGCATTAAAGTTAGGTAAAAATACAATGATTTTGTGTTGTTGATCATTACATGTCTTGTTACTGTCTTTATTATTATATAATAATGATAATCTTGGCATTTGATATGTTTCCTTTTCACATTGTATCCATGTTGAGACGTCCCAAAAGAATTTCACAGAAAATACTGTAAAGTGAATTGACTATAGTTTGTGGGCGAAACGCGGCAGCCAATTGTGCAAAGCAGTGTACAAAATCTTTATGCATAAAAATGTTTATGCACAAAGCTAAAACTACTAGTTTCCAGGTTTATTGAGCAAGAAATATGAATGAATTAATTTTTTGATTTCTTTCCTGACTATCTCTTTACAGAGGATGAACATTGGCCTGAGAGCATTTTTAGTAATTGCGGATAGTTTGCAGCAGAAAGATGCGGAGCCTCCAATGCCAACAACTGGGGTTGTTCTTCCATCGGGCAGTACCCTGCGAGTGAAGAAAGTCTTTCTAAACAAAACTCTGACAGATGAAGAAGCTAAAGTGATAGGTTGGTTGTGAATATTTTACCTTAAAGGTTTAACATTGTGAGAAAGATTGAGAGGTCTTTTGATGCAATTTATTATTTAGCATTTTTAGATTGCAGAATAAAATGTTATTGTTCATAATGCTGGAGCGTAGATGTAGCTGCTGCTCATTTACTGAAATTTAGTAATGTTGGAAACATTTCTTCCTTCCATCCCATTCACAAGTTTTATATACATTTGTGGCAAAGAATATGAATGTGTTACTTCTCATTGTAAATGAATGTGTTGCTTCTAGAATTCACGCCTTTATTTATTGTCCACATTCAACCAGAAGTATTCTCTTCACCCTTATACTGAGCAATTTCTGACCAGCAGCTCTCCAATGGTCATGGACATTTTTAATTACGACGTACAAAACCTAACTCCTTTCTCTCCACCTCCCCATTTCTCAGCAGTTTAATATTGTGAGAAAGATTGCAGCTGTGAACAGTCTCTCATTCATTCTGACAGAAAGCTGACTATTCCAATAAAGTATGTCCCCACTGATTTGACCATGCCTACAAAATGCCCCTTTAGTTATCTTCCTGAGAGCACTGTAGCCAGCTTATATGTAATGATGAATGCTTCTTCCTGACTTATATATCCTCTTGGCCAATTGATAATTTTACTGCAATACAGTTAAATGCTTTTCAATCTAAAATTTACCTCATTAGGTTTGTGTCTTAGCAGGTCAGTCAACCACTTCATTATTATAAAAATGTAAATGTTTGGAATAAAATTGCCACAAAAGTTGGCAATTAAAAAAAAGTGGGAGTTTATTTTTTGAAAGAAAATAGATTGACAGAGCCAAACGCTTAATTTACAATTACTTCTTGTGTCCCAGTATTTTGACAATGTGTCTTTAACGGACTAATGCATTAGCTGCGACCAGTTGTTGCTGATTCCTTACACGTCCTTCAAAATCACAAGATCTAGATGCTAATCCCAAACCATGTTTCACAGCATTGATGCATGGGACTTGCAGTGAGCAGTTGGTGCTGAGCACTCTTTCGGCTGTGAAAGTGCAGTTTATAATGTTGATGGATGTGTTGTGAGGCAGAGCCAAGAGCACTTTTCAGATTTGAATTAAGTCTGAAAGTTTGTTAAAGTTCCTTTGAAAGCTGGAAGTGGCCCCCTTCATTAGCAGAATTACGCAGCACTGAAAATATATAGGATCTGATTTATCAATTACTTCTTAAACTATTTAAATATTTTCTAATTTACAAGATATAAAAATAACTGGCAATACCATGACAAATAGAAAAGGTTTTATCGCTTAACTTTACCATTCTAATCATTTTTGAAAAATAAAGTACCGTTTTTCTCCTCCTTAACCTGCTGAGGGCAATTATCATGTCCAACGTGACGATGGGAACTGTCCATGACTTTGACGGCTCCATGTGAGGACAGACTTGTTCCTAAATCTCTCTACGTGGTGGTGTATTCCCCATGTCTTATCTTGGATTTATTACCTTCATGCTGTGCAGATGTTCCTGAATTGCTTCCTGTGTAACAGACTCAGTATTATTCCCATTATAAGTCAAACTAGCAGGACTATAATTCATACAGGCATGTCTCTGACCTCTTTAAATGACTGGAATCACATTACTTGTCCATCAGTTCTCTAGCAGTCCATGTTGTCTAATCTGATGTTTTGATTTTAAAAGAAATTTGTAGCTGCATTTGTTACTTTTATTCTCATTTTGTTTCTTTTTCACATTTTGTTTAAATTTAACAGCACAATTACATTCTCTCTGTCTATTAGGAATGTCATTCTACTACCCTCAAGTGAGGAAGGCGCTTGACAGCATTCTTCGACACCTGGATAAGGAGGTGGGGAGGTCGATGAGCATGACTAATGTGCAGATGTCTAACAAGGAGCCTGAAGATATGATCACGTAAGCAAAGAGCATATAAAATTAACGCATAACAGAGGAAAAATAAAACTTCCTGGGAAGTGAGACCTATAACAAGAATTAACCTATTTGTAAATACAGCGTTACCAGTATTAGCCTGTTCATGTATTATGAGCATATGTATTATGAGTAACTTGCATCACATTTCAAGAAAGGCAGATGCCAGGTTTATATGTTTATTTCTGTAACTTACCAACTAAGAAACACAGTAAACCTTGCTATGAAGTGCTTCTTTGTAACATGGATTTGCTTATAGTGTGGGCTTTACTTTCCCAAAAAATCCAAAATGTGTGCTCAGGCTCAGTTGCTGTTTCAAAAAGCTGGCGTGGGAAGCCAATATGGCTGACTTCAATGTCATTTTTTTTTAAAAAAGCAAATATCTTTTTAATAATAGCTTTGCATTTTAATACATTTGTTTCTTCAAGGCTTCAAACTGTGCCTCTCTTCAGCTGGGAGGTCTTGCATGATCTTAGTAGCATGTCTTCTGACTGTTCTATTGGAACTGAAACTTTCATCCTTTGAGCTTTAACAGAGGAGTTATATGTCTGCTTCATTTATACTTCATGTTAAAATGAACTGGGAGAGGGTGAAAGGTTCATAGATCTGAATCAACAAAATTCAGATTTCTTCATTGCTAGATTCCTAAAGAAAAACATGTCGTGTTCCAAGATTGCCTTAACAGGTGCATTTTAATGCATTTGTATGGTAATAAATATTCATTGTATCTGATGACTCGCCTTTCACATTGGGTTGACATCTCAAAGCACTTCACAGGATTTATTGTAAAGTTTAGTGACTGCAAACAATTTGTGCTCAGCATCGTTCTACAAACAGCTGTGAAATCAACGACCATTTTTCTCTGGAGATTGTTGGCCAGCACAATGAGCGAAATGCCCTTAATAATTCTTAATTATTATAGGCTTATGCTTAATTGCATTCATAAGCTGTAAATACTTGTTATCTGATTGAAAATGTACAACTGTATTAATTCAATCTGTTATCATGTGTTATGAATGTGCACTTTTATTTTTTATGCAAGGCTACCAAAAGTGAATGAAAATTTGATTTGAAAATCCACCTATTTAAACATCAAAATATTTATCAATATATATTTACTGCTTTGGAATACTCTGCAAATTTTGAGATATTTATTTTCATGAAAGATTACACATTTGTTGTTAAATTCATTAGGTACCGTAGAAATGAATTTTGTTATAATATATTTTATAATTTTATAATAATATTAATATTTCATAATATTCAAACTAGTGAACCCTTTCAGGGCGTCCAACACCACAGAATCAGATGAAACTATAAGTATTATATTTACTAATAACCCAATATTTTTCAGGTACCTTGACAGATATTTAGTTTTAGAGTCTAGGTATCATGTTAACAAATCCATTGAATGAATAAAAACATGTTTTTAGTAACCATCTGCAAGCATTTATTATTTCCACTGTGTTCTACATTTTAATAGGGGTGAAAGGAAGCCCAAGATAGATCTGTTCAGGACTTGTGTGGCTGCAATACCAAGGCTGATTCCAGATGGTATGAATAGGGCAGAACTCATTGAACTACTGGCAAGGTAATAATGCATTTATATTACATGATATTAATAGACTTACTGTCATTAAAATTTTTGACATTTCAGATATTGTAACACTTGAAGATCATTGAAGTCTATTTTCAGGCCAGGTTTGTCGGTGAAGTTTAAAATACAACCTATGGGTTGGCAGGATGATAAAAGAAAGTACTTCTTCCTTCACTAGAAATGCCAACTCCCAAGATGGGCTTTAGAAAGGAACCAAGCAGATTTTATTGAATAAACTTGCTTTCCTAACTTTAAATGTCACAAATTGGTTGGTCATTCAGAATAACATCTCAGAGTGATGGTATCTGATTGACCTTTCCAAGACTCTAAAACCGTAAAGAGAGCAAAGCCATAGCAAATTTAAACAATTAGACTTTAGTAAGTGAGCAGAGGATTCTATGCATTCTTACTTACATTTTCCTTTGTTGAATAGACTCACTGTTCACATGGATGAAGAGCTTCGTGGTCTGGCATTCACTACTCTGCAAGCTTTAATGGTCGATTTTCCTGACTGGAGGGAGGATGTTTTGTCGGGATTTGTGTCATTCATTGTCCGAGAAGTGAATGATGTCCATCCAACACTCCTAGACAACTCTGTCAAGATGTTAGTGCAGTTAATAAATCATTGGAAACAAGCAGTCCAGTCTCATATCAAAGGTCATGATCTGCAGGTAAAGATGAGATTTGCATTGAATCAGCAGTACCGTTCATCAGTCCATTTCCATCATTTCTATTTGTGTGATTCAGAACCCGTCCCACAGCTCCAGTCATTAATCTTCTTCTGTTTTCCACAGCGAAATGTTCCCAATGGAGGTGCCCACACACTTCCACTGGAACGGAGCGCTTACTCCTCTGTTTTTCACGCAGTGGAAGGGTTTGCTTTAGTGGTTCTTTGCAGCTGTCGACCTGCTACCAGGAGACTGGCTGTTAATGTTCTCAGAGAAATTAGAACCTTGTTCACAGCGCTGGGCCTCTCAAAGGTGAGGAGTGCTGTTCTTTGCTACTTATTAATTATGTATTTCTTGTCAATAACATGAAAATGTTTGTTCATATCGGATATAAGTGGCATAGGCTTATTATTTGCTCTTTATGGAGACTTCTTTGCTTTTACATATACCTATAAAATAACATATACTACAGCTTGTCTAGAAGATCAAATAAGAGTGGAATAGACTGAATTATCACCATTGGGCATTCTCTAATATTAAGAAAATTACGCCGACAATTCCCACACATTAAAATTATTTATTTAATCCTAAAACACTCCTTTGACACATTTATATTACTTGAATAACAGTGGGGCATGGCAGTTGGTATCTGAAATTAAGAAGCTGTTCATATGTGAGAATATGGGAGGGGAGGAAATTGCTTTTGGTGTTCACCATCTCAGATCAATTGTGCAGTACTGAATGTTTTTCTTGGCAATTGTGATGTATGTTTCTTAGCTGGGGAAGTGTTCAGAAACACAACGTAGGCTTGACTGCAAACATTCCCAACGAAGACTAGGCCAGGCTTAGAGAACGAGAACTGGTTCAGAAATTCATTTAGTTAATGAGGATGCTTAATTTGTTTGGCTTTTGGGATCACAACTAAAGTATTTAATTTCCATAAAAGCTGCTTGGTTAATTAAAATTGCATTTCTACTTATTTACCATGTCCCTTCAGTGGAGTATTAGTATTAATTCCAGAGAATATTAGGCAGAGGTTGTTGAGAGGCAAAGCTTGGGGATCCCTGAGGTATGTTGGGATACTGCTGGAGTTTAACCGGTTAAATGGCATAACTTGCTTTGAGAGCACTGCCTGGAAAACGTTCCACTACTTGTGCAACTAGGACCAACCAATAAGGCTTTATCTTGCAAGGTTAACAGGAGCCCTGAGGGAAGAGTACCTGTCCCCACTGATCAGTCTGCTCTTCCAAGCCCTGGTGTTAAGCCCAGCTGGCTGGCCTGTTATTTATGCCCTGGAGTTATGCGGACCCACCTGGCACAAGAACCAGACAACTGAGAGTGACACAGAGGGTTAACAATTCTGACATTCTATTGCCAAGCACTTAAAGTTGGAGCCAGCTCAGTTCCAATGAGACCCAACTTACGCCCCCCCCACCACACCACACACACACATACAGAGGATAGTCACTAGTTGGTCATTTGACATCGACAAGGTCAGTTTTGAGCCTTCACTAGATAGATCTCTAAGTCCCTGGTGGTGCAGTGAATCAATCTTAGCACCATGAGGCACCATATATGGTCCCTGGTTGGTAGCACAACTTATCTTGAAATGTGTGAGAGGTTTGCTACCATTCCCCTGCCCACAGCTCAGATATTCATCCCGACCCATTGAGTGACAGTTCCACCAGTAACAGCCATTCAGTATTTCAACCGTTACTCCAGCCTCAATTTCAGTCTGCACTCCAGAAATGAATGAGCAAGCAGAGTTATCTCGTAATGGTTTGCAGTTGTCTTTCTTTGACCCCCATTTTTATTCTTTTTCCATGCCAAGCAAGATTCATCAGAAGATGGTGGAGAGATAAACTGCTCCCAATAGTCTGCCACTTCATAAGTATTCACAAGAATGTTCAGAAGAATGACTTTATTGAATTTCATGGGATAAGTGCCCAGGATCCATTTGTAACCTTCCACCAAATACCTCAGCTTAGATTGGGAAATATATGGCCTATCAAGCTGCTAAGATCAACTCACTGCACCACCAAGGACTTAGTCTTGATCCTTTAAATTTATCAGTTGAAACATAATTCCCAAGAGGAATTGTATTAAGCTTGGCTCTATTTGATGGATAATTTCAATATTTATGTGGGTGACTCTCCCAATTGGTGATTCTCGAAAGTGGTTCTGCAAAAATTATTTTCCAAATCTTAACAACTGTACAGAGTTATTCTCTTTTCCATGTTTTATTAACACATAAGCTGACTTTAAAATCACAAAATCACATCATAATTTATATGGAGTTCTAAACAGGACTATAATTTTTACTCTGCTCATTAGAGAACACTTCATATTCTTGCTTTCTCCAGGCTAGTGTTAATCCTCCTGAACTGGCTCCAAGTGACATGTTTGGCAACAGAACATTGGAATTGAGCCTATCCTCTGTGGCGATCTTGCTAGTCCATCCAGGCAGGTTCACAGTACTCCATGTTGCTGCTGATGATAGCATCATCAGCACCTGGTTCATCGGCAGGACTTTGAAGAACCATTCACTAAGACAGAAACTCATCGCAGTCCGTTCCTGCTATCCCTGCAAGCCCAAACCCTAATGGGTAGGGTGGCCCCAGCTGGACAAGCAGCGGGAAAGCTTGGCAGGCAGTGCTCTCAATGGCAGGCTATGTGGTTTTAGCTGGTTAGATTCCAGCATTTCTTCCTGGGGCACTCTCTGGGGTCCCTAAGCCTTGGCTCTTGCCAACCAGCTTCTAATACTGTCCAGAATTAGGTAAGCAGAATGTGTTCCTGCAAGGAGAGAGTGCACATTCCATTCAAACAAACTAGAATTTCTACCATTTCCATGTATAAGCGACATGCAAGGAATTCTGTTTGGTTTGGGTATTCCAACATGGATTTCCACATGATATCTAGCTGATCAAAAAAAATCTAGCTTTCATCAATTACTCAGCAAACGTATTGTGTAAAAAAACAAGTTTTCTTTATTTCAGGGAGATGAAGAACTGACAATCGATGTCATGGATCGATTAAGCCCGTCGGTATTAGAAAGCTTTATACATCTCACTGGAGCAGATCAGGTACAAAACTAATTTAGACCTGGTTGATGTTTTACAATATAATGTTTGACAATGTTCAGAGTTTTAAGTAAATTAATAAATTGATATATTTTGTCTTCTGTTAAGTGTCCACATAATGAGATTTCTATAAATTTATATTAAATATATTTGTAATTGAGCATTGATAACATGAACTCAGTGTGTTTAGCTAATGCACCAAGGTGAACATTAATATTAACATTAAACTGGAATTAGAATAATATGTACTAAAACAAACTAATGAAACCTGATTTAAACATTCATGTATCTCAGCATCCGTAAAATGGGCCATATTAGCAGAAGAGTTAACAAAGTGATTATTAAACAAAGATAGAACATAGTACATACAGTACACTCACATTATAATGTGCTTTACATTACAATTCAAAGTGAAATCTCATGATGTATTGAGTAATGGTTGTATTTTTTAAATTAAAATCAGGAATATGATAAAAGTTAGTATTTTTAAGAATATTTTATAATTGTGAATGCAGCCTATATTTTTTAATGTTGAGTGCAGGTTCCCAAATGCTGTATTAAACAAAACTGCTCATCTTTTATTGTGTTTTTTTCATTAAAATAGACCAGCTTGCTGTACTGCCCTAGTGGGATAGACTTACAGACACTTGCAGAGTGGAGTTCCTCTCCCATCAGTCATCACTTTGATGTGGTCAGTCCGTCACACATCTGGATATTTGCTCATGTGACTCAGGGACAAGACCCCTGGGTGATCAGCTTATCGAGCTTCCTCAAACAGGAAAATTTACCTAAACACTGTCCATCAGCACTAAGTTATGCATGGTTGTATTCATTTACCCGACTGCAGATGCTCTCTCCACAAGTGGATATCAAGTGAGTCTTTCTCATCTTCTCAGCATGCTCAAGGCTAACGTCTGTGGTGTTAACTTCATTCAATACAATTATCTATGGTACAATAAATGTATTCATTTAATATTTAAATCACAGAAGTCAAGTAATGTTGACTTAACACTTGTTTAGAATAAATATGACCTTTGAACATAGATATGCCTTTTACCTCAGCATTTGGTTATGTAATCTTTCTCTGTGATCAAATGAGTAGTAATTCCTCACCATTTGACCATCTTTTTCAACAACATTTCCAAAGATTTGAGCAATTGTAGCAAGAACTTTGAGCAATGGTAACAAGTAACCATCTTCCCACACAGCAGTCCTATAAATGCCAAAAAGGTCAGCACCACGATTGGCAATGATTCGTACGTTGGGCTTTGGAGAAACTATCTAATCCTTTGCTGCAGTGCAGCAACATCTAACACGGCTACGTCGGGGTCAGTGCGGTGTTCCCCTCCTGAGACGCTGGCGTCTACACCTGATAGTGGCTACAGTCTGGATTCTAAGGTAACTACTTTATTGTTCGGAGAAATGGAAGTAGAGAGAAAATCAATTCCTGACTTAGATACTAATTTTCTATAAAAGCAATTTATGTATGTGAATTGCTTAACTGCTTGTTATATAGGTAGAACAATAACAAATGCTCCCATTTGCAAATAGCTTCTGGAAAATTTAATGAAATTCTTTATTATCTCTTTGCACATTTGGCCAACAACCCTGCTCTGGTTTTCAACCCTTTAGAATTCAGTTATTTTTGTTGGAATTAATCAATGTAGAATCAATTGATTTTGTTGAAGATTAGAAATTCTATCAGTTTTAACTTTTTTTAATATAAAAAATTATCATTATCATCAGATAGCTTTACTCGGGAATTGGACAGGCTGATCAATCAAAGTGTGATTGAGAGAGTGAAAGAGTGGAGAGTGAAGATGTTTCAGAGCAACACCTGATCGATTCCTTTCCCCCCTCCCGCTCCTCCCTCGACTCCTCCCCACTGTTTTACCCCTCCACTCAGCAAGTTTGGGCTTGTTGCGAGTACCTCATCCACTCTGGGACAGAAATGCCAGATGACTGTATATTGCATCCAAAAACTTAGAGAATTGTTTCTCTGACAACCTGAACCTCTCCACAATCAGTACCATGAAAGGCTGACTAGCAACCCGTTCCAGAATATTGCTCCTTAAAGAACACTTTTGTCTACAATTGAATTCAATTCCAGTTGATTGGCTTATTGGACAACGTTCCCCTACTCAGCACCACAACTGATTGAAGACATCAGGGTGGCATTGAAGGAATTACGAGCTCTGTCTTCCCACTTAAGCGTGTTTCTCTGAAACATCTTCACTCTCCAGAGTGCCACAGTATTGACAATCACATCAATGATTACTTTGATTGATCAGCCTATCCAATTCCGGAGCAAAGCTATTTGATGATAATGGTAACCATCGTTTACCTTTAATAGCCTCATGAGCAACTGCCAAAGAGTAGCTTTTATGAATAGATTCACCTTCTGATCCCTCGGGTTCCTTTAGTTAACTTGTTGCATTGTAGAAAAGAATCCAGGACAAGCATCAATTTTTCCCCACAGTTATCACCTTTATCTGTGTCTTTCAAATACTACATCTTCAGTTGATAATCCAGTAGAAAAGTGAAGCTATAATTTCTCTTTGTAAATACTATACTGCGTAAGGAACTTCTGTGGTTTACTTAGTAACTTTCTAATTACATTCATAAATTTACTTGGATAAAACAAATTTTCTCAACAACAAGTTGCAATTGTATAGTCCTCTCCCTATCGAGAGGACATCCCAAGGCGCTGGATAATTGAGGGTTTGCACTCGAGCTGGGAGTTGAATTTGGATTTGGGAGGAGTGGGGCCAAAAGGTAATGGGGGAAAAATAACCGAAGGCATGGTCAACAATGGAGGTCTTGAGGCGGATCTTGAAAGAGTCAAGGCGTAGGAACTCTGGGATGGAGAACCAGAAAGTGGAGGCAGATAGGCCTGAGTGCTGATAGTGGGTCGGGCAGGGTGGGGGATGTGAAGCAGGACCCAATAGCTGTCCAGTGGAGGAGGTGGGATGATCGAGTTTAAGAAGGTCGCAGAGGATCTTGAACTGAATCCTCTGAGAGATGGAGAGCCAGGCGAGGACTGGGGTGATAGGCTCATCGAGCCTAGTGTAGGAGAGGACACGAGCTACAGAATCCTGGATGCTGTGCAGCATGTCGGGAAATTCAAAAAAATCTCTATATTAGTGTCTGATGTTCACTTAACATGACAGTGTTTGTAACATACTGCTATGCATCTATCTATCTTTCTTACTGCTTTTGTCATACTTTATAAACATTTCCAATTCACAAAATAAGTGCACGGACCTTTCTGATTTTACAGTCAAACAAATTATGGTTCGCTTCAGTTTTAATTTACTTTACTGCCATACAAAATGCTGGTTAAATTGAAAACGGTAATTTACTGCAGTGTAATCCTCTGCCAAGTGGAATGCTTTATATTCCCTGCATGGCAAGTTGTGTCAGGTCACAGCACGGATATGGTTTAAAGGACAGTCAAGAGTCAAATAAGGCACAAAAAATGCAAAACAAGTCATTTCAACTGAAAGCGATGCAGGGCGAGGAAGATACGACAGATTGTGAGAAAGTGGTGAATATGATCAATGGACATTGACAAAGCAGCCAACATGTAGAGAATAAATATAATAGAAACACAATAAAGGGAAACCAATAAGGAAGGAAATTGTTTCAGAGATAAAATAATAAGGGACCCATAGAACAAGAAAATAGTTATGTACAAAAAAGGCCTTTAGGCCTAGCAAAAGAAAACAAATATAATTTGAGGATACTAATATGCATCAGTGTTGTAATGTTGTGGAACTTTAAAATATGGTTTGGGATTAGAATGGTCTGAATGCTACAGAATTTTCTATTTAAGTATTAGCTACTACACTTAATAACAAAGGGATTGGACAGACAGAAAGCAGCACAAACTGAAGAAGGTTCAGTGATACATTTAACTCTTTGGTTCCATGAATGAATTTGCCTACATTTCTATTCTTGTACCACAGGGATTGCATTTTGAATATACAAAGTGGACATAGTTATCAAAATGCACTTGTTTGCCCAAAGAATGTCCAAATCATCTAAATTAGATGGGGCTAACTTTTTCTGGTTTCAATTGCCTTACTAATGTAGAGCTCATTTCTAGCAATGTTTGAAATGTCTCACACAGAGAATGTTCTATTTTATTAGACAGCATCCCTTGTCTTTATCGCGTGATATTTGTTGGTGTGATTTATATACTCTCATGATGTTTGGCAGTAATTATAGTTGCCTTAAATTAGATTTAAGAGCCAATCAAAGTGCCTCATCTGTTTAGACGTTGAAGAGTTATTAATGATTTTTGTGGATCAGTGAATAGCCATTAAAATATCTTTTGTCATTTCAGATTATTGGCATTCCGTCCCCTGCTTCATTGTTCAAGCTTATAGTTCCAATGATGCGCTCTGAGAGCATGGAAATTACAGAATCCCTTGTGCTAGGGCTTGGCAGGACCAACCCTGTAGCCTTTAGGTAAGATTTCATTGTGTAAATTTATTATTACAACTGTTTTTTGCATCAGCAAAACACATTTGGATACATTGACTAGGTTTCTTTGAATTATTTATAATCCTTGTGTTTGCTACCAAGATGTTAGGAGATTGTCCCAAAGCGCTTCACGGGATTTTCTGTCGTGCAGTTTCTGTGTCTTTGTAGACAAACACAGCAGGCAATTTGCATTTAGCAGTGCTCCACAAACAAGCTTGAATGAACAATATTCAATATGAGACGCCTAGAAAACGTGAAAAGCGCTATATCAAATGCAAGGATTATTATTAATACTATCCAGGGAATGTTTGGCCAGAACCCCGGAAGAAACTTCTCTTTTTGAATCATACAAGGGATCTTTAACATCCACCTGAACAGGCAGATAGAACTCATTTGAATGACGGCATCTCCAAAAATGCATCTCCTAGCTTCCAGCACTCTATTAGATGTCAGCCTGGATTACGAGTTTCATAATCCCGATATGGGGCTAGAATAGATAACTTTCTGATTCGGAGACGAGAATGATACCAACTGAACCAAGCTGACGCACAATTTATGTACTCCAGTCCAATCAATCCTATGTTCCTGCTCGTTCTCTTTACCTTTGTATGAGATGAAGATTAAAGAACTATAATTAAGTTAATAAGTGTGCTACCAATAAACTGACCTGACACGTAAAGGACGTTTACAAAGCAGTTCAGTTACAATGGGATTGTGCAGAAAAACTGAGTGTATTTGATGATTGTCTTTTGGGGGAAGTATGGGTCTTTCAAAGGCCAGGTAAACAATAAGATTCCTTAATGATTGTTTATCTACATTGGAAAAATCTAATTTCTTTACAGAATAAATCTTTTGATATTAAATATTGTGTAGTGTCAATCTGAAATAATTCAATTATTAAGAGAGCCTTTATTGAATCTTGAAATAGTATACACATAGATTAAAATATTTCTCTGGAGCTGTCAAATTGGAAGGATTGGGGAAAAACTGTTCTCCGTATTGACAGATGCCTCTGCTCCTCGTCTAGCTTCCTCATACTGGGATGCTAATCCACAGGTATTAGTTGCCTTCCAGTACCTGAACAATTGTTTAGTAATGAGGTTTGGCAGCCCACTGAACTGGAGAGGCCATCACAGCTGAGCCTGACCTCTCCTCACCCAGCTGACTTCACCTCACATAAACACTACCAGCAGAGGATGTTGTAGAGAGACCGGGAGCAGAAACCCCTGGAAAGGCCAGGTCAATCTAGCCTCCTCTGCAACCTGGCAAAGACTAGCAAACTCAGCACAGATCACGATTTGAAGTGAGCTGCCAGTCGAAGGCCGCAACTCTGTCCATCACTATTGGAGCTGACCTTCCAAGTCCAATTCATGTAGACGTTGATGTATGCAAAGCTAGTTCAAACCCACCCTACCTATATATTTTTTTAAATCTATCTTCACTCACACCGTATGTCCCAATTGAGTCATTCCCTATTTCAGTTGCATATCATCTTCTTTATTATATTAATAAAGATAAAATGTCTGTGTATCTGTCTGTGTTTGTCTGTCCGCCAAGAACGCAATAACCAACTGAAGTAGAGACATGGATTGCACCTCATCGTAAAGGTCTTGCATGGGGCAGTATCATATGCATTTTTTTGGGGATCTCCTATCGTCGTTGAGCTATATTAAAAAATCCTTTCATTAAGCCCCAAAATATGAGGTATACATGCTATTCTGCAACAGAGTAGCCATAAAGGAAATCACATTCCCTTCTGGAGAGATACTCTATACTAATAAAGACGAAATGTGTGTCTGTCCGCCAATAACACAATAACTGATTGACTTAGAGACATGATTTATACTTCATCGGAAAGGTCTTGCGTGGGGGAGTATCATGTGCATTTTTTGGGGTATCCCATCATTGATGAGCTATAACCCAAACAAGCTCATCACACATGTATAGCAATTTTGCTTAAGGTGTACACACAGTGTTTATGGCATGTTAAATGGTTTGTGAGTGGTATCACTGAAACCTACATTCCACATTTGATCCTTTGGTTGCAAGCGTAGTTACAACGGGCACAACTAGTTAGATAATAACATGATCTAACAGACCACTTGCTATTTAATGTTTTCAGTTTTATCATGCATATCAACTGATGTATTAAGGTAATTCAGGATTGGATTTTTTTAAGTATAAATGAATGGTTGAATTCGCAGATTGTACCATTCTTTTTTCTACGAGTACTCAGTCCAACACACTTTTTTCTCCTTTAATACATACTGGTTGCATTGATTTAGTTTGCCACTCCAGCATCATGGAGACAATCATTGGAACTGCTGATTAATGGTGTGAGCCTCTTCCTGATGTTTCCACGTATAGCTTGCCCTCGGGCAGATTATCTTTCAACTATATCGTGAATAATATATAATAATCCTTGTATTTGATATAGGATCTTATCACGTCAGTTGGATATCTCAAAGCGCTTCACAGGATTTACCGTGAAATTAAGTGACTGTACTTATAGGGGAATGAGGCAGCACAATTGTGCACAGCATTGTCCCACAAACAGCCATGCACCGAGTGCCCAATTTTATTTGGGAGATTTGTTTGCCAGGACACCCGGAGAAACTCCCTTCTCTTTTCGATTAGTGCCATGGGATCTTTAACGTCCACCTGAACAGGCAGACGGAACCTCGGTTTAATGTCTCATCTGAAGGACGGCACTTCCAACAATGCAACACACCCCTAGTACTGCAATGGAGTGTCATCTTAGACTTTGTGAGTTCAAGTCCCGGCATGGGATTTAAACCCACAACCTTCTGGCTCAAAGGCGAGAGTGCTTCCACTGAGCCTGGCTTTAAGCACAGAACTTGTTTTGTGATATCATTCCATATGCTACATGCCTGTGAATTCTGTCCTTGAACCCAGTTGGAGCCAGAACATTAGCAAACTAAGCATAGTGGGGGTTAGATCCTCGAGCCTTAATCCCGATGCTGCTCACCATTCCAAGCGACTTACTTGGCTGTTTTTCCATGTCATGCAAATTTCCAGGAAGCAGAATGTTCAAACTTTAATATATCTGGCACACACTTTGTACTTTTCAGTATCTGCCATTGATGATTGAGTTTCTTTAAAAGATGGTCAGCCTTGTAGCTGTTTGCAAAATTAGGGCAATTTGCTTCATTGGACTGTCTTTTGCTTTTGATAGTTTTTCAGCTTTTTGGATCAGTCTTTGAAATCCATTCTCTGCTGTGGTAATGAGTCCCAACACTGTGCTTTGTAAAGATCTGTGGATGGGAACTTGCCATCATCAGGGTATCACAAGAGCGGTTTAGACTTTAAGAAGATCTTATCCTTTTGATCTTATTCTTTCTGCTGAGATTTAGATTCTTTACGCTGGCATGTTCCTTTTTCCCAGTCCTTCCCATTTGACACCTCCAGAGAAATTCAGGAAAAAAAATTCTATATTCTTAACAGTTGCTTGTCAAATTAAGAAGATACTTGGCCTTGTTTAATGTGCTTGTCTACACCCTCATCTTATGCCATCTTTTATAAAGATGATGTACAGAATGCTATATGCAGTGACAGCAAATCTATAAGAAAATTACTGTATGACCAAAAAACATTCTGTGTATCTTGCATGATTTCATTGATCTCCCGGAACGAAATAAGCATAGGTTAGAAATGGAGCATTTGGAAAACAGTGCAGAAATTTTCAAATGACAAGGCATTAAACTATTTTCAATTAACTGTCTTCTGAGATGTTGGATAGATTCATCCCTGTAGAGTACTGTAGACCAAAGGAAACCTGGATTCAGCCACATAATTATATAGGTGTAAAATAATCAACCTCAGAAATGAAACCCTAATCTCTCACAACAAAAATGTTGATTACCTGAGTTCTACTGAATTTATTTTATAATAAAGAAAGGTATCATTGAACAGTTAACCAAGAATATAATTTTGATTTGGGGGATTTTAGTTTGCAAAGTTTGACTTGTAAAATGCTTTTTTTTTTTACAGAGACTTAATAGAAGAACTTCACCCTATTATAAAGGAAGCACTTGAAAGGAGACCAGAGGTAAACAATGACTGGCATGAGCTCACAGCTCAGTGATTCTCTAGTCATGTTTAGGAAGTTTAATTTTGTATACATTGTAGAGCCACATTATAACAGGATAGTTGTGAGCCAGGGTAGTTAAGCGCTCTGGGACATTACCCTGCGTGGGGGGTGCTTTATAAATGTAATTGTTGTCCATAAATCCCAACCAATGGTAAATGGAGCACAATCGCTGGTCAACATTTCACTGGACACAGGGAGCAAAAATTACAGACTTGCATGTCATCAGGTTGGTACTGATGTCAATTGATGCCCATGCAACAACATGCATTTTTATAACGCCTTTCACAAAGGGCAGCGTCCCGGTGCACTTAAGTGCATGCATTTTAGTGCGCTTAAAGGCGCAATAACTGACTTGTCGTTTTGGCCGAAACAACCTGCACTAAAGTGCTTACGGAGCTGATGAATACATTTTGGATTTTTGGGGTAAGTAAATATCAGGGTCCAAATGTTATAACTGAATTCTACTGTAGATAATTTTGTGTTGAAGGAATTAATGCAAAGTCAATTTGCAGGATTGAGCAGAGTGGGCAAAACGGGGAAGCCAATTATGACAATTTTTTTTAAAGAGATTATTACTCCCGGAAAAGTGCTCCGACAATTGACTAACAACCGGGTTCCTATTTACTGCTAGGTAAACATAGGCATGTGGAGTAAGGAAACTTGCCCAACATTTCGCCCTGCCGGGAATCAAACGTCTTTTGCTTGAGAGGCTCTAATCACTGAGCTACAGGACTCCTGCTAACAAGATTGGATTGGTTATTTTCAGCCGTACAATACAGTTTACATTATGTAGCACCTTTCATGTTGGGAGGATGTCTGAAAGTGCTTGACGATGCAAGCTGGGCACCTAAACTGACCAAACTGAGGGCATTGGGCAGAAAACAAAAATAACCAAAGGGTCCTTTTTGTTCAATAAAAAGCACAGTGACAATTTTTCTTTGTTTATTCAGAGAATATTCAGAGAACACATGGGTGTTATGACATTTAATCATGTGAACTGATCATATAATGTACAAGTTATTTGTGACAATTAGTGCGTTTGGATCACTTGGGTCCATGAATTTCAAATGTGATATCATTGAGATTCATCTGGTATTTATTCAATGACTAACTTTTGACATTTTCATTACTGTCGGTCTTTCGTGCTTAACATGATTTTGTTCATTTAGAAACAGATTACATATTGGTTTTGCTTGAATTAGCTGGAGCCTAGAATTTCAACACGCTGGCAGTGAGAGATTTTTGTCTTTGTTTTGTAATGTAGAACATGAAGCGACGCAGGCGTCGAGACATTTTGCGAGTGCAGTTAGTGAGGATATTCGAGCTGCTGGCAGATGCTGGTGTAATAAGTTACAGGTAAGAAATGGACAACCTAGTAAATTGCACATACTAGCAACATAATATTAACAAACTTGTTAAAGAAGCATTATCATCCTGACTCTCTTCATCAGAAAAATAGCACAAAGGTTTAACAAAATGTTTTCTCCTTAACCAGCTTTGTGACCAACATTGAAGAACGATCTTTCATTTAAAGTATACAGTTCCTAAATTAAGTGGAATTTTCTACCTCATTAGTGTCAGCTGTGGTATAGCTGAATTTATAATTGTCTGGTAGGTCATGTGCCTGTGTTTCAGACTTTTCGTCTTTCTGCAAACTGGTGCACTCCAAAGTAGGTGAAATACACTGGCTTATGCATTTAGCTTTTCTCACTTATCCCATCTCATTTTTAAGAATTTGGGATTACAGTACTAGGTCAGTTAACATTCCCATTAATTTCTTTTGACATTAATCTGGATTGGTTTATTGATCCGATTTAGACAACCTTTCTTGTTTTTGTTTTTCCCCCTAATGGAAGAACTGCTTTCATCCCACCATTCTGGGCTGAATTCAGACTTTATCCTAAGGGATGAAAGATTACACCCTGAACCATTGCATCACCAAATGATTCAGTGGTTCAGGGTACAATCTTTTATCCTTCAGAACAGAGTCCGAATTCAGCCCCGAATGATGGGATGAAAGCAGTTCTTAAATGGCGGCTTAGAATCCTTCACTAACCGTATTTAGATAACCTCACAGAGTGGACATGCTTCCTTATTACAAAACTCAGTTTTCAATTGGCACAAAAATGAGTTTTATTTTTTCAGATTCACATATGGCTAATACTTAATGTTTAAATTTTTATTTTATAAAAATGTGAATTGCTAGATTAGTAACAATTGTTTTTTAGCTAGCTGGAATTATTCATTATTTTAAATATGAAAGCTATGTTAGTTTGTTCTCAGGCCACATAAGGAAGTGGTCAAAGTACTGGGCTTAAAGATTTAACAAATGAGGAAAGAAAGGCTCAGGAAGGGAACATTTATTCTTTATGAGAAGCATTGTTTCCTGACATTGAAAAAAAAGGTTAGCCTGTGGTAGTGCACCTTCCTCTAACTAAGACTTGTGCATGGTTTTGTGTGAAAACCTCTGTGAATTATCGACTCCTAAGGATCATAAGTCATGATTCTTTAAATAATAATAATAATTCTTGCATTTGATATAGCGCTTTTCTTGTCTTCTAGATGTCTCAAAGCGCTTCACAGAATATGCTGTAAAGTGAATTGACTGTATATTTGTGGGCGAAATGCGGCAGCCAATTGCGCATAGCAGTGTCCCACAAACAGTCGCAGAGAACCACTCTGCTAGTGATTGCACTCATTCAGTTGGTTTAAATAAAGAGAATTTATATTTTGTAAGCATGGCTTTAAAATTTTGTAGGCACACTATTAGTACAAAAACCAAGAGAATTCTATGCAGTATGTAATAGATAATGTCAAAATTGTTTCAGAATTGTTATTTTCTTTAACGTTGTACATAAATTATTTAAAACCATGTACTCCAGGATTTATACAGCTTCCTTACAGTATCATCAATGGTATCCCTTTTAAAACAAAATATTCCCCAAAACAGTGATTCCTGTTAACATGAAATGTAGATAATTTGTTATGATCAGTTTTGGATCAGTTGCTGTTGTACTGCAGCCAATGTCCATCTATCCCAAATTTCAAGTGATCAGCTGAAAGTGCTTTTGTATTTAGTTGCTATTTGACACAAGTCAATCATTCTGGTGATAAATGAAAAAAAATGTCTTGGCCAATTAGCCAATTCAGGCACAGCAATGTCCCTTAAACAGCCATGAAATGAATGACCAATTTTATCTTGTGTGTTGTCAGCTTGGACACCTTGAGAAATCTGTTCTCTTTTCAAATAGTGCCTGCCTCCCTATACCCACTGATATATGCAAAGCTTCCCCTTTGGTTTTAGACCAACAACAAATACATCATTTGAGATATATTTCATGATCTCTTTTGGGAGTCATTTAGTCGCATTTTTTTCTTTTGTTTAGAGCTGTACCATTTGAAATGTTTAAACTTGTGCTGCCAGGCACCTAGGATGCTTATTGTTGTCCAATGATATGTTAGTTTCTGATCGTCATGGGATAGTTACTCTTTATTAGACTGGAGCAATTTTTTATAAGTCACTTATAAGGTGGCTCTTTCTGGAGTGTGATTTGACTGCTAGAATCAGTAGTTGGATTTTGATACTAACTTTACAGCCTTACATAAATGTTACACTAAATTTCTGGTTATAATAAGAATCATAAGTTGTGTGGTAATTGTTTTCCTTGTTCTTGATTTTCTTCTATATTTTCCCTTTTATCAGTACAAGTGGAGGCCTTGATAATGAAACACATTCCCTCAATAACACTCTGTTGGAGTACGTTGATCTGACGAGGCAGCTGCTTGAAGCGGAGAATGACAAGGACTCTGACACATTAAAGGATATCCGTTGCCATTTTAGTGCCTTGGTGGCCAATATCATACAAAATGTCCCAGGTATATAAAAATATTGAATGAATTAGCTACTAATTACATGAGGATAATTGTGCTTGAGTGTAGGAACGCATTATATCAGATACATGATTCAGATGTTATACAATGGACAACAACAAGGTTTGGAAATTGGAAAAAGTAACCAAACATAATAAGAATATTCCTTGCATTTGACATAGTGCCCTATCACGTCATTGAGACATCTCAAAGAACTTCACAGGATATATTAGAAAGTGGATTAACTTTTGTGGGTGTATTTTATTCTGCAGATTATTTTATTGTGTATTTTGTTGTGTTATTTCTGCAGATTCATGCTGCTTTTCGGTGGCTATCACAACCTTTTTAAACTTTTTAAAACCTTATGTTTTATAAATTGTAGCTGAGTTTGGAGTAGCATTAACTGCAATTTTTGATTTCACTGAGGCAGTGTTCTTATTACTAAATCTCAAAAAATCCTAAACTCAGTCAATCTATCATACGAAGCCAAACTAACGAATGCCAAGGCTGTTATTTGTAGTCGAAGCCAAGCATTGCCACTGAAGCAGCTGTTACTTTTTGCTACACATTCCATTAATATTGTGCAGTGTTTGCACTTCTGGTGCACATTAACTATTTCATTCACAGTTATTATGGCGATTTGAAGATGTAGACCTATTTCAAAAGTATGAAAGCCTCGTCCACAAACCAAGTATAATCTACCATCAAGGACTCTGTTCGATGTACTTAATGTATTTAATTTCCTAAATAAAAGTAACCATAGATAGTCTCCATTCCCAAATTTAATTAATTAATTGTGGAGCCCTGTAGCTCAGTGGTTAGAGCACTTGCTTTGCAAGTGAGAGACCTGGGTTCGATTCCCGGCAGGGTGAAACCTTGGGCAAGTTTCCTTACTCCACATGCCTGATGATAATCCCTCAAAAAAACAATAATATTAAAAAATGGTCATTTCAATCCACGACTGTTTGTGGGACACTGCTGTGCACAATTGGCTGCCGCATTTCGCCTGCAAATATACAGTCAATTCACTTTATAGTCTATTCTGTGAAGCGCTTTGAGACGTCTAGAAGACGTGAAAAGCGCTATATCAAATGCAAGGATTATTATTATTAAGCAAAGCTCCAGATTCATTCTCACTGAACCCTAGGCTGCTGCTTTATACAGATGACACTATACCTTCCCTCACCCCACGCTGCTGCCATCAGTTGACTACAGTCAAAGTAAACAGCAACAAAACATAGGGTTGTACATTCAGGCATGCAGCTGGAAAAGAACTGAGTTTATTTAAACAGTCAACCTCTGTCCTGAAATATATTACAGTATTTTAAAAGAAAGCTTCTGAGATTTTGCAGCTATTTGTTTGTGAGAACTTTTTCACTTGAATTGAGCATTCCCCATGGGCCATTGAGATTAATATGTTCTAGTTGAGCCTTTATATATGGGTGTTGAGAGTTGAACTCCAGTATTTACCGTGTTGATATCTGACCTCAGGTAGAGAAAGTAGATTTTGCCAAGTGTTTATCATTTATGCATTAGATCACACTCTGTTTAAATTGTTTTAATGTTTACAGGTTTAGGTGTTAAGACTTTACAATGCTTAATGTATCTAGCAGACACTGATTCTTCTCTTTCTTTCCAGTGCACCAACGCAGGGCTATATTTCCTCAGCAGAGTCTTCGCCATAGTCTGTTTATGCTGTTCAGCCACTGGGCTGGTCCTTTTAGCATTATGTTTACTCCCCTGGACCGATACAGTGATAGGAACATGCAAATTAACAGGCACCAATATTCTGCATTAAAGGTAAAAAAAAATTGCTGATTATAGCTCACTGTAAAACTCATGGTGTTTTGTTGAAGTTATTCATTATATTATTATTGAATGTGTCATTTTGCCATTTGAAAATATATTAAATATGTCAAATAAGAATCCATTTCTTATTTGACATAGTTAATATATTAGAATTCTTAGCAAAATATCTAATATAATTCCTATTAGTTTATCCTGCTCATATAACCAAAAATTATGGTGTTCCAAATGAATGTTATTTCCACAGCATAAATTTTATTTATTAACTTTGTTTTTCATTCCTAAAGGCTATGTCAGCTGTACTATGTTGTGGGCCTGTGTCTGATAATGTAGGTCTGTCATCAGATGGTTACCTATACAAGTGGTTGGATAATATCCTGGATTCCCAAGACAGAAAGGTAAGAAATGTGAGGGGGGCATCTTAACTGAGTCACGTAGGTTAAACAGTGAGTTTCACCTTTAGTCTACACCAGATCATTCATTTTCATTACGTGTCCAGTCTCTGTTATTAATGAGATTGCACCAGCACAGATAGGATATGAAGTCAGGTCAGGAAAATACAGCAGATGAATTAATGCTCCTCCACACACGCATGCCCTGCTTCACAGTGACACTTCCACACACAAATAGGACTAATGTGAAGATTTGGCTCAATACATTGCAAATGTTGACCTATTTCCCACTGACTAATTACAAAAAGGTTCTTTGTTCTCTCGAGTTCCCACAAACTGCAGTTGGTTCTGAAGGAAATCTATCTGTAGTAAATTTAAAAACACAGGTCAACTTATTCATGTCCACCCACAAATTATTTGAATTATTTGTGAAGAGGTAGTTGGGATGCTTCAATTTCTCTTGGGTCAGGGAGGAAGAATCTAGTCAGTGAAACATGAAAAATGCTGCCTTAGGCGAGGTGCTGGAAGTTTCCATGGAGCCCTTGTTCTAAAATAATTTTAACAGTTTTCAATCAATTCCATCAGGCCTTAGTAGTGAGTGAGGAGGGTGTTTATCTTACTCCTCCGTGCAGTTGCTGGTGTCATTCCCAGCAGAATCTAATGTGCTTCATTGGTTTCATTAGCATGTCTCTAGTGGGAGTTTCCTCATAAATGGAACATTGGATAATTGTCTTCATTTGTTCTCATTTTCTCCCTTTGCACATTAAAGCGACTAGATTGTTTATTTTGTGTTAGTATGCTGCTTCTAATTTTACGGTTACCAACTTATTATGATGTTTAAATTCCTTTTTGTAATAAACCACACCCTTATTTAATTTCTTGAAATTAAGATAATTGAAGGTGGTGGATTACAACGCCTTGGGACGTCCTCCCGACGTGAAAGGCGCTCTATAAATGGAATCTTGTTGTTGTTGTTGTTGTACATGGCTCAGTTGGCAGCACTCAGCGTGGCTCAATTGGTTGCACAGAAGGTTATGGGTTCAAGCCTCATGTTGGGATTTGAGCTCACAGCTAAAACTCCAATACAGTACTCGCAACTGCTGCACTGTCAAAGGTGTTTTCTTTGGTCAAGATATTAAATTGAAGTCCTGTGTACCTATTCACTTTGGAGATTAAGATCCTGTTATGTTGTTTGAAAAGTGAAGTTTCTCCCAGTGTTCAAAATCCTCTAGATTAATTGGTACAAATATTAGCTATAATAAGTCACATGATAGTAAAATGCTTGAAGATGTTTTGACAAGAAGCATTCCAAAAGTTCTTTATTTTCTTAAATGTAAAACAGTTCAAAAATATTAGAATTTAAAATATTTGAATTCAAGATCAATGAATTAAAACCAAATAATGGCAAAGATACAGAATAATATCGTTTTGTACTGAAAAATAAGTTAAAGTGTGCTACTTAATAAAGTACATTGAAGATATTAGTTATTTTCATGACGAGACAAGAGAGTAATGGTAAATCCTGTTAATATTGAGAAAAATATTTTAATTGAATTAATTCTGATTTTAATTGGCAGGATGGTTTTATAAAAATCTCATATAAAGCTATTGTATTTGTATTGATTGCTTGTTTTGTTTTTGTCTGCTTCAGGTTCACCAGTTAGGTTGTGAGGCTGTCATGTTGTTATTAGAGCTGAATCCAGACCAGAGTAACCTGATGTACTGGGCTGTGGATCGATGCTACACGGGTTCAAGACGGGTGGCAACTGGCTGTTTCAAGGCAATAGCCAATGTATTTCACAACAGGTACAAACTCGATTCTTTGTGCTCTGTACAGGAAGCCAGCGATCACTCTCACAAACTTTACCAGTAGTCGTTGACACTCCGGGAGGCCTCCTGAGCATGCTCGCTGTACACCAGAAATATCACCAACCTCTTTTACTGCACATTTGGTCATCTCTTCCCTCCCCATCATCTTCAGCCCCAACCTCCATCTTAGGTGCCCAGCCAGCTGTGTTAAGCACTTTGAGACATCCTGCGATGTGGGAGGCACTAAATAAATGTAAATTGTCCTCTTTGTTTTATTTCCTCCTTTTACAATTCCAGCCGAGTGTGGAGCATAGAAGTAAAACAATTCTGTACATTCAAGCTATCATTAAATTACCATGGTTGTATAGAGAATCTGGCACATGTATTTGTAAACTAAGATATTTGACTATTTCGGATTTTGTTTTTGTGCACCTCATGTACATTAATCATAAGATTAAATAAAAGTTTTTTTTATATATATCGCTAAATATAACAATATGAATATTTGTAACTTTCTCCCAGGGATTACCAGTTTGACACTGTGGCTCTTCTGAACCTGATACTTTTCAAAGCTGCCGATTCATCCAGAGAAATCTATGAAGTTGCCATGCAACTACTGCAGGTCTGTGAACCATTTGATATGAAACATCTCGAGACTTAATCCTTGGAGGATTGAATGTACTGTATATCCCTCAGAATGTTTGCTTTCAGTTACAAAGCCATAGGGAATTATTTTAAAGCACATTTGAATATTCACTGAAATGTCAGTGTTTGAGAAATGTATAGATCCATAAACATTACATAAAGCACAATTATCAAATTTGGTTAGCACTGGAACTATCTGCCTTACACCCAAGATTCTTGTTCTTGACATTGATGCAGAACGAAACATTGGGCACGTTTCTGTATTCCATACACCTCTGTTTACCTAGACATAAATAGGAACCCAGTTGTTAATCGATTGGCAGATCGCTTTTCTGGGGGTAATAATCCCTTCAAAAAAATAATAATAATAATTTGGTCACTCAGTCCAAGACTGTTTGTGGAACACAGCTATGCACGATTGGCTACTGCGTTTCGCCCACAAAATATACAGTCCATTAACTTTACAGTGTATTCATTGAAGCGCTTTGAGCCATCTTGAACACGTGATACAGTGCTATATCAAATGCCAGGATTATTATTGCTATTCTTGCTTTAATAACTTTAAAATGTTTCTTTTTTATTTTGCTTTCCATATAACAGGATTAACCTTGTTACAAAGAATTTCCTCAGTGATGCTTTTCAAATAGTGTAGATGCAGCACCAAGCCAATTTGAAGTTTAAAGTATTAAAGTATTACACTTTGTTAATGGAGTTAGTGAATTATGTGCTCTTTAGTGTGAAGGGCAGAGGAATTAACCATTTTTTTTCTCTCTTCCTGCATCATAGCCTCAAATCAGGGAAAGCTCATGTTAAATGCAGTTGTAATCTCTCTATAATGACCCAGTAATATGTTTCAATCTCATACCTCTGCTTCATCCATGTGGAATCCTCTTTTCCAGCACTTGCCGCTAATGATTTCTGTCTCATGTTGTAACTATAATTTGAATATCGCATTGAAATAGAACTAGTAGCAACATAAATTCAGTGCCTAACTCACAATCTGAAACTGGTGAATCCAGAATGGACATACCATTTAGGGATTCCAAAGCGATATTGTGCTGACTACATTACTACAGCACAATGTACCACCGACGGATTTATTTTGAAACGAGTCAGTAAAATAACCACAGCATCCAAAACAAAGTGCAAACAAAGCACTTTAATAATTTCAATGACTTACAGAGGAATTGTTTAACCTTTTTAACAAGTTCAGTGCTCTAGTAATATTTCTGAAAAATGATAATGGTTGATGAAAAATTGACCAATGTTTGCTTAACAAATCTTGCAGTCTATTGATTGGGAGTGTACTTCTGTTATCTATAAATATCCTTTTTCAATATTCTTTAACGCTCAGTGAAAAATATGAGCCCCTTATAAATTGCCAATTGCTTTTATAACCTAATTGGTGATATGAGTGCATATTTGGAAAAAGGTAATTTTTTTCAAATGTGCACAATCCAAATTAGGTTTTGACTTTAAGAAATCATTTGCACACTGAAGTTCATTCAAATTACAGATTGTTTATATTGCAGTTTTTTCTAATTTTTAAGTTGCAATTGTTGTTCGTCCTTCTTGCAGATCTTGGAGCCCAAGCTATTTCGCTATGCCACCAAGCTCGAAGTTCAACGGACGGATGGGATATTAAATCACCCTTCTCCGCTGCCACATCTCTATTCTGTTTCCTATTATCAACTGTCGGAAGAATTGGCCAGAACTTACCCAGAACTCACACTGCCAATCTTCTCGGGTATAATATAAAGTGTATTTCTCATTAGCTTCCATGGAAATATTTGGTTACATATACAAGACCTTTCCTTCATATACAGTTTTCCTTGCTGATTGGGCATTCTCCTGACTTGAAAGGCACTATACAAATGTAATTTTGTTGTTATTCCTGGATAACGAGCATGCAAATCTGACTTGTCGAACTTTTAAATCTGTTTTAAGATTTGTATATTATTCTTGGAGCCTTCCATTCTTGGAGCGGGATAATGCCATCCACCTGACCGCTCGCTCCCGGTCCCCGCGTGCGCACTATGGCTGCCGCTTTGACCCGAGCCCCCTCACCCCCTCCCTCCCTCCCCCCTCCTCTCTCCCCCCAAACCCTCCCCCTCTCCATCTCTCCCGCTCTCTCCTCCTCTCTCTCCGTCCCTCTCGTCTTCTATCCCCACTTGACCCTCCCACAACCTCCCTCTGTTCCAGTCTGGGAATCCTCCGCCGGGCTCACCGCGGCACTCGGCGTTGGCTGTCCAGCAGCAGCCACACCGACTGCCCCATTCCCCACCACACTCGCCAGCCACCCCGGACACAGACCCGGGGAGTCAACCTCTCCTCCCTCATCCCCATTCCCCCACCCCTGCCTCACAACCTGGACCCCCCTCCCCTCCCACACACCCTTCTGTCAACCGCTCCCTCCACATCGGACTGCAAAATGTCCGCTCCCTCTGCAACAAGGCCCTGGTCATCAACGATCTCATCCTTGATGAGAACGTTGATATCATGGCCTTGACAGAAACGTGGCTCACCCCAGGCGACACCTTCCCCCTCACGGAGGCCACGCCACCCGGCTACACCTCCCACCACATCCCCCGCCCCAACCGCCGTGGCGGTGGTGTTGCCCTTATCTCAAGGACACCACTTGCCCTATCCCCCTACTCCTCTGGCTCTTTCCCCTCCTTCGAGCACCTCACCCTCTCCCACCCCTCATTCCTCTCCCTTAAAATCCTCCTCCTCTACCGGCCCCCTAAAACCTCTCCCACCTTCATCTCTGACATTTCAACACTCCTCACATCTCTTTGCCTCTCCTCTGATCGCCTCATCATCCTGGGCGACTTTAACCTACACTTCACCCCCTCCTGCTCCATCTCCACAGACTTCTCTTCCCTGCTCTCCTCACTCAACCTTTCCCTACACATAAACTCCCCCACTCACAGTCACGGCCACCCACTCGATTTGGTGATCACCCGGGGCCTCAGTGTCTCGGATGTCACTATTACCGACAAGGCCATCTCCGACCACTACTTCATCTCCTTCACCACCTCCACCCCCCTCCCCACCTCCACCAGACCCACCACCATCTTCTACCGCCCTTGGAAGAAGTTACCCCCACAATCCCTAACCGATGCCTTGGAGTCCTCTGAACTCCTCTCCCTCTGGCCTTCAACCCTCACCGACCCCTCTTCTCCTCTCTCCCTCCTCCACAATATCCTCTCCTCCACACTCGATACTCTTGCCCCCATCACTTCCCGCACTGTCTCCTACTCCCGCTCCTCCCCCTGGTACACCACCCACCTCCGCTCACTGAAATGCCAGGTGCGGGCTGCTGAGCGCACCTTTGTCAAATCCGGCTTAACGGTCCACCGACAAATCTGGCTGGACCTCCTCAAAATTTACCGCTCCACTCTAGCCTCGGCCAAGTCGTCCTTCTACTCCAGGATAATCCTGGAGGCGAAGAACAACCCCAGGCTACTGTTTTCCACCACATCCCGACTCCTCCGTCCCCCCCGCCACCCCGCGCAGGTCATCTCCTCCAACCTTCACTGCGAGGAGATGCTGGATTTCCTTGAATCCAAGATCAAGGGAATCCGCTCCGCGGTCACTTCCCCTCCAACTTCCACCCACCACCCACCCCTTCCCTCCCACACTCCGACTCCTACCCATCCTCCCCTACACACCTTCGTACCCGTTTCCCCACCCTCTGTCACTGAACTCATCCTATCCCTAAAACCAACCACCTGCTCCCTTGACCCCATCCCCACTCCACTCCTTATCTCCCAGCTCCATTTTCTTGCCCCACACATCACTGACATCATAAACCTGTCCCTCTCCTCTGGCTCTGTCCCCATTCCATTAAAAACTGCCATCATCACGCCCACCCTGAAAAAACCCTCCCTTGATGCGTCGCAGCTATCAAGCTACCGGCCCATCTCCAACCTCCCCTTTCTCTCCAAGGTCTTGGAAAGAGTTGTCGCCTCCCAACTGCGCTCTTTCCTCTCCACCCATTCTCTTTTTGAACCCCTTCAGTCAGGTTTCCGTGCTGCTCATAGCACAGAAACTGCCCTGGTCAAGGTCACCAATGATATCCTGACCATCTGTGACCAGGGCTCCCTCTGTCTCCTCGTCCTCCTCGACCTATCGGCAGCATTCGATACGGTCGACCACGCTATCCTACTCCACCGCTTGTCCTCCCACCTCAACCTTCAAGGCACTGTCCTTGAATGGTTTAGCTCTTACCTTTCCCACCGTCTTCACTTCGTCTCAACGAATGGCTTCTCCTCCACCCCCCGTACTGTCTCATGTGGTGTCCCTCAGGGCTCTGTCCTCGGTCCCCTCCTCTTCACCCTCTATATGCTCCCCCTCGGTGACATCATCCGCAAACATGGGGTTAACTTCCACATGTATGCGGATGACACCCAACTCTACCTTTCCTCCTCTACTCTCAACTCCACGACCACCGATGTCCTGACAGCCTGCCTGTCCGACATCGAGTCCTGGACGAGAGACAACTTTCTTCAGCTCAACGTGCGAAAAACCGAGGCCCTCCTGATTGGCTCACGTCAGCGCCTCCGCACCTCAGGCGCTGACACCATCAGCATCCAAGGCTGCACTCTCCACCTCTCAAAGCCAGTCAGGAACCTCGGCGTTTTGTTCGACCCTGAGCTGTCCTTTCTCCCTCACATCCGCACCACAACTGGCACCGCCTTCCATCACCTCCGGAATATCGCCAGATTACGGCACTACCTCACCCCTCACGCTGCTGAAACCCTGGTTCACGCCTTTGTCACCTCAAGGCTGGACTATGGGAACTCTCTCCTCGCCGGCCTTCCCGCCACCTCCCTCCACAAGCTGCAGGTCATTCAGAACTCTGCAGCTCGTGTACTGTCCCGCACCAGGCTTCGGGACCACATCACTCCCACCCTCGCTCGCCTCCACTGGCTCCCCATCCCCCAGAGGATTGAATTCAAGATCCTCATCCTCACCTACAAGGCCATTCACGGCCTTGCTCCCTCCTACCTCTCCAACCTACTATCCCCCTACCTACCTGCCCGTACCCTCCGTTCCTCTGGCTCCGGTCTGCTCCACGTCCCCCGCCCCAACCGCCCTACTATCGGTGGTCGGGCCTTCAGCCTCTCAGCCCCGAGGCTCTGGAACTCCATCCCCCAGTGCCTTCGCCGCCTCCTCCCTCTCCTCCTTCAAGGCCGGTCTCAAAACCTTTCTCTTTGACCGTGCCTTCAGCTCCCCTCTCGACTCTCTACCCCCTCCTCGCTCCCTCCCTTCCCTCCCCTCACCCTGACCATTTCCCCCTCCTCTCTCCCTCCCTTCCCTCCCCTCACCCTGACCATTTCCCCCCTGCTCGGGTCATGACCCAACTGTGCAGCGCCTTGGGACGTCCTCCTGACGTGAAAGGCGCTCTATAAATGGAATCTTGTTGTTGTTGTTGTTGTTCCAGCTAGTATGGTCTTCCAGCCTGGCATTGTTTTTGGTAATAAAATATGTAGAGTATAAAATAAACATGTAAAAGGATTCAGAAATTGTAGGGAAACAATCCGATTGGTCAGTCCTTGCATGATATCGCTTCACACAAATTATAGGTTGTTACCCGAAACCTTTTATTTGTAAATGCAATCTTGGCGATGATACAAATTTTTTTCGCAAGATGTGATGTGATTTTATATCACACTGAAGCAATATTCTGTTTTTAACCTTTGCAGAAATCAGTCACAGAATCCAAACAGCACACCCTGCTGGTCGGCAAGTGATGCTGCATTACCTTCTACCCTGGATGAATAATATTGAACTGGTAGATTTCAAACCACTGTCTTCAGCCAGGAGGATGGATGAATCTGATGAAGGTTACTTGAAGGACAGAGAGATGATGACGAACAGCAGGCGCTGGCTAAAAGGAGAAGGCTGGGGATCACCCCAGGCTACCACCATGGTGCTAAACAACCTGATGTATATGACAGCAAAAGTACGTGGGTTCTCATTAGATTCTCCACTTGCAACGTTAATAACAATATTGCCAAAAAACAAATATTACATATTTATAAATATATATTAAATGTTTCACAGCTTGGAAAAATATTAACATATAAGTTTTGCAACTCTTGTTTTAAATGTCATTAAATGAGCTGTGTTTCTTAATATAAAATACTTTTTTTAAAAAATTAAATGTAATACCAGCCGTGTTTCCCACCAAATCTGTATTTCTGAGGAATGGATTGAGCCTACAGGCCTATAGAGTGTGCCTATAGCATCAGTTCACTGTTTTATCAGCTAACTTGAGGGCTGAATGATGGAGGAAGGTGATTCAGATGGATTTTAGTATTCATTCTCTTAATTCTAAATATATAAAATAAAAAGTTTCAAAGTCTGTAATTTTTACGAAGGGAGTTGTTTTACATTAACATTTTTAGATAGCATTCAATTCCTTTAATAATAGCTAAAACAATTGAACATGTGTGTTCAGTTCTGATGAAGGGTCGTGGACCAGAAAACAAAGCATAACATTGCAGGAGTAGGCCATTCGGCCCTTCGAGCCTGCCCCACCATTCAATCATGGCTGATCTTCTAATCTAACTCCAGTTAATAACCGGACCCTGCCTTATCCCCATATGCCTCAATCCCTTTTGCAATAAAAAATTATCTATCTCAGTCTTGAATATGTTCAAGGAATGAGAGTCAACAGCCCTTTGGAGTAGTGAGTTCCATACATTCACCACCCTTTGAGTGAAGAATTTCTTCCTCAAATCAGTACGAAAGGGCTGACCTCTGATTTTAAGGTTGTGACCCCTGGTTTTAGTTTCTCCAACCAGGGGAAACAATCTCCCACTATCTACTCTATCATGCCCTTTGATGATCTTATAGGTTTCTATAAGATCCCCTCTAATTCTTCTATATTCTAGAGAATATAGGCCCAAATTGGTCAGCCTATCCTCGTAACTCATCCCCTTCATCCCTGGCACTAATCTAGTAAGTCTACGCTGCCACCCCCTCCAAGGCAAGTACATCCTTCCTTAAATGAGGAGACCAAAACTGCACACAGTATTCCAGGTGTGGTCTCACCAGGGCCCTATACAGTTGCAGCAAGACTTCCCTACTCTTATACTCTAATCCTTTCATAATGAATGCTAACATACCGTTCGCCTTCCTAATTGCTGCTGCACCTGCAGACTAACTTTCTGTGATTGGTGTACAAGGACACCCAAGTCCCTCTGGACGCCAACACATTCCAACCTCTCCCCTTCTAGACAAAAAACCCTCTCTACTGTTTTTGCTACCGAGGTGGATGACTTCGCACTTCCCTACATTATACTTCATCTGCCACCTACCTGCCCAATCACCTAACCTATCTATATCTCGCTGCATTTTTTTAATGTTGTCCTCTGTGTTGACACTTCCTCCTAGTTTTGTGTCATCCGCGAATTTAGATGTATTAACTTCGATGTCCTCTTCTTGATCGTTGATGTAGATGGTAAATAGCTGAGGCCCAAGGACTGATCCTTGTGACACTCCACTAGTCACATCCCGCCAATCTGTAAAGGACCCGTTTATCCCTACTCTTTGTTTCCTACCCGTTAACCATACCCAATCCACGTTAATATGCTCCCCCCAATTCCATGGACCCTTATCTTTTGGACTAACCTTTTGTGCGGCACCTTATCGAATGCCTTCTGGAAGTCCAAATAGACCACATCCACTGATTCACCCTTATCTAGTTTACTGGAAATGTCCTCAAAAAACTCTGAGATTTGTCAAACATGACTTCCCTTTTGTAAAGCCATGTTGACTTGGCCTAATTATATTGTGCTCCTCTAAATACCACACTACCACATCCTTAATCAACGATTCTAAAATTTTTCCTATCGCTGATGTGAGACTAACTGGCCTATAGTTCCCCATCTTTTCCTTTCCACCTTTTTTAAATAATGGAAACGTTGACTCACTTTCCTTTCTCCATAGATGCTGCCTGACCTGCTGAGTGTTCCCAACGACTTCTGATTTTGTTTTCATGTGTGTTAGCTTGCCTTATTCACAAGTTTAATTATAATAAATAATAATAATCCTTGCATTTGATATAGCGCTTTTCACGTCGGGAGGACGTCCCAAAGCGCTTCACAGAATACACTGTAAAGTGAATTGACTGTATATTTGTCGGCGAACGTGGCAGCCAATTGCGCACAGCAGTGTCCCACAAACAGCCATGAATTGAAAATGGCCAATTTATTATTGTTCTGTGTTTTGGAGGGATTATTATTAGGTGTGTGGAGTAAGGAAACTTGCCCAAGGTTTCACCCTGCTGGGAATTGAACTCAGGTCTCTCACTTGCAAAGCGAGTGCTCTAACCACTGAGCTACAGGACTCCATTGTGATTAATTGTGATAATTTAAAATTGTTAAACCTTTGTGGCTTGGTGCAGAAACTTCAAATAGCTTAGTTTCCTTTCTCCAAGCAGAGTGATGATACAAATGCTGAAGAGATTTTCTTGTGATCCTGTATAATATGTTTTTAGTTTTTCAATACCTCCAGTGAAGACGTTAGCAGTAGCACAAACTCAATGGGCCAAATGGCCAACTTCTGTGCAGTAACTAATTATATGATTTATGTAATATTTTTAAAGACCCCATACATAAATTACATTTTGGCATTACTAAAAGGGTGGGAGGGAGGGAACCTTATCATTTTTTCTCATCCAAGTGATTGCCCCACCCACCTCTTTTCCTGTTCATGTTTCAACCATAACAGCTAAATCCAAATCTGTCCTCACCAAATCTCAATAGTGCATCTTCCAGCACGAAGCTAATGGATAATGATCGGGCAGAAACCCTGACTGATTCACCCCCCGCCCCCCATTTGAACATGAGGATACTAAAACTAATAATCTTACCGCAACAGAAAACAGAAATCTAACTGTTACAGACAAGGATTCTGAGCCAATGATGCTACACCAGGGTCCTGTCTTTTCTGACAAAACAACTGGAGGAAGCCGGTGAGGTTTCTAGAACTATTATAAGTGATATTCCAACCAGAGTTTACACTTCATGGTAACTCTTAAGGAATCCTTACTAAGGGATTTGATTCTGGCAAATGAAGGCTGTTCAACAAACCAGTTATGTTGTGCTAATCCTCTGCTCTGATACAATCTACTTCTGTAGACGTGACCTGTGGTTTGAGAGGAATTCAGATACAATTCTTTATTTTGATGTCTGTTAAGAAATGCTGCATATTTTGATTCCACTCAGACTGATGTAGATCAGTTTGTGGTGGAGTTTTTGATTTTTGAATATGATTAACTTTGTTTATTTTTTTGTACAGTATGGCGATGAGCTAGCGTGGTCAGAAATAGAAAATGTGTGGACGACGCTGGCAGACAGTTGGCCTAAAAATCTAAAGATAATTCTGCACTTCCTTATCAGCATGTGTGGTGTAAACAGTGAGCCCAGTCTCCTACCATATGTAAGTACATACATAATGATGCAGGTAAAGATGAAAAGATTGATTTAAAAACTAGTTAATTAAAGGTAAAAATGTACTCGGAATCTTACCATCTGAAACTGAGAATGTAGATGTGATAATCATAATCCTTGCATTTGATGTAACCCCTATCATAGTTTGAAATGTCTTGAAGAGCTTCACAGGATTTTACTGTAAAGTGTAGTGACTGTGCATTTGTAGCCAGTTTGCACACAGCAATGTCCCGGAAACCGTTCATTGTTTATACAGTGAACAATGTAAGTTTATGAACTTGACCTCATTGCGAAGATGTTTATTGTATTTTACAACCTTGTTTGAATCCAAGAATAATTGTATTGATTACTTTAAAACAAGGGTATAAGCCAACTGTTGGTGTTTATTAGAAGCAGCATATTTACAAATGGGGAGGAATATTATATTTGTGTGTGTTCACATTTGTTTTTAATATTACCAATATTTTACTGAAACAAATCACTGATCTTTTTAACTTGTGGATTTGTTATAATTTATGTACGATAACGAATATTGGTTTTAATACCATGTCTTTGTGAGTAAAACCCATAATGTTATATAATGTGATTCACATATATATGATTTCAAAAGGAAGGGGAAAACATTGTTTGATCTGCTGAGGATACTTTTCAGGCAGATAATCAATTTTGGAAGAACAATGAATGTCAATGTATGTATTAAGTCATTAGTCTCCTTCATTTACATGAGTGAATTGAATTAATGGACATAGAATCCCAATTATTGCTATATACTATCTTGTGGAATAACATCACATCAATAATTTACATTTATATGGTACATTTCATGTCAAGAGGATATCCAAAACCACTTTACACAGCTCTATGGACATCTGAGTTAGGGAGGAGAGGAAACTGAGGTGACCAAAAACACAATTGAAAAGATGGGTCTGAAGGTAGCCTCTTGATTTCAAAGTCTGTGTCACCACTGATAATGCAGAAATGCTGCTCAGTAGAAATCACAGCATTAAATGTATGTTTTCGCATTTATAATCATTATTATATGTTTGTGACTACGCAGATCAAGAAAGTGGTTGTGTACCTGGGCAGAGATAAAACAATGCAGCTGCTGGAAGAGCTAGTGGCAGAACTGCAACTGACTGATCCAGTAAGCTCAGCTGTCACTCATATGGATAACCCACCCTACTACCGCATCACCTCCAGTTACAAAATCCCCTCCGTCACCTCAGGTAAATATAATTTACCACATACGCACTTTTTGGAGTCTGGCAGCTTTAGCGTTTGTACTGACATCATATTTTAGTACAAAATAGAACCAGATGTTCCAGTGTAGTTCACCACTGGTTATGATAATAATAAAATAATAATTAGCTACAGTTGATATTGCAACTTCCACATAAGGAAGATGCCACAAAGCACTTCATATCATGTACTGTGAAGTGTAGTGACTGTTTATTTTGTAGTCGTATTTTGTGCACAACGTCACCTGTTCGGGTAGGCAGACCTCAGTTTGTCTCATTTGATGGAGAGTGCCTCTGACAATACATCACACTCCCCGCACTGCATTGGAGTATCAGTCTAGACTACAATAAGTTCAAAGTCTCAATGTGTGGCTTGAACCCAAAACCTGAGTGAGAGGTGAGAGCACTACCAATTCAGCCAAGATGACACACAGCTTATTTACTCTAGTCTAATCAGTCCTGTTTTCCTATTTTTTCTGTGTACCTTTGTTTGAGATGCAGATTAAAGAACTAGAATCAACTGCAAAATCCTCTGAAGTCAATCCCTCCAACCAAAAATAAAATACCTCGTGATAGTAAAGATATGCCTTCGTGTCAGATGGTATTAAATTTTCAAATTTTAATACTTTTAATGGCCAATTACTTCAATTTGGCAGTACCCTTACCTGCTCCTTTTGAGATTTGAAGTCAAGAATCAATTCTAGGCTTACTGTAAAAACTGTAAAAGTTCAATGAACTTTTCTAGATTTCTGAAGTTTAATAGCATTCTAAATCTAAAATAACTTTTTGTAACTTAATTTCGACTATACGTCTCAATTTAGCATTTAATATTTTAATTGCAATTTTGAAAACCTTTCATCTGCATTCTGCAGGTACCACTTCCAGCAGCAATACAATGGTGGCTGGACACGATGGGCAGCAGGACAATAAGTTACCAAAGGATCCCACAAATGATGAAAGGTAGGCTTTTATATTTCCATTGTACTAAGTACAGGGTGACCCTGTTATAATGCAGTGGTTTGAGTCCATAAAACTCAGATGTTGTGTTCTAACAAGACTTACTAAAATATGGATGTTAGTGAGGTATTCTGGTTGGACGGGTCATTGCTAATGTCACTCACTAGCTGAAGTCAAAGGCCCTTCCTTCGCACAGCTTGCATGTGTGGTGAACAGTAAGTGATATCAGCAGTGCTTCCTGTGCGGGGAGCCAGCCTGTCAGTACAGTTCACCTTAAGCAGACCCAGGATCTCGGGGAATGTTTTTCTTCCTATCAGTACCAACCTGATATAAATAATTTGCCCCTCTTTACGTTGGTGAACTACACTGGAACATCATCACTAACCTGTTACCTAGCGTCTTCCTGTAATAGGTTTCCAGGTGTATGGCAATGTTCTGGGATTACTCAATCTTTTCTTAATTTTTCATTCGCTTTGTGGTGGTGGTATGCACATTTAAAGAACAGCACATGATCTGTTTTTGTGCCTCTGCCATTTCCCCTCTTCACCCTGTCATCAGGAGATGCACAAGAAGCTTGGGTTGACTTGCCTACAAATTGTTCTTCTTTGCCTTCCCTTCCCCTTTAAGTAACATTGATAAGTGACCGGTATGGCATTTGACAGCAAACAATGTCCTACCCACTCTTTGTTACAGTGTTTTGGAGCATGAACTTGTCCTCACACCATTTGCTTTCTTTCCAGCAATTATGGCCATTTTGATATCTACAGTGGACTGAATAGTAACCTAAACCGTCAGCACCATCGGCTTGAATCTCGTTACAGCAGCAGCTCTGGGGGTTCCTATGAAGAGGAGAAGAGTCAGTGTGTTTATTTCACTATTTATTGCAAAACATTTTCAGGTTTAACTTGAAACTTTAAGATTCTAAATCAAGAACATTGGCATTTTGTGGAAGACAATAAATGACCCTAATGGGAAATTATATTGTTGGAAATCAGTCAATCCCCTGGTGACTTAACAAGTGTACCAGTCAGAGGCTGAGTGATGCACACAGGAAGATTGCAAGTTTTACATCCAGTTTATGCTGAATTAGCTGATCTCAGCTGTGATGCTGGTTGGGGCATTGCAACGGCGTTTAACGTTTTGGTTACAAAAAAAGGGAACTCACCCATTCAGACACCCCTACTGTTTGGCATTGAAGTGCTGCCAGTCCTAGTCTATTACCATTGCCTTAAAATTTAATATTCTTCAGAATTTTGGATAATTCTTAAGTGAATTGGATAATTCTTAAATTCAGTCTTAATAATGCAGCTGGTTTTCTGCAGTTCCTAAAAGAACATCCTTGTTAAGAGCTTCAGTATTGACTTAAATAATTTTCTTTTGGACAGTCTTAAATTTTAAAACATGGTTAATACCTCAGGTGAGGACAGAATTAGTTTCGTCTTTGATAATCCCCTCGCCAAAATCTCCAGCCTCAAGCTGGAATACTTGTGTGGGGTACGAGTGGGTGACTGGCTTCTATCAAACTGTACTTCGCAAGGAGTCAATTTGTCAATCAAATGGTAGAAAATTGGTGGAGAACAAAATGAAAATATTAGAAAGTGACAGAGTAAAATCATCTATTAATATTAATAGCTTCTAGTTATAAAGAATTTTCTTTGGTATCGTTTCAATTATACATTTTAAAAAGATATGTGTTCTTGTTCTAAGTATCTTAAATATTTTTGGTTTTTTTAAGCTGTATTATAGCTATTTTGGGACCTAAAATCAAATATATTCCCTGAGTTCAACCAGCATATTGATAGAAAAAATGTTCTGATGCATTTATATCACAGTATGACTTGGATATTTTCAATGCTGGATGTTCACAGACCATAACAAACTCACTCTTTTTATTGCCATAAGTGTTCTATGAGTGTTCTATAAGTGGTTGAGAGTAAAAGGTAATAGAATGACTATGGGAAGACAATTCAAAGGATGGTAGGACAGATACTAAGTGTCTAGAGTGGTTGCACTATAATCACAAATATTGCTCTGGTCTATTAATTCTTAATACTAATAATAACAATAATAATCTTTGCATTTGATATAGCACCTTTTCACGTCTTCGAGGCGTTTCAAATCGCTTCACAAAATCTACTGTAAAGTGAATTGACTGTATATTTTGTGACCAAAACGTCCTCACAAAAGATTGTGATTCAAATATAATTCAGGATAGTACTGAAGGTTTCGCCCACAAAATATACAGTCAGTTCATTTTACAGTATATTCTGTGAAGCACTTTGAGACGTCTCGAAGACCTGGTAAGAGGCTGTGTCAATGCAAGGATTATTATTATAACAATGCAGCTCCCCCATCATTGTATTTGAGTGTCAACATGAACTGTAAGTTTAGGTCCCGATGTGAGACTTGTTTCCACACCCTTCTGACTCAGCGGCCGGAGTGTTACCAAAAAGCTCCTTCCTTTCAAGGTGTTTCTTCCCTCTCTAATTCCCTTTTCTTGGTCTCTGCATCTTCCCTGGCAAAGATGGTGGGAAACATCCTATTATTAGAATTTGATTATAAAAGGGCTTGATAAGGTTAGTGCAAATAGGCTGTTTCCCCTGGTTTGTGGGTCTGTAACCAGGGGACACAAGTATAAGATACTGACTAGGGAATCTAAATTTTTTTTTAGGAGGAACTACATCACTGAGATTGTGGAACGTATGGTTGAATCAGATAGTATAGATGGATTCAAGAGGAAGACCTTCATATGAGGGAGAGGGGAATAGAAGGGTATGGAAGGGAGTAAGGAATGGGTGAAGACTCATAACATATCAACATGGACTAGTTGGTCCAAGTGGCCTGTTTCCGGGCAGTACACTCTTTGTAAATCTCTGTACTCTCAGGCCTCACTTGATGCTCCTCTGAAATCAGCTGCTAGAAAGAGCATCACTGAGGCCCTGGGTGACTCTCCTTCAAATTGTTGCTTCCTCCCTGTGGGAAGCACCTGTGCTGTGCTCCGCACTATCCCACAACAGCACCACAGTAACCAGGAAACTGCTGCTTGAGCCCACATCCTACTGCAGTACAGTGCGTTCTAGCTTCAGTCATTGCAGTGTTTGAAATATATCAGATTTTACTGGGTTTAATATTGCCTCATTATAAAGATTTCATAACTGGTTTAACGAGAGTTTGCTCATTTTTGACCAATAAATAAAACATATCTCAGTTATCCATTTATTCCAAGCACTCTGTGACTACAGTAATTGTACATCACTGCAATGTTTTGGTCTGTTAGTATTCTGAATATGTAAAATATGAATTTTTCCCATGGAATTTGAAAGTAGTGATTATTTTGTTGTCAAACTGCTTAGCAACTTTATTGCTAAGCAACTTTAGTGCTAGCTAAGCAGTTTGATACTAACTGAGCTGTTGTTTAATAGATGATTCCATGCCAATTTATGCAAACTGGAGGCTGAAAGTAATGGAACTAAACCGAGCAGAGCCATTGCCGTTCTCTCCCACTGGCGGAAGCTGGTCACCATTGGCTGATTATCTGCCTGAGACTGGCACCTCTGGGGTACCCCTGCACAGGTATGTTCATACCAGTTACATTAATGCATTACCACCACAAGAAATTCTTTCACACAAAATTATTAGAATAAAACCACAGAGGTTAGCTTCTGAAGAGTTTGAGGTGGGATTTTTGCATGTTCTTGATCTTGATCCTCTTCACAAGAAGGATGGAAATGTATTATTTCTGATTCCAGGCTAACCTGTTGTTTCATGTCACATTTCTTCCGTACCTCTCGCAGCTTGTTTCAAAAGTGCCATTGGGATTGGAAAAGAAAGATTTCACAAGGGGATTTACTAATAGTGATTTGTTCACTATTAGGGAATCCTGACAGTAACTGTCAATAGATCATAACTGACTTGCAGGATTCCTGTGCCTTGCTACCCTAGTGTGCGTCAGTTTAAATGGGTTGTTTCTTCTCAGTGATGGTTTCAGACGTTCCAGTGTACATTACTATACAACATACTGTGCTGTAGAATGACTCAACAGTATATAGCAGTTGTTGTAGCATGCAGCTTAAGAGAGATCAATTTTACAATGGAAAAAGAACCTCTAACCATACACATCTTCTTAGATTGATGTATTGTGTTTCATGTAAAAGATTGTCTCAAAATACTTCATTAAATAAGAATAATTAGAAATCAGGTGAATTGTACTAATTTAGCAAATAGGGGGATAGTACGTTTCCCCTTTTCTGAATCAGAAGAAGAGAATTTCCCCCTTTCAATGTCTTTAACTACTGCTGGGGTCCGACGCACAAGGCAACAAAATTAAACATTATTAAAGATGTTTTGACACATAATCATAACTTGCTGCATCTGCGCTGAAAGAGCTACCCATGTACCTACCCCTGCCCTTTCCATAGATTTTTTTTCTTTTCTTAAGAACTAGATGATGCTTTTGTTGTTTTACCTCTGGAACCTGGGTTTATTTATTCACCAAGACTGATGGCATGAAAATCTCCTCACTCTATTGGCTGTAAGTGGTACTGAGTGAAGCAAAGTGATAGCCTCAATCTCGTTCTTATTGGGTAAGGGCCGTACCACAAAACTGTCTATAATTCAGCATGAACTGGGACTTGCTCACAGAGGTGTCGAAAATAAAAATAAAATGATGCTGGTACTATATACTGTACCATGATCAAGGTTAACAACAACAACTTGCATTTGTATACCGTTCTTCATATGGAGTAGCATCTCTGAGCACTTGAGCATTTAAGACGTGTTGATGGGAATTTTGGAAGAATCTCCCTATACAAATATCCCAAACTATGTCCATCACTACAGAACCAAAATGGAGAAGTGCTGTTTTCCACAAGTTACACAACAATCCTCTCAATATTTGTAATAGAAGGAAAAAGGGAGTTTTTTGTTTGAAAACAGTTAAGTGATGCCACTTTAAAGAAAATGTTGTTTGCAATTAGTGCACCACACATTCAACATCTACAGTTCTTTTAAGAGTTATTTATTTTTTAAGTTGGGGTTCTCAGGGGATGGAGTTCATTGTATTTATGTTGTAACATTTCTGAGTGTTCTTTTGAGTTATTAATATTTTTTTTGTATTTCCAGATGTAACATAGCAGTGATTCTTCTGACTGATCTTATCGTTGATCACAGTGTAAAGGTGGAATGGGGAAGCTATATGCATCTCTTGCTTCATGCAATATTTTTAGGTAATTATCAACAAAGAGCATTTTGTTCCATTAATTTTTTACTAAAAAGATATTTTGCATTTCCTATTGTTTTTGTTGGTTTTATTTTGAAGCTATGACCCTTGGGGAGGAAGTATATAAAGTCAATTTGTGATTTGGTACTGAGTTCCTGTAATTAATGAGGTAAAGTGTCAGAGAGTTGAACTGTGTTGTGTTTTTCTATTAGCAAACATAAATTTATTTTATTTTAATCTGTCTTGCTCTAGGATTTGATCACCAGCACCCTGAAGTATACGAGCACTGTAAGCGACTGCTTTTGCACTTGCTTATAGTAATGGACTATAACAGTAATGTTCAAGCCATGGCCTCCGTCCTCCTCAGGAACCGGGATTATACTGACCCTAAAGTGCTCACTGTCAAACCAGCCACTCATATAGAGTACAGTTTTACAGGTTAGTGACTAATCATGTATCTTTCAAAAAAAAGTTTGATATGAGAAACCTTGTTGGTTCCATTTATTCCCAGTAGATGGCGCCAAATGATTGAATTCTATTTCCAATGAGCAAAAGCCACATTTTTAAAGTGGAAAATGTGTTAGGATATTTACATAACTTTTTTTAAGATTTATTGTAATAAAACAAAAAGCTGCAAATGCAAAACTAGTATAAGTAACAAACAATTTTGAATCCCTCTTTGAGTATATGAACGTGTCCTTTCCCACACAAAGTTGCATGACAGTATCATCCCTATTCAGCCCATCACCCCTCAACCGGCTCAGTTGGCTCCCATTTCCCAGCGGATTGAGTTCAAAATCTTCATTTGTACCAACAAACCCTCCACTGTCTTGCCCCACCTCTGCAACCTCCTCAACCCGAACTCCAGCTGGGACAGACCTTCATCATGTCCCCAGCCTTTCCCGCCCTACCATCGGAAATATGTCTTTCAGCCTATCTGCCTCCACTCTCTGGAACTCGATTCCAAAGTCCTCCCAACTCTCCTTCCTTCCTCTCATTCAAGGTCCACCTCAAGACGTACTTCTGTGAGCATGTTTTCTGTCATTTCCTCTTCCACATCCCCCTTGGTTCTCAGCCCTAGTTTGGATGTCAAAGCTAGGGTTTTGGAATGTCCTCCCAGTGCTTTGGAATGTCCTCCCAATGTGAAAGGTGCTATATAAATGTAATAATAATACTATTTTCTGTGCCCTTATATTATTAGTTGACTATTTATGAGTTAATCTTATTTAATTGGTATGCATCAACTAATAAATAATCAGCTGATAATATCAAAAAGTGACCTCCATGATCTTGGTAATTTCTCACAAAAAAAAGATGTTTTTGCCATGGATGTATGCTTAACTGTATAATTAAATCCTTTTTAAAAAAAAGTAGTTGAATAAGAAGATGCGTCCCAGTCTGATAGTCTTTTTAAGTGTCCTGCTGAAGTTGCATTTGTATTGTTCTTCCAGCAGGGGGCAGTGAATTTGCACCAGATTACCAGCCATCGCCAATGACAGACTCAGGACTCAGCTCAAGCTCTACCTCTTCTAGCATCAGTTTAGGAACTACAAGTGCTGCCATTCCCCAACTAACACCCACCATCTTAAATGAGGTGGACATTACTGCAGAGCAAGATGAAAAAGTGAAAACACTCATCGAATTTATAACCACAAGGTAAGCTAATGCGTTTTGTAAGTAGGTAGTCCAGAGATGAGGCTTGAAATGTTCCCTTCCTCTCCTCATTTTAATGGACAGGCGAAAATGTCCTTAGTTAAGCAAATCCTGCTTATTTATTAAGTAAGGTAAATGTTAACATATGTAATATAAAAATGCATTTTTAAACATGCAATTACATGATGTTAAGTAACTGTTTCAAAATGTTTATTCGTGATAGCAGAATCTCATTGTCCTGTTTTCTTATTGTAAAACATATACTATGGATAATTGACTTCCAAATTAACAACAACGTGCACTTCTATAACATTCTCTAAGCGTTCCATGACATAATTCCTCATGAAAGGCGCGATATAAATGCAATTTGTTACTGTTAATGTAAAGGATCATCTCAGAACATATTACAAATATGGTGCCAGACTGGGGAGGAGGGGATCACAAACAAGTGACCATAGGCACAATCCAAGACATAGCTTTCAGAATGATTTTGCAGACAAAGGAGAGGAGCTAGACAAAAAAGTTGAGTGAGTAAATTCCAGAGGGTGGATGCATAGTGACATCTTGGATACTGATGGTGGGTGGAGGAGGCAGGAGATAAGCAGATCTGAGTTTGCTGAGCAGAGGGATTGAGGGAGGGTAGAGAAGATCACAGGCGTAGAGAGCTGAGAAATTGTGAAGGGATTTGTAGGTGATGGTGAGGATTTTGAAGCCGAGGGAGAGAGAATGTTGAGGAAATTAGAGCAATAAAGGAGGTATTGTCAAAGGAGGATAGCTTTTGCCTTCTCCATGCTTAGCTGAAGAAAGTTGAGGCTTGATGTCAGACAGGCAGGCGATTAGAACATCATTGGACTTGGAATCAGGAAGAAGTAGAGAGGTAGGTAGATTTGAGTATCCCCACATCTAAGTAGAAACTAAGCCTATGTTTGCAGAAATTAAAACAGAATTTCCTAAATTCTGCACAGTCTTACATTTTAAGGCAAAGACCACGAGCAATTTCAAGTATCGGGCTGTAGAATCAAATATTTCCATACTATTAATGTAATGTGCTATTACATAGTAATGTGCTATGTGATGGCACACAATATTCATAGCTCCCCTTTACTCATCTCCCAATGGATTTTTATCCTCAGCATACCTGGAGGACATCATCTTAAAATTTCTCGGAAGTGTGATCAGAAACCATTCCTTCCCATAGAGGATTATGAGAAAGTGGAAGGCAAGGATGTAGATTCAGAATTAAATAGGATGTTTCAAAAGAGAGATGACAATAATCATCCTTGAATTTGATATAATGCCTTATTGCATTGTTGAGATGCCTCAAAGCACTTCACAGAATATATTGTAAAGTGGATTGACTGTGGATTTTGTGGGCGAAATAGATAGGTACTTCAGAATTAAGGGTTTTAAGGGATGTGAAGAAGTAAGGAAAAGGGATTATAAAATCTGTCATGTTGTAACAAAGTAGTGGAACCGGATACAGGCTCAAAGGCGACATGTCTATCCTGTTCTTGTGTTCCTAACTTTTAATGTTATTATTAAAAAAAACAATTTGGTCACTCAATCCACTGTTTGTGGGACACTGCTATGCGCAATCGGCTGTTGTGTTTTGTCCACATAATATAGTCAATTCACTTTACAGACGCTTTGAGACGTCTCGAAAACGTGTTAAGCCGCTATACCAAATGCAAGGATGTCAAATGACCAACTAGTGACTATGCTCTGTATGTGGAGTCCTGTAGCTCAGTGGTTAGAGCACTCGCCTCACAAGCAAGAGACCTGGGTTGGATTCTCGGCAGGGCAAAACCTTGGGCAAGTTTCCTTACTCCACACGCCTGATAATAATCCCAAAAGAATAAAAATAATAAAGTTGATCACTTCAATCCACAACTGTTTGTGGGACACTGCTTTGCACAATTGGCTGCTGCGTTTCGCCCGCAAATATACAGTCAATTCACTTTACAGTATATTCTGTGAAGAGCTTTGAGCCGTCCAGACGATGTGAAAAGCGCTATATCAAATGCAAGGATTATTATTATAATGTATGAATGTTGGATTTCTCAGTGAGAACCTCTCAGTGAGTAACCTCTCTCAGTGAGATTTCAAAAGTGTCCTATAAATATATGCTGTATAAGAATTAGGTTAATGTGGATTGAAAATGTGATTTCTTTTTAACTTCCATGTCATCTTCTAAAAGAAAACGAGGGCCTCTTTGGAACCATGAAGATGTCTCGCCTAAAAATCCTAGCATTAAAACTGCTGAACAGTTAACTGTGTTTTTAAAACATGTAGTGTCCATATTCAGACAATCTCGATCAGGTAATCAGATTATTTTCTTAATAAATATTTCAAGTATTGTTCTTTATGGTTGAGAGTATTTTGGTACTGTCTCTTGCTCCTTCCCCTCCAGTGTTTTTTGTGAATATCTTGTTTCTCACCAAACTAGGTTTTCAGCTGGAGCAGCTTCTCAGTGAAGTAGCTCTGCAGACAGCACTTTCATGTAATAATAGACATTACGCTGGAAGGTCATTCCAGATCTTCAGAGCTCTAAAACAGCCACTGACGGTATCTACGCTTTCTGATGTACTGTCAAGGCTTGTTGAGACCGTTGGAGATGCAGGGGAAGAGGCTCAGGTAAATCATTTCTATATTGCAAGCTGTGCGTACTTTGGGTCGGTTTCGATAAAGGTTTTGTGAAGCTATGCATTCAGTTGTGATGTGATTATAGAAATGAACAAATTGTGATCACAGTAATATCAGAAATCAAGTTGTGCATAAGGATGGATTCTGTTATCTCAACAACAACAAATTCCATTTGTATTGCACCTTTCACATCAGGAGGACGTCCCAAGACGCTGGACAGTCAGGGATCCGCACCTGAGCTGGTGGTTGGGATCAGGAGAGGTGGAGGGCGGGGATGGGAGGGATAGGCGGTTGACCAAAGGCACGGTCGAAGAGGAGGGTCTTGAGATAGGACTTGAAGGAGGCGAGTTAGGTTATCACTAGTATAATATAATTAGGATTCTTATAGAAGAAAAACAATTCAATCTTTGTCAGTCATTCAGTATCTTAAGAACTTGGTCAGCTTGTACACTTCTGTGGCTGAGGTTATGATAACTAAATATTTTATGTTGTTTTTATTCACAGGGTTTTGTTATAGAACTGCTGCTCACTCTGGAGTCTGCCATTGACACACTTGCAGACACAATGAAACATTATGATCTCCTTTCTGCACTTTCTCAGTAAGTACTTGTCTCTTTGAAGAGGTTTATTTACAGTTTGCATCAGGAATCCTAACGTACATATTTTATTCGATAAAGCACAATGCTTTATGAAATAATGTTTCTCCCTTTGCTTTCCAGAACCCACTTGACTGATTCGTTACTGGTCACCAAGTTGGCAGCTAACAGGAAAAGCACTGGACAACTGAACCTAAGCACAAGCCCACTCAATACCAGTGGTTTCCTAACTCATTATAGTTGTCATGCAAGAAGTAACTCCTTGCGAGCCAGTCTGTTGGGTGAACGGCGGGGTGACCGACGTCGAAGTAATACACTGGATATTTTGGATGGAAGGATGAATTTTGGTAACTTGGCGAGGACTCGAAGCCTCTCCTCTCTCAGAGAGGGAGCAACACCTGACCAGCAGCCAACTGCTGATCCTAGTAGTCTGATGGCTACCGTTTTCTGGATAGCTACGGCCCTGTTAGAGTCAGACTATGAGTACGAGTACCTCTTGGCACTGAAGCTGCTCAATAAACTGCTCACACATTTGCCGCTGGATAAATCGGAGAGCAGGGAGAAGGTAGAAAAAGTGCAGAGCAAACTGAAGTGGAACAACTTTCCTGGCCTCCAGCAGTTATTTCTCAAAGGCTTTACCTCAGCGTCCACTCAGGAGATGACAGTTCATCTCCTCAGCAAACTGATTTCCATCTCCAGGCATACTCTGGTGGATCCGGCTCAGGTAGCAGGTACGCTTTTGATTTCTGCCTCTTGAGATGTCTTTCAATTTATGATTCTTTATAGAATCGTAGTAAATAATAATCCTTGCATTTTGATATAGTGCTACAGCATTGGAGGCCATTCAGCTCATGGAGATGCTCGTGATAGATCCTTCACTAGAGATAACTACTCTAATTACATTGCTATGCTCTTTTCTCTCGTCTTATATTGTTAATAGTGCTCCAAGACGCTACCCCACGTGAAGGGGTTATATAAATGCAAGTTGTTGTGGTTAGTAACAATTCATAATGGATTTTTTGGTCAGCCGGGTGTTTGATACATGTGGAAATCCATCACTGTACTTAAGAGTATCCAAACCAAACTGAGATTTCCACGCTTCGGTTGCCGTTGAAAGCATTGTCTGGCAGATTTCCCACTCCTTGTTCAGTTAAGACCACTCTATCATGAGAGCTTTGGCTTGCAGGTTAACCAGGGCTGAATGGAAAAGTCCCTGCCCCCAGTGACTGGTCTGCTCTTCCAAGTCCTGACAGTGAGCCAGGCTGACTGGGCTGTCATCAGCAATATCCTGGAGTTCTGTGGATTTGCATGGCTCAGGAACTGAGACCGCCACAGAGAGTTGGCTTGGAACCAAATTATAATGGATGGAGAGTATTAGAGATGTACTAGTTATGCTCTTGCCAAAGTTATAAACTTGGATGTTGTACTTTATCTAGTGCTGCTGAAAGCTTATCACTTATAACTTATGAGAAAGTTGCAGTTGAAATGCAAATGAACGTTAAAAGGCATGAGTGTATAGAGGTGCATTCCTTTGTGATTCATTCTCTCGACCAGGTTGAATCCCTTCACTGTCTTGTTAGGTAATTCAGCTGGGTTGGTGGTAGGGACCCTACAATTATAAGGAACCCAATTTACTGACATTTATTTATTACTTTCCAGACTTAATTAAGTTAGTGACTGGAGGAAAGTCCTTGATGTTTGACCTTGTCTGTGTTTGACCAGAATTGTTTCTATTTTCAGGATTTCCATTAAATATTCTATGCCTGCTACCTCATCTAATTCAACATTTTGATAACCCTACTCAATTCTGCAAGGAAACTGCTGACAGAATAGCCAAGGTTTGTAGTAAACTATTTAGAAGGGCAGATCTATTGATCAGTCTATTAACCATTTAATCTCTTCAATTGTCTCAGCCTTTTAATAGATCTTAGAATGCAGTGCTGTGATTATGTATAGATTATGGATGTCAATACTGATATTGCATGAAAATAAAAGCAGCTTCAGTTCATAAATATATTTTCAACTATCAACAACATTTTCTTTCTATATTACAGTCAGTTTTAGTGCAACATTTCCTGCAGAATTTGCTCAAACTATTTCAAAACCGATTTCTGTCCCGAGGGCAGATGTATTCACTTCAGGGTGATTCCTCCCACCCAGAATTGTCAATGTATATTCTACAACAAATGTGGAATAGTTGCTACCTAAAAGAAAGTAATAAATCGACAGGATGAGGTGAAACCTAAATCTTTCTACCCTCCCTATTTATGTTTAGTCTTCATCCAACCCTGAAATACTGTGTAAATGCAGTTGTGGTCCCAGTGATTTTTGATTCTGAGTTGCTGAAGTGGTTAGTACCAATGCAGCTGTTACAAATTATTTTTTTGTTTCTTTCTATCTCTCACACCTACTCATTGAAGCCCCAAATGGATGCCATTCAATATCCAATAGATATCGAAATTCCGGTCTTCTGGTCAGGAGTCGAGAACTTCAAAATTATAGTTCTAACCTTGTAACATAACATGTATGTGCTTTGAATTCTTTTGTAATTCTTTGAAATATTCTACGACAAATAGAAAATCCAAACACTATCATTATATTTTGGGAGAAACATTTTCATAAATTGAAATAAAATAATGACTATTTTAGTTTTACTGTTTTAGAAAATGTATTTCTGATTTTTCACTCTAGGTCTGTGCAGAGGAGAAGACAGTCACTCTCTCCAACCTGGCTCACATGATGAGTCTTTATAGCACACACAGTTATTCCAGAGACAGTGCAAACTGGATCAATGTGGTTTGCAGATACCTCCATGACGCATTCTCTGATATCACCTTTAATCTTGTCACTTATCTAGCTGAGGTAATTTTTCTTGCCTTCCTTTGATTTGTTCATTTTACAAATAGCTTAAACGGAAGAATGATGTTTAAAATTCTAGAAGCCAAAATAAAGGCAGAAATAACCATAATTTATTGTTCAGTGTGGTTTGAAATACCAGCTGTGAACAGGGTTTGTCGCACTACAATCAATTAGACTAAATTGTTGATAAATAATTAAAACATTTTCAGTATCATTTTAATAAATGCCATAAAATAGATTCAATAGCAATATCTCTGTCCATTTTTCCTCCTGCAGCTATTAGAAAAAGGCCTGTCTAGTATGCAGGGATCATTACTGCAAATTATCTACAGCCTTCTGAGTCACATTGACCTGTCTGCAGCTCCAGTAAAGCAATTCAATTTGGAGATCATGAAGATCATTGGGAAATATGTGCAGGTGAGTCATGATTGAATAGCTTTGAACTGAAGGTTATTTCTTTGCTTTAAGTGGTATAACGATTCACTAAATTAAATCACTGATCTTACTCTGTTTATAATTTTTCCAATTTATCAAGATTAAAGTGGAGCTGGAGGGCACACAGTAAATACAACATTTCTGAAACTGAATAACCTGCTTCATTGGTTTGCGGGAATCCTTCCTCCCTATTCAAAAAGGGAGTTTTTCCCATTATCCTGGCCAACAATCCCCCCCCCCAATAAAATTGGGCATTCACTTTATGTTTGTTGGCTGCCACATTTGCCTAGAAGAATACGCATTCACTACATTTAGATTTGTATGGAACTCCAGCAAAATTTAATTACGAGGCCAGTAGCAGCATTTGCCGGCTTCTTTCAGTGTCGACTTGTTGTAAATGTTTGAATCCTGTGAATGGAAGATAGTAAATAAGCTGTTGACTGCTTGTGGGATTCCAACTGAGTCCCTGACCACTGAAGAGCAGCAAGCACGGGGTACTGGAGACATGCTCGGGGAGTGAGCCGCAGGAGGCCACATGCTGGCCCATGGAAATGTTTTTTAATTTTCCGTTTCTGGACCAGATTCCAGATACCTGGTTTACTTTAGCTTGAAAATACGGACAGTATTAGCACCACCTTTAGTACATCGAAGTACCTGTTTTTTAAAACAAATCTTCTTATTGTGTAACTTTATGCTATCTATAGGGATAGGAATAGATGTAGGGGTTAATCTGTCCGTAATTGGTCAGTTCTGCTCGAATTCCTGAGATGATATGAGCAATCACTTTGCATTGGCACACACTGCATTACAGCTCTGATTTTGGATCATTGAGTGCAATTTAAATTTAGTAAAATTATGAGATCTCCTCATGAAAGTAGCTTCATACCTACCCATGTTTTTAAATTTTGTAATGTTACTAAAGAGCAGACAATTCTGCCAGTGATCAGAGCCCTGAGTAAATGTGCAAGTATGAGTATTCAAGCTCTGCATTGCCTAAGTTTTGAGTAGTGTAACTTCTGCTACTAGTGAGCTGTCAAATAAGTTTTGTATGTGCACCGCTGGGAATAATAAATCATGATGTCGGGTAAAGTGAAGAGGCAAGAAAAACATTTTTTGTCACAAAATAATATGTTCTACAGATATGAGGGGAAAACGCATCACAGTTTGAATAATGTCTTGGGCAAGAGGCAAAATGTCACAGGCAGAGAACTCTGCTGTCAACTAGAACTGCCATTAAAATCAAATTTAGTCCAGAAGGAATGTCACTCACATTTTAAAACTTTGTTCAGTGAAATCAACCATCCACATAGTGTTCTGATCTGATATTCCTCAGAATAGTTTCAGTGGTTTCAATGATTGATTATCATTCTGCGTATCTTTTGTTTGTAGAATAATTTTGAAGAATAATTAATGAGTATTAATTATTCTACAAAATGTTTTTTTCGATAAATGACTCAATTTAGAAAGGCTAAAGCAAGTTTGAGCTTTTGATCAGATAGTAATTGGTGATTGTATCAGAGTGCATGCAAACTTGCACGTAGCTTTGCAGGAGCCCTGATTGTGATGGATTTTGAAAGCTTTGAGGAGGGGGGATTAATAAAGGTGACTGAACAGCAAAGTGCTGCAGAGTGGTGCAGTGAGTGTTGTGTGTATAAATATCTGCAATTAATCCAAGATGTGCTACATCATAAAAATCGTTGCATTTGATACAGCCGGTATCATGTCTTTGAGACTTCTGAAAGCACTTCACATGAATTAATTTGTATTTTGTGGGTGAAAAGCGGCAGCCAGTTGCGCACAGTGATGTCGCACAAACAACCATGGAGTGAATGATCAATTTTATTTGGGGGATTGCTGGCCAGGACATCCCACTGCCATGGGATCTTCAATGTCCACCTTAACAGGCATACGGGACCTCAGTTTAACGTCTCATCTGAAAGCACCTCCTACGATGCAACCCCCCACCCCCAGTCAGACTATACAACTTCCAAGTCCCCATGTAGGATTGGAACCCACAACTTTCTGACTCCGATGCAAGAATGCTACCATTGCACCAAGCTGATGCACAGTGTGGGGGGCACTAAAGTACAGAGGTCATATATTACCTGACAGAAATTAAGAAGAGAACTGCCCGCACGTCACTGTCTGCCTCTCCTAGCAGATAGTCAAAACCCTACCTTTCCCTGACCCCATTTCCCTCCCAACTTGCTCTCCTATTCCCTCTTTGTAAAGTGCTTTAAGATGTATCCATATCTGAAATTACTGTATAAGAGCAAATTGTCATTTCAGAGTGGCAGTGTCACTAATGTGACACCTGAAAATTATGAGCTGAAAAAGTAGTTTTATGGTATTGTCTCATCTAACTTACTTAACAGAAATGTTTGTTGTAATTTGTGAAACAAGAAAAAGTTCTATTGGATGTATATTAGTGCATTCCACTATAAATATTATCTTGTTTAAGGTTTTATTTGATTTAACTTGGCTTTATTTTCACTCAAAACACATTGAAAATCTGATCAAAACAATGTGACTTTTGTTACATTTCAAACTATTATTTCTGGCATTACTTTTAAAGCGATATTTTAAATTCAAAACAAGCCACGGTATGAAAAATGTGTTAACGGGAAGTAATTAGCTGTAACGTAAGGAATTAACAGTATTTTTAGTGTTGTCATTTTGTCTTTGTCTCCGCAGTCTTTAAAAGGAATTGTATTACCTTTGGTTGTTTGCCAGCCTTTTCTGGGTTCCTATGCATTTGCATATGACAAGATTTGGTTTTAATTGGATTATACCACCGTGAATTGGTTTTAACCTCTGCGAAATCCATTGAAGGACACAACTTCAATCTGTTATTATTGCCACTTCAGTTAAATAAGTGGACTCTTCTCTGTTAAATTAGCTTGTAATTATTATGCGAACTACATTTTCTCATCAGTTAGTCATAAATGTAAGTAGTATTATTTAAATACTTGCCATAAACATAGGATAGCAAAACTTCTGCTGCTTTAGATTAGTTTCATCTAGTCTTGGCTTTCACCAGTTTTTAGTGTATTCTGCACTTCAGCATTTGCAGTTTTTCCAGAGAATAAAATAATCTTTGTAAAATCTAGGTATAAAATCATCCTTTTTTATTTTCTTTAGAGCCCATACTGGAAGGAAGCTCTTAACATTTTGAAATTGGTGGTGTCTCGTTCAGCTAGTCTTGTTGTACCAGAAGAGGTACAGAAAACAAATTTTGGAGGCGATTCCTCAACATCTCCTGAAATTTCCTTCACAAAAATCTGGAATAATGCTTCGAAAGAACTACCTGGAAAGACCCTAGATTTCCACTTTGACATCTCTGAGGTATGTGACTGAAATTTCACGAGGCTTACAAATAACTGTACCTGTCATTGATACATCCAATATCAAGTATTTTTAAACCTGCTCTAATCGTCCCTGCTAATGATTTTAGTTTCAGGATTTTTTGTTTGGTATTTCCAAATGCAGTGCCGCACTGTTTGATTTTGCATTATTTGTATAATATAATTCAATTTGACTCAATAACTAAGTATTTATATCACTGTGGTAACACACTACTGAAAATGTATTTGAAAATGGAAACCCTTCCACTCTAAACTAAACCTGCAATTGCTGATCCTACCTTGAGCATCTGAATGTTTATAGTGTGTAACCAATACAGAATTCACAAAGCCATTGCTCTAAGTGACTTTTGCTGGTATTACTTTCAATTAATTCCATTGTTTACCAGACGCCAATCATAGGGCAGAAGTATGGTGACCAGCACACTGCTGCGGGTAGGAACGGAAAGCCTAAAGTCATTGCCGTCACTCGAAGTACTTCTTCTACATCATCGGGGTCGAACTCAAATGCCTTAGTGCCCGTCAGCTGGAAAAGGCCGCAACTATCACAGGTACTTCCCCTTTGTAACATTAACCTCATTGCAACCTCTTTGCCCAAAAATAAATGTGCTTTTTTTAAAAAAGAAAATTCATTCTTTTGTCCTTTCCAGCAGGTTGCACATTGTCGCACTTTTTAGCTGGACGAGAGAGTGTAAGGGTTAATTTATTTTCATGACCCTGCGGTGAAGTAAGGACTGACAAAAATGTACAATTAACCAAGGTTTATTAATTCAGATTAATAATGGTTATAAGTAATTAAAAGAATACATCCAATTATGCTCATGTATCCACGTATACTGTAGTTCACAATGATTTAAGTTGACCAAACCAAATGTTGCAGGAAAGATAGAGGGGCAACGTCCAATTCAATGTCCATTTGAATCCAAATATAAGTCCTCAAAAGGTATCCAAGTATTGTCGTATGGTTTTCAGTTCTATATCACCCAAAAGTATCCAGGCATTATTGTACGTTTAGTGTTTAAATCATAGTCTTGATCTTCCTTCTTTACAAGGTGGAATATGGTTCACGACTCCCAAGTTCCAATTTCTTCCTCCTTTTTGAATCGATCTCCATTTATACTGTTGATTAGGTGACCTTTCACCTATTGTCTTTTGCAAAATGGTTCCGAATGCAACATAGCTCTCTCCAGCTGCAGACCATTTTTCCATCAGAAAATGACTGATAAGGACTCAAAACAGTTTTTTGTTTATAGATTTTTGTTTCTTCTCCTTGAGCAAGGATCTTCTTCGAAGCTGATCACAACCATCTCCCCTCTTATGAGATTGATCGTATGTTTCAAATATATATATATAAACATCGCAAATATAATTTGAGATATTATTTAACACATTAATTATAGAAATCCTACAAGAGAAACTAATAAATATGCACTCACCTTATGGTCAGACCATGCTGGATATTGCTTATCAACTTTATCTTTTCTAAATGTTCAGCAATAATATTTCTCATTATCAGTTCACGCAGTTTATCTATAATTAACCTGAGGTGTGCTCTTCCCCTTATAATTTGATTTTACCCCTCTCTTGTCCTCTGGAATAATCCCCAAATCTACACACCTAGAAAATGATAGTCAGCAACAATGTTTGGTGAGATAAGCACAGAACAACAAAATGATCTCATAATCTATCTGTAGATCTATGTGGTATCACTATGTGAGGAGATCATTAGCCCAATGAAGAACAATGGGTTTGTGACGTCAAGAGTGAAAAAGAACAATGAGCACCGGACAACATTTTGGCATTGGTTGCCGATCGATTAAGATGAAGCTGAAAATAGACTGACAAAAGTTGCTTGATTATATTCAAACCTTGAGGCATTTAAGTTTGACTTATTAGAATTAGAGTTGAAATGTTTTACTCTTTTGTACACTGTCTCATTTTAGAGGCGGACGAGAGAGAAACTAATGAATGTGCTCTCACTTTGTGGTCAAGACGTTGGTCTTCCCAAGAACCCATCAGTAAGTAAAACCTGGATTTTACGAAATACATTTCTACTTACAGTTTTCAAAATCCTTTCTTCACCGCAACTTATTTTTCCAATGGGCAACTCAGCAATTTTACCTTCCGCCTTCAGTGGTAGATGTATGTGTAAATATTTAATAAACCCTTTTCAGGTATAATTTATTTGCAATCATTATAGTGTATAAACATGTTTTCAAAATCTTGTTTTACTTTTAAACCATCTGTTTTGGAGGAGGCTCTGAAAATGGTTTATATATACATTTTAGTAACAAGCCTCAGAGCACCATTCTCATGGGTTGATGTCAAAGAATAATGAATGGCAAGAGGAGAATAGATGTGAAAGAAAAGAGTTTGCATTGAAACCTTATTATCTGTGGCCTGATTATCCACCGTACTTCACTCTGGCTTTCAGCCTTCTTGGGATGGAACCAAAATAAGTGGTGCAGAAAGCTGTCAGCCTAACTGTGCCGTTAGGTCACACAGTATATATGCAATCATTTTGTTAGGAAAGGGAAAGCAGAGGCTTCCTGAAAAAAGACAAAGAAAATGTGAGGGAAATCAAATGCTGGGCATAAGGAGAATGCAAAATGTAATAAATGAATGAAATAAATTACTTTTTGATGAGCTAAACTGGAGCTGGTGTATGACAGAGTAGCTGAACTAATCTGAATCGAGTCAGGATGTAGTACAAGGCAACCCCAGGTCTTCATTTGGAATAAAATCTCACTCATTTGGAGACTGTTCTTTGAGCATCGCAAGGAGAAGGTAGGTACCTCTACAAATGTCATGTCTTGTGTTCTCTTCTATTATTTTTCCCTTTCATAATGGTTTACAAAAACAGAGTTGCTTTTTTCTGCATATGTCAGTCGTAAAACCTTGATTTTTCGACGAGTCCAGTTATCCACTTGGGACTTCTGTTATTGCTGATAATCAAGTTTCCACTCAAAATAGAATTTTTTTGTTCACCATATTTACTGTTTTTTCAGGTTATATTTTCATCTAATGAAGACCTGGACATTACAGAACAACAGACCAGCCTAATCTCCACCACGGAAGATCCAATCAGAGAAGAGGAGGTTCCTGTGGAGGACGCCAACAGTGAGCAGCAATTTGGAGTATTCAGAGACTTTGATTTCCTGGATGTTGAGCTGGAAGATGCAGAGGTGAGAATTTTCAGAAATGTTTTAAGGTAACGACAACTAATAATGTCTCAAGATCTTTTACTGCATGTCTTCAAATCCACTGTCAGAAAAGGAAAATAAGGTAGCAGGCCAAGGATATGAAGGGCAAGTTTAGGACAGTCACAGCAAGATATTTCTTTAGAGAGTAATCTGAAACAGGTTACCAGAAACGGTGCAAGTTGCCAAGATTCTGACTCAATTAAGAAACAGCTTAAAAATGTATGGTAGGTATTTTAGAAGGATATGATCCAATGGGGCCAAATGTGCTTCTTCATCCGAGTCTACCTTGTGGCCTCTGGACTTTTATTTGGAGGAGAGAACAAATTACAAAAATTCCATGGTTGAATGACTCATGTTTGTAATGGAATTGTTACCAAACAAAATTTTTTTCAAACTCCAGACATGTTTGATTATTTTCAATTGTAGACCTACTTGTTTTTTCAAATTGTATTCATTCACTCCAACAACAAATTACACCTGTGTCATTGTTTCACACAGAATAGATATCTCAAATAGATGGGAGAGAAAAGATTTTACATTTTCAATACTTATATGAGCAAGGTATAATGGTGAATACCGAGCATGGAAACATGGAGATTTAAGGATGTTGACCAAGGAGGTTGTGCATGGAAGAGTTGATGCTTTTCAGAGGTTTTTAAAGGCAGGGAGTGAGGAAGCAAAACAGATTTTGTAAGAGTTCCAGAGGAAGGAGGCATTGCAGCTAAAGCCCTGCCACCAGTGGTGAGAAGGAACATGTGTGGGGCAGTTGAGGCTCTCGGGGATCGGTGGTTGAAAGGAACTGAATGGGAAGAAAATCTGCTCCCAATGACTGATCCAAGTCTTAAAAGATTACAGTAAAACCCCAGTTAACCGGACGAATGTGAGAGATCCGGACTGGCTAGCTGGATTTTCTGCCAAAGTGTTCATCCTAAAATAAACAAACCCTCCAGATCATTTAAAATGAATAAAAATGAATTTTAAGTAAATAAAATAGACAAACAAATGGTATAGTTCTGTATTCACGACTGATGCAATGCAGTCGTGTTGATGCCTCGGCAAAACCAATCGGACTCAAGCTGTGGAAATCAAGTGGCCTGGCGGGAGTTCGGAATTGGTGGGGTGGATAGTTGGCTTAAGGAATTGTGTGGGGGGGGTTCAGACCGGGTCCAGCTACTTCCAAATTCCGGACACTTGCAGTCGGGTTAGCCGGGGGGGGGGGGGGGGGGTTACTGGAATATTAAGGCCAATATTGTATAATGGTAATACTGAATGTAAACAAAAGCACTTTTGGAGTCATAGTCCATTATTACAAAGTGATAAGCTTCATTTTTCTTACTCAAACATCCATTCATACTTCTAACCTTGTAATACTTATTAGAATGACATTTCTCATCTCTCTTTCTCAATCACTGAGATGGAAGACTTGCTCATATAAGTAGCTCAAAAGGATTAAACTATAGGTGTATGGGGAAAGGACAGGTAAATAGGACTGAAAAGATTGCTCTGAAAAGAGCCAGCACAGAAACTACTATACATTTCTATGGTTCCATGTTTCTAAATATATCAAAATTAGTTAGTTTTAACAGCATTTCCAGTGTAATCTAGTCTTCTACAGTCCTCCTAACTAGATTATCCTTATGGCGATCTTTGTAAAATATATTCAAACTATTTGATACAAAATGTTCTCCAGTATAGCACTAACTTCATCCAATTGCTTGCTGGTAACTTTTATATAAATATTTTATAAAAATAACTTTTATAAAAATGCACAGGCTGTCGTAAATAATTCATATAGTTTGTAACAAACTAGACAATCATATGTGTACATACTCTGTTTTGTTAACTGAACAGTGTCCACTCCCATCAGTGCCCGTCACATTCAGTGTTTGTCAAGATGTAGTTGTGTATCTCTTTCTTACACTGTGTCAAATATTTCTGTTTTCTTACTTTTTAACGCCACTCATCTCTTTTCTTCTTTGCTAACCAGGAGCTGCAGGTAAGTTGCAGCCTGGTGCAGTGTTTGAGTTCCTGTCTCATGTGTGCTAAATGTTAAATAGGTTGATGCATATTATTTCATAGAGCTTTAAACATTCAGTTTAAGTGTGTGTGTGTGCGTGTTGAGGTAGGTTATTCAAGGAGATATGAAGGCAATAATGTAGAAAACAGAATTAAAGGGTCAATTTTATTATAAAATCCAACTTACTTGTAAGGAGTTTCATGTAGACATTTACTGAAAATGTCAAATACAATTTTGTTTTTAGTTGGTAATGTGCTTCCAAACCTACATATTTAGTGATTCTATGTGTTTTTAATCTATGTTGTTGGCTGCATGTTTTGGTGTATTATTATCGTCAAGTAAATTACATATTGAATCACTTGTGGGCATTTCAGGAAACAGTCTAGGAATTTACAGCTGTGCACAGTGGAAAGATGTAGCCTCCAACATAAGGGGCAATTACATGAGAGGGCATGAGTTTTATAATGTCTGTATACTCTTTTAAGTAGATGTTGCAAACACAGGATTATGAAAAAAACACAGATCTTATTGTTGTAAACCTTTAACAAATCAAAAACTGTTGCAGGGTGAAAGCATGGACAACTTTAACTGGGGTGTGCGGAGGCGCTCGCTGGACAGCATTGAGAAGGGTGATACCCCATCCCTGCAGGAATACCAGTACTCAGGAAGCACACCCAGCCTGAACCTGACCAATCAGGAGGACACTGACGAGTCTTCGGAAGAGGAGGTACTGACTGCTAGTCAGATACTGTCCCGCTCACAGATAGTAAGTCATTGGTTTTCATTTCATATTGTACTGTTTTGGTGGGTAATTCTGTGTTTATTGCCGCATTGCATGGACTTGTGGAAAATGTAGCTGAGATTTGTTTCAACCTTAAATTCCTAGCTTTCTATTTTTGAAGATGTGTTTTTCTAAATCGAGCTGTTCTTGTAGAACAAAGTACAAATACATGTGCTTTCAACCACATTTTGTCAGTATTCGTCAGGGTGGGGCCATAGTCAGCTTATTTGTGCAGTTTATCATCCCAGACTGGAAATATATGTTCAGTTCTTCTTATGAAACTGCTAAATAATGCAGCAATGTGTTCACAGAGCAATCAGAGCAATCAGAAATTGCTCTTTGTTTAAATTAATTTGTTATTTACGCCTTTTCTAGTCCTTTTAGGCCAGCTGTTGCCTCCAGCTGTTATACTGCTTTTGTTTAGTTTGGAGACTAAGCCAGTTTTCCATAACTAACTTCACAGTGGGACTAATCTCCATTTGCTCCTGTGCACCATGTGCTTAAACCATTACGATCCTGACAGATTTAAAGGAAATAATTTAACAATGATTTTTTAAAATTTACAACAAACGTTGGTTCTCCAAAAAACTGATAAAACAATCTAATTTTTAATTGTTAGCATAATACTTTTTCAAATGATTACCATATCGTCCAAAACCACAAAGAGTCTGTGGTGAAGTATTCTATATCACCATTTCCATTGATGCAAAAAAAGCGAGGTTATTGAACAGCTCAGCATAAGAGCTTCATGGCCAGTGAATTTTGGTGAATTCTTGCTCCTAAAATTTTGTGTCCATCTGTTGCTAAAAGTGACACCAGTAGGATTCTGAGATATTAATGCAAATTTTAGACAAAATTCATCAAGCAAAGTAATGTATATGTTAATCTGTAAATCTTTAGATTTCCAGAGGTCAAATGAGACTTAATTGTTTATAGCAGTGGTGGCCAACCGAATACATTTTTCTTGATTGAATATTTCTTGATTTATGCAAATATTGCTTCTCAGTAGTTACTGGAAACAAAACATTGATTTAACACAGGCTGACCTAGACTACTGCGTCTGTTCAAGGCCGCTTCTTGGCGCCCTCGTGAGCCATGGATTGGGCGCCACTGGTTTATAGAAAGGTGGAAGAGAAGAACAAACATTCCTAATTCTTATGTTCATGGATTTTTAACTTTAAATCTTGGTTTGATGTTTTTGCATATTGTCTTGTAAGTTTCCTGTCTGCCTGTTCTAACACACAGGGATAGACAGTCAACTTTGACCAGGGAATTCTCTCATAAATAGATTTCGGTGCAGAAGAGCATTTGATTATATACTGAAAACTAACCTGTCATCTTGTTCTCCCAGTTGCCTCTCAGACATCAGCAATCCAAGTTGACTGCTATTTCCAAACTCTGTTTCATTGTTTAAATGAATCTTTGAGTTTACTGCGATGGGCATTGTTCAAACATAATCATGAAACAACCCATAATGTTTATCATGAAACAACCCATAATGTTTAGACTGATATTGAAATGCTGCATCCACACAGGATGCTCATCACTGTAATTCTTGGGATGCCGATCACTGGGTAAGAACACTGTGGCTGCTTAAGCTGTACTAACTAAACTAACATATGCCTGCTTTGTGCATGCTGCTGTGGTTAACAGAGAAACTCCAAGCCAGGAGCGAGAATGGGAATCAGGACTTGGGTACAACATGGCTGTTATTTTATGCTACAGTACTCTGGGGCCTGGATGGATCTGTTCTGAGCTGGGTCTATGATGCAAACCAATCTTGAGAGTTATTCAAAACCTAGAATGTGGATTCTTATTGCAATATAAAAAAGTAACAAGGATCCTTAGTTAAGAGTTGGTTGGACTGAAGGAAATAGCAGTGATGAAATGGCAGTTAAATATTCCCTTTTAAAACTGAAGAACACTGCCTTTTAGGTTCTGTGGAGTTTTAAAGTTTACAGAATTGTATTCAACTATCTGATATTTATGTACAAGTGTATGTTTGAATACTTAATTTTCGGCCGGTTTGGAGCTGGCTGACACAGTGTTCTACAAAAGTTGAATGTTTGGCCCAGCTTAGAGGCAGTAGAACTTGCCACTAGTATTGTTCAGTTCTGGCACCAAAGTTTGTTTCCTGACCACCATGTTGCTCCAATGCTGGGATTTCAGATAATAGTTACCTCCTGTAAATGAGTTAACAACTATTTTTCCCTTTATTGTAGTTAAAACTAGTATTCCAAATTTGTATGGGTTTTATTCTCACTTGTAATTCACTGTATGTTTCCCTTAGCTAAACAATGATTCAGCAACAGATGATGCTGTACCAAACCATGTGGATTCCCTGCTGCAGTCAACAGACACAGCAACCAGTGTGGTGACCGAGGAAGCACCACTCCCCAGACCTGAGACTCCAAATTTAGAGACACCTCCTCCAGATAGCGCTAACAACCAGCTGCCTGAGGTGGGAAGCAATGTGGGTAGAAATATGGGTTGGTGCATGGCTGACTTGGGATCTTTTTAATGCTATTTATTCCTTGTACACTTCTGTCCTGAAACGTAATCAGACATCGCAGCTTCTCAAAACCATATGATGTTTCAACATTTTTAGCCTGTGATCATTGCACGAGATGAATGTGTCCCAAGATCCTTTAAAGAGTTTCCCTTCGGACACATGATTTGTCAGCGCAGGTTAAAAAAAACCTTCCTTTGTATAATAAATTGTACAGTAAGTTTCCTGTGTGTGATTTAAAGATGAAAATGTATTCTTTAACTTCTGATCTTGTTGGGTTTCAAGGTTAATGGTGATTTCGCTAAGCGGTTAATTCCAAAACGCCTCTAATTATAGCTTGGCTATGTTCAGCTTTTCTTGGCTTTGGGTATTGCTCTATGATTGGGTGCTGAAATTGTGGGTACTAGCCTCAGGCTGGCTGAGTTAGCATATCATCTGTGTCAGAGTGAAAATATCTAATCCATGGAGTAAGCCCAATGTCACTCATGGGGCTAAACCTGATGTGTAAGTATTCTAACATCCCTTTTATACCACTGTAAGATTGTGATGAATTTAATATATAACTATTTTTCTTGATTTTCTTCCTAGGTTAAATATTGTAGCTAAATTTCAATGTCAGTCAGTACAGTTGGTATCTATTTCTATTATTGATTCTCACTCTTCCCCCCCTACCTATATATTGGTGTTCATCAAAGTCTCCACTCTAGGAAGTCAGAAAGTGCAACATTTTCCCATTTTTACACTAGTATTTTCATCAGGTTGACCATTTGCTGGGAGCACAGGTTCCTCCCACTCAGCTCCTGTTAACCATGCAAGCCATAATGGGTAGGTAGTCCTAACTGAACAGGCAATGGGAAACTACCCAGAAAGTGCTCTCAATGACAAGCTCCAGCAATACTCTTAACACATACTCTGGGGTTCCCAAGCTTTGGCTCTTGCCAGCCTGTGCATAATATTCTCTGGAATTAGATAAGTATGTCTTTAAAACATGTACCTCTGTGAACTTTGACAACTTTCGGGTTTCACAATTAGCCCTTTTCAAATCAAACGGTTTCCAATATTCAAAAACAAAGTCGCAATTAATGCAGCAAATTCTGATTATGAACTTTACAGATCAGAACCCAATTTGCCTTAGCCCAACCCTCAGAAGAGTGTTCACCAGTGAGAGATTTTAATTGTCTGCAGTGGAGAGCTCAATGACCTCTTTAAATAAGATTGGAATGATTTGTAGAATGGAGGAAGTATACTCTATGGGCTTGTACCAATTGGGAACTGGGTTAAGAATGTCCAAACTGCTAAGGCCCTTACATTCAGTAGAGAGAAGAAAAAAACATTCAATCCATCATCCTTGCTAAATTTAAATCCAGAACTTCTATTTTCTGTTTCAGAAAGGAAAAGACTGTACTCGTTTCTTTTTTTCCCATCTTGATGAGGATAAATATCTTACACTCTTACATTTAGACCAGGTTTACAGACACTCATATTTCTGACTGCTTCTGAAAGTTTCAGGTCACAGTGCAACAAAGAAAAATACTAGCATTACAATAAGAAAGGTATTCAACACATCCAAATAGTTATTACTGTAATTTAACCCATACTAAACTAAATACAGAATGAACATGCAAAGCAAAACTCTGATACATTTTACCAGTGCTCATCCTGTTGTTATTTGTTCTTATTCCCTTTCTTTCCTGCTCTTTCTCCTTTTTTTAAAAAAAACTTACTATTTTCTACCTAACCTTTTTCACCTTTCACTTCTCTTCTTTCAGCTCACACTGTACATTTTGGAAGTTTTTGCAGCTTTTTGATTTTAAAAAAATCCCTAAGTTTTAGTGGATCAAAACCGGTGTAACAACTGTGCGCAGTTGGCTGTCACATTTTGCCCACAAATATACAGTCAATTCACTTTACAGTATATTCTGTGAAGCGCTTTGAGACGTCTAGAAGACTATGTGCAAGAATTATTTATTTTATTATAACAGGCTGTTCCAATCAATTAAAACGGAAAGATTGAAGATTCCAAGAATTCATCACAGAACTGATCTATCTCTTTTGAACACAGATGTAGAGTAGTCTCTATAAAGTTGGAGGAGAAGAAGAAACCCAATTGCACATCCAATACACAGAGAGAAAGATTTTGCCCTTGTATTAATAATGATGAACAGAGAATTAAATTAGCAGCGAAAACAAAGTCTTTGAGTAGTCTAATCATCGGAACAAAGTCTCGGAATCGCAGCTGCTTCCATCTGTGAAAATCTGGCTTTTCAGACTGGTGTCAGCAGCTGCAAATCCTAATGCTGGTTGTCACTCTTGCTCGACTCGAATAAATTTTGGTAATTAGCTAAGGTGCTCACCTAGTACAAGGCGGTGGGGGGAGGGGGGAGAGAAAGATTTGTTTTTGTCTGTTTAAATAAACAACCCAATCTGGCCGCATTGGTAAGAAGGAACAATTAATTGAAAAGTTGAAAGAAGGAAAACAAATCATGAATGCCCACTCGATATTTCTTACTAAGTGGATTGAGCGCTTAAATGATTTTTATTTATTTTGAAGGGATTATTATCCCTGGAAAAGCGATACGCCAATCGACTAACAACCGGGTTCCTACTTACTGCTAGACAAAGAGGAGTTTGGAGTAAGGAAACTTGCCCAACATTTTGCCCTGCCAGGAATCAAACCCAGGTCTCTCGCTTGCGAGGTGAAAGCTCTACCCACTGAGCTACAAGACTCCACTGTTGTAAATGATGTCCTTGACCACCGGAAAATGACGTGTTCCAGTCACTGATTTCCTACCCACCCCAAACATTACCTTCGGGTAAATGATCTTTCATTCAGCATGTGGCCTACATTGGGAGCTTGCATGTCACGTGTAATCACTTGTGAACCTATACCTCACTGCTCACATGCTCTTGAATCAGAACAGTGCACTTAAATAGCAATGTAAAGCTTACCAGCTCTAGAGGATTTCCCCTCTTTATCTATTCCCCCCATAAATTTAAGCTATCATGAATTGAAGGTTTCAACTTATTAATACAGTATTCTACTGTGGCATTAAACCTACAAGCCTGGAGTAACTCTGAGAAGAGTTGGTGTTATATTTCTAGTTGTGTGTTTGATTGCAGGATGGCAGAGCAGTGATAAAGGATGAACTGGCTAGCACCGCTAGTGACTCGGGTTCAGCCAGCAACCAAGAAGTGCAGGAATCCCAGAGATATCAAGAGCTTCCTGCCCCTGAGAGCTCTCCTGAATCAATCTGTGAAGAGGATGTCACTCTTGCCCTTAAAGAGCTGGATGAGAGATGTGAAGAAGAGGAGGCAGATTTATCAGGTCATTCAAGGTAAAATAGTTACAAAGAATCGAAGGATTGCTGTGTGCAGTTATTCCTTTAAGTCACAGCAGTATCAAATATAGTGGAAGAGCCATCTCTGAAGGGGAAAAGAAAATCCTTTGTTTTTGGAACAATTTAAAATCAACGTTATGCAATGCAAGTGCCAGACATCCAAAGCAAATTATGTGACATTAGTTTGAACATTTCGTCATCACAAGATAACCCGCAATGCATCAAGTTAAATGGCATGCGTTCACAATATTTTATACAATACAATATATATTTATATGTCATCTTTCACATCTGGGGCATGTCTCAGAGTGTTTGACACTGTTAGCTGGGCATCCAAGTTGAGGGTGGGAACCAAAGGTGAGAAGTGGAAAGGTGACTGAAACACACAGTCAAAGAGAGAGGTCTTGCAAAATATAGTACTTGATTCAATACAATTTCATCAACAATCAACCCAATGCTTTCTGTAAACTAATTGACCTATTTAAGAATTTTTCTAACAAGATTAAGAAATGTTTGGTTGAACAAGGTAGAGCCGGTGTGGATTAAATGTCCTCAGAGATTGGGTACATTTGATCCATACCAGCCCTAGCTTTTTACAGTAGCAAGTTGGTTTGGTTCTTAAATGAGTCGAGAGTCCTCAGTTAAAGCATTTTGTAGACTACAAAACCTTTCTGCCTCTTCAGTTTTAACCATCTTACATAAGAACATAAAAAATGCTAGACAAAACAAGACCAAGATCCATCTAGTTCGCCTTCCACCTTCCTGGCCATCGCGTCCCAAACTACCTATGTATGTCCCAAACTACCTATGTACTGTATCCCATAAAAGAAAACCTTTCAAACCATTTGCTGGGAATTTATTAGTGCTTGGAGCTTTTGTATGTGGTGTGGTCCACCATCTCTTCTGCAGTGGCATATATCAGAGGTGGGAAGAGAATCCTCAATGTAATGCGCAGTGCAGGACTGAGAATAGCATATGGCTCATGAAACAATCATGAGAAAAAACTGTTAAAGGGACCTTGTGCCACACACAATAGAATCAGTCAGAAATCTTAACTGTTAAAATTTGCAGGCATGCAAAATGTACCTTTACCAATACAGGAAACATTTCTGTTTTGCGTAAAGGTGGAACTAATGATGATAATAATAATCTTTGCATTTGATAAAGCACCTGGCATATCAAGACGACAAATCAAAGCAATTCACAGGCTTTACCGTAAAGTTTAGTGACAATGTATTTTGTAGACAATCATGGCTATCAATTTGTACACAGCAGTATCCCTTAGAAGTGAATGACTTAATTTTATTTGGAGGTCATTTGCAAGGACATCAGTAGAAAGTACCTCCTCGATTAGTGCCAACGGATCTTTAACATCCACCAGAACAGGCAGATGGGACCTCAGTTCAATGTCTTCTGAAGCTCTTCAGTCTAGACCAAGGTGGTCCAATCTTTTCACTGCTGAGAGTCAGATGCCTTATTTGTGAAATGTCCGCGGGTCGCATAAACAATATTTTTGTGTTTCCCTTCCAGAAGCATAACAACATTTATGGGTTATGGAGGGAGCGGGTGTGCCAGATGAAATGGAGGGGGTGGGGGGAATGAAAATGTGGGGCTTAGATCCACTATCTCCTGACTCAGGCGAGAGTGCTACCAACTGAGCCAGCCTGACACCAGACAACAGCATGTCTACATGACATGAATGAGTGCTGTTATTAGCTGTGTATTCACATATGACACTACCCACACTTATGGAAAGACTGTGTGGAATTAGGTTTTGAAAATTTATCCTCTCTGGTCTATTTTTATGCTGCTGCCTTCTATCGAACCATCTTTTCTCAACCATGTGAAGGATGTGTGGAGCAAGTAACTAACCTCAAGAAGGAATATAACGGGTGTAATAAATGATGCTCTTTCCCTAAGTAAAATAAAAAAGATTGATGTGTCAATTAGCAGCAATAGCTACCATATAAGATATACGACCAAGAAGAGATCTTCAGAACTTCTTAAGTGTGAATCCCATTAAATTGATTGTACTTGTAAATGGACTGGCTCTGATGCATCCACCCTCTCAAAATAGACCTTACTTAAGATAATTAAAAAATATTGTCTACGGCAGCAGAAGATCTTGTCACTTTTCCAAAGGAAAAAACACACTTTAGATTGTGTGTGCAGATACTGACTGCGTTCATATGCAGACAATCTACCATCTAGCGCAGAGTAGCAATTTGACTACTCAACATTTGTAGAAATGTTTTCATCTGCACTAAGTAGGAGCAGTCTCAAATTCATTTACTCTACATGTTTTGTAAGAATTTTCAGTAAACTCAGAAAGTGAGTACAGCCTTTTGTTTTTTAAATTACAATTGAAAGTATATTCTGTAATTGTTTTTCATTCGATTAGAAAATGTGTTGGAAACATAAATGAGCACATTGGCATGGCTGTTCATTTCAAAACTTGCTTTACTTGTGATCTGGTAAGAATTATTTGATTAGTTTAATGATTTTCAGCACTGGTAAAGCTTTTTGTGAGTGGGAATCTAAATGTTGCATTGTTTCAATTATATTTTTAAGGGAAGATTTGCACCTTGGAAAAAGGCTTGTTCAATTTGAAATTAAAAGCTGTTCCTTCTAGCATGTAATGTTCAGCCACTCGCTGTGTGCCAATAGCAGAATTGCAGATATATTTCCAAATTTTAAACAAATGCAATTTCAGGGTTATTTTGTACCCAGCGTTTTGTCTATAGTTCTTCCATTTCTCAAATGTTGCTTGATAATATTCATCACTAAGAAAGTATGTTGTCGGTCTTCTGAAGGCCTCATGGTGAAGGCAGATCAGAGATTTGTAGGTTTGATTCCTGATTCTTTATCTGTTGAGCTCAGGTTTGTAGCTGGGGCGTACTATTGACTTCAGTATCTCGTTTCCGGAGGGGGAAATTAGCCAGGGCTCCCACTCCTGACCACTGTCTAGAGACGTCTGCTAAGGGACTAAGATGAATGTTGGGTAAAGATGGGCCTGGGGTTCAGCTGTCAGGCCCCTGTGATCGATCAGCCCGTCAGAACATACGCAAGGCTGAAAACTTCATGATAGCCACTCAGGTGAGCTGCTGGAGGTCATCCATAAAACTATACCGATAGCAGGAAAAGCCTTCAGGCAAGCAGCAGGGGAGAAAACTAGTGGGAAAAAAGTGCTGTGTAGAAACTAAATCAAAAATTGCATGGTAATTGTGAAAGCTATAAAAGATGAACCATATTCAAAACATTTCTAAATGATTGCAACAAACTATACTGAAATCCTAAATTAATGCTCTATTTTTTGGATCCATTTTTAGTTTCTCATCTGTTCCAATGTGGTCTCCTGTTTTTCTTCCCTTTCCTCTTTCAGACAAACCATTACCTTCAGAATCTGCAGCTTTTCCTCTCCAATTGTCTCACAGATACGAGATGTGCATTTGTTATAAGTAAATAATGTTGGCTTTATCCTTTGGCTTTGTTCCTATTACCAAAAGACAAAGACGTAATTTATGAGTTGGTAGGTTGTTTTTTAGCTGGACAAAACGCTTGGACGCTTTAATACCCAAATTAGGTAAGCGGTGTGCGTCCTCCAGAGAGAGTGGGCATTGCATTCCAGACAAAGGAACATTTCCATGCATAAGTGGTCTGTATATATGGAACTCATGTCTGGTTTTAATACTTATGGCGATGCCATTCCACTTAGGGACTTCCTCCTGACATGAAAGACACCGTAACAAATGTAAGGATTGTGTAAGCTTTACTTATCCCAAAAGGCCAGTGAGTAGAGTTAATCCAAAATTCTTTTCCCCCGTGTGAATTAGATTGCTTGCTTTGAACATTCTTCTGTTTTCTTTTCAGCCAAGATGAGGGAGATCAGGAAGGCTTTCCAGAGGTTCAGACTTCACCACCTCCTTCACCATTTCTCTCTGCCATTTTGGCAGCATTCCAACCAGTGGCATATGAGGATGAGGAGGAAGCCTGGCGTTGTCATGTCAACCAGATGTTGTCTGACACTGATGGCTCCAGTGCTGTGCATACATTTCATGTGTTCTCTAGATTGTTTCAGGTCAGTGACCACCTTTCAGATAGTATGCATTTTATTTAATGCTGAAAATCTATAGGTTTACTAGCAGTCCAAGGAAATCAATAGTCGGAATGTTCAGTGACAGCCATGTTTATTTTTCTGTTTGCTAAAGTGTTTATGTCATGTTCCACACTGAGTTAGGATAAATAGTGATAAGCATCTGTTGCTAAGAGTTCAGACACTCTAAAGTTGATGAGAGCTTATCTTGTCTTGTCCCGTTTGCTATTATTAAATGAACAGAAACTATTCCATTAATACCTATTACATTTCTGCTAATTTAAAGTAATTGTGAGGAAAGGACGTGATCTGATACCTGGGAAATTGGACAAGTAGGCTTGTTAAACCAAAGGTCCACTCCTGAATGAAATTGTTACTGTTCACCGTAATGAAATTGCAACTACTATAAATGTTTGGGGATCCATCGGTTTGTGTTATTGTTTCACAGTGTGTGTGTGTGTATATATATCTCAAAAAGCAAAAATAGCAATGGATAATTCCATACAGTACAATACAAATTTACATTTATATAGTACCTTTCACATTGGGACAACATCACAAAGCGCTGAGAGGGACTCCAGGATAGTTCCAGAGAACAGGGGCAGAAATTTGGTTTGCATGTTCTGTCTGTTCATCAAAATGAGATATTTAGTGTTGCTGGGACTGCAGGATATTTGCAGAAGTCACAGCAACTTTTGGTGTTGTTCTTTGATCAGTGGCAAAGTAAGATATCTGATTCTCTCAAACATTGTAGTTCACACATTAGGTTTATAAACACTAAATGTTTGCTAATCTGAAATTTAGCTGAAACAAACAACATCATCAACATCTTGCATTTGTATTTCGCCCTCCGGGTCCCAGAGCGCATAAACAATATAGGATATAAAGGGTTAAAGATCAGGCTAACTTGAATTCTTGGCTTATTGTTTGCAGAGCATTCAGAAGAAATTCTGTGCCATAACTCATGATTCCGTCAGTCATTTGGGGGACAGTTTGCAGCGAATTGGGTCAAAGTTCAAGAGTTCATTGGAAGTAATGATGATATGTTCAGATTGCCCTACAGTGTTTTTGGATGCTGAAACTGTAAGTCTCTACTTCAGTTACACTCTTAATTGTATTAATGCATTATATTTACCTGATATATTTGATTTGCAAATAAGTAATTAACATTCATTAGTGAATAAGGTTTTCCCTAGAAATTGAGCACTTCTTAATGTATTTTTGCTTTTAGTTTCTAGTGGTTCCTAAAGTCCAAGGAGGTTTAAACTTATTCCAGTTATAGTTTTTAATTATCAAAAGGGCTATCCCATGTAAATTGTAGCTTGACTCACACACTCCTATTTACAGATTATTTATATGTTGACATGAAAATAGTCCTCTACTTCAGCACAGCAATAACTACGAGTAATATTTTATGACTAGACTGTACTGTACATTGCACTAATAGTTTATCTACAAATATCTTGCTCCAATGATCATTGAATCCTGCAGATTTCTAAGCTCTTAAATTATCTGTTTAGTTTTTTTTCCCCTTCAGATCTATTTATTTCAATTATCCCTGTCTCCCAGTGCTGGAGCTGATACCACACTGCTAATTGAGGATTTTTAGCTGACCACTAGGTGGTGCTTGATCAGTTTCCCTTTGGAGATTCATAACTTCTGCTCAGCAGCGCTCCACATGGAAACATGTAGTTCTGCAATAAACCAGTGTTTTGTGACTGCAGTGGTGAGGATCAAAGCACCGTATGAGTCTTATACTACTAGAAGGTGCTTTGAAGATCAAAAATAGTTCTAAAATTGTGTAAAGAAACTTACATGCCAATGCATTCTAAGAATTCACTAACCCAATCTGCAACTGTATCCCCCAGTTTTCTGACTATTGTTCTTGCATACATTTGCAGTAAAACACCAGGTATATAAATCTCTGCAAACATTGTACTTATTCTTTTACAGCTGCTCTCGTGTGGATTGTTAGAGACATTGAAATTTAGTGTGTTAGAGCTACAGGAACACCTGGACACCTACAATGCAAAGAGGGAGGGAGCTGAGCAGGTGAGACACATAAGTCTTCCCACAATTACATGTGAGCTTTCGGTGTTGATGTGTGTGCGTGCGACTGAGTGTGTGTGCGTGTGGTAATATTTATACAGTTGACTTATAAAAGAAAAACCTGTTCTTTGCAATCAGCATATTTGTCTGTAGCAATTCAGGTTAAACAAGGGCATGATTCTGATTTCACATGTCCATCTACTCTTATTCCCACTCCTAAATTTTCTTTGTCTTTCTTTGCAAAACTAATTTATAAAAATAATCAGGAATTACTACAGAAGTGAAGATTAAGAATCTTAGTTGTTGCATCAATGAAGATTGAGGGAAAGAAAATGTGTAAATAACATCAATCTGTACAGCTAGGCAGCTGTATAGATAAATGAACGGGAGATAGATCTGCCATTTTCATAAACTGTATTTGTTGCAGACTGCAGATGTTTAAAGCAGTTTTATTTAGGAGATTCGCAAACTGTTAATCCTGAATCTTGAAAGCTGTCAGTCAAAGAAAACAAAGTGCATCTGATGTTTTCAAACCAGAAGTCACAAGTAATTCAATAAGTCTGACATAAGAATATCTCAAATTGGACCTCGCTTGTAGGATTGTCAAATGATCAATTAGTGACTATTATCCTTGGGGGTGGGAGGTATGCGGGGTCTCCTTGGAGCTAGGTGACATGTTTGGCAATGGAATGTTAGAATCGAGCCAACCCTCTGGTCCAGTTCCTGAGCTTGGTGGGTCCGCAGTATTGCAGGGCACTGCTGATGGCAGTACAGCCAGGCTGGCTCAATAGCAGGATGTGGAAGGGCAAACCAGTCACAAGTCACAAGAGTCACGCAGGGACTCTTCCCACTCAGCTCCCGCTAACTCTGCAAGCCAAAACCCTAATGGGTATGATGGTCCTGGCTGGACCAAGCAGCAGGATAGCTTGCTAGGCAGTGCTCTCAATGGCAATCTATGTAATTTTAGCTGGTTAGACTCTTGAGGTACCCCAATGCACACTCTATGGTTCCCAAATCTTGGCTCATGCCAAATTATGCCTAATATTTTCCAGAATTAGGTAAGCCAGATGCATCCCTCCAAGTAGAGAATGCACATTCCATTCCCACAATCTATCTCTGGGCTTTCCATGTGTAAATGGGATGCATGAAACTCTTAGTTTGGTTTGAATACTCTTAAGCATGGTGATGAGGTTCCACAGGTGTCTGACACTCAAATGACCTCCCAAAAAATCTCTTTAAAAAGGGCAGAACGTTTTTCTTGGTTTTGTAGCCTATAATACCCCAATTACAATTAATTATTTAATTCATCACTGTTTGTGGGACATAATTGGCTGCCGCCTTCACCTACAAATAGTCACTATACTCTACAGAAATCCTGTGAAGCGTTTTGAGACATTGCAATGACTATATCAAGATGCTATATCAAATGCTAGGTTTGTTTTTTTTAATTTTTATTCTATGTGTAAATAGTTTGTTTTAATGCCTATTGATAGGAATAATTAATGGTGATCACGCACCTTACCAGTGCACATGACTTGTGTACACGCGACTCTGTGTTTCTGATGATTCAGACAGGTTAGTCAACCCTCAGAGCAAGTTCAGCCCAGGGAGACACTGTTTGCACACCCCAGAGGATTCTTTCAGGCTTTTTCTTGTTCGTGCAAACCTTGTAACCTTGCAGAGCCAGCTCAATAATTTTCCAGGGCCTGGAATCACTATAGTTTTGAAGCATGCATGTTTGTGCACAGTTTATCAATTTCTGTTTTGATTGGAAAATATACAAGGTATATTCTCTCACTTGTTTTTTGAATGTGCAGTGGGAGTTGTTCAGCAAGTGGCGTAATCTGTACTGCACAAAAACAATTGCAATATTATTGTGAAATGCGCCTTTTGTTGCACAATGTTTTTGCCAGTGCAGCACGTTTAGATTGCACATACACATTATTTACATCTCTCATTGTATCTGGGTTCCAAGTCATTGGTTGAAGCAATGTCGTTTGTGAAAATATGGAGACCTGATGTTAACTCAAAACACAAGGACTGAGAAAAGTCAATTACAACTCAGTGAAAGCTTGGGAAAAGAATCCTGGTTACTCGAATGTAACACCTTAAAAAAATTGTCAGCCGGGTGTCTGATACATGGGTAAACCCATCACCATGCTTAAGCATATCCAGACCAAGCTGAGATTTCTATGCATCCCACCTCACATATAAATCCCAGAGATAGATTGTTGTAATTGAAGGTACACTTTCTCCCTGGAGGGACACATCCTGCTTAGCTAATTCTGAAAAGTATTAGGTCAGGTTGGCAAGATCCAAGGCTTGGAGACCCTAGAGTATGCATTGAGGTACTGCTGGAGTCTAACCAACTAAAACCACAGAACTTGCCATTGATATTGCTCTCTGGCAAGCTTTCCCGCTGCTTGTCCAGCTAAGACCACCCTACCTGTTAGGGCTTTGGTTATAAGGTTAAGAGAGTGGATGGTTCCCTGCCCCCAGTAACTGGTCTGCCCTTTATTTGACTGAGAATTGCCAACCAGTTTTGTGATGGTATATCACTTGCTGCTTCGTGTCATTTTTCCTTCACGGGAATGTGTGTGTGGTGCAGGTGCGGTTAGTGTGGGGCATGTGTGTGTGTGGGCGGGGGGGGGAGTGTGTGTATTAGTGTGCTCATTTTTCTCTAGGCTAGGATTGCTCCTTTTTTTCTTAAGCCTAAAATAGCCTTTTATGTGATCTTATCACTTAACTAGACACAAGAAGAATGCAGAAAAACAATATAAGCTCACTCGGGTGTGCTTTCTGCTCGTTCTTTCGAAACCCCTGCTCTCTCTTCGTCTCAGCAATTCCATTCGCAACAGACTCTTACCATGGAGAAACTTATGTATCTAAAGTCATGCCCTACCACTCCATCTTATGATTGCCTTTGGACCAACATTGCATAAATCCTTAATGCATTTAGACATTTTTTTTCTAATCTCCCTCTAATGTCCTCCAAATGTCTACAAAGTAATTGCAAAATTTGCCATGACATATTTATAACATTATTCATTTTGATTGATTTTTGGAGGAAGCCCACGTCATGAAATCTTGCTAATGTCACTTAAGCATATTATCCCTTTGCGGCTTGACTGATTATAATATCCCACTTCAAATATTAATTAGTTTTAGAATGCGCACATTTGGTAGGTAAATGTTTTGGAGTATTTTTCTGACTTGCACAGTAAATTTTAAAAATGAATAATAATAATCCTTGCATTTGATGTACCACCGTTCATGTCTAATTCCGAAAAGTATTAGGTGCAGGGTTGGCAAGAGCTAAGGCTTGAGAACTCCAGAGTGTGCATTGGAAATCTTGGAGGAAGCCCACATCATGAAATCTTGCCAATGTCACTTAAGCATATTATCCCTTTGCAGCTTGACTGATTATAATATTCCCCTTCTAATGTCCTCCAAATGTCTACAAAGTCATTGCAAAATTTGCAATTTCAAAGCACTTCACAGAATATAGTGTAAAATGTAGTGACTGTATTTCGTAGAGTGAGAGCAGAGTTAGAAGCCACATTTTGGTCACCTCCCCATGCTCTGCGTCTAGCACTGTCTACATGAAAGCCGCTACATAAATACAACAAACAACAACGCACCTATTAAGCGCTCTCCATGCAGGGTAGCGTCTCAGAGCACTTAACAGTAGCGGAGCCTGAATCTGAGCTGGGGACGAGGGGAGATGACCGTAAGCACGGTCGAAAAGGAAGGTTTTCAAGTGGGACTTGAAAAAGGGGAGAGGGGGCAAGTCGGAGGGATTGAGGGAGAGTGTTCCAGAGCTAACAAAAAGAACAAATGGAATTTATAAAGCTCCTTTCATTGTCAGGAAGATGTTCCAAGGCACTGGACAGTTAAGTGTTTGCACCCATGCTGGGGGAAGATCACTGAAGGAATGGTCAAAAGGAGGTCTTGAGACGGACTTTGAAAGAGGCAGGGGAAGGGGTGAGCCGAAGCGATTCTGGGAGGGAGTTCCAGAGGATGGGGGCAGAAAGGCTGAAGGCCTGACTGCTAGTGGAGGGCTGGCAGGGCGGGAGACATGAAGCAAGACAGTGCCTTGTGTGTGGAGCGACGGGTAATTGGTAGGAGTTTAGAAAGTGGCAGAGGTAGAGTTGGGCAAAACCGTGGTGGGATTTAAAAGTGAGGACAAGGATCTTGAGCTCATTCCTCTGGAGGGGCCGGGAGCCAGTAGAGATGCAGTTTCTAACTGTTTTTCCTCCCACCCTTACACAGCCACCCATAGAATACCACAGGCTCCGTACTCAACCCTTTCCTTTCACTTATCTACATGCTTCCTCTTGGCACACACAGGATGTACTTTCACGTATATGTGGATGAAAGCCAAATCTTTTACGCTTCAGCTTTTAGATTCCAGGTCCACCGATTGCTTGTCCACTTGCCTGTCAGACATCAAGGCCTGACTGAGCCACAATTTCTTGCAACTCAATATTGATAAGACAGAAGCCATTCTCTTTAGCTTCCACCAACGTCTCCTCACTTCTAGCTCTGATCTCTATCACCTGGCCTCTCTCACACTCACCAAATAAATCCTCAGCTCTCCTTTCTCATTCATACCGCCCACAAAATGTACAGTCAATTTACTTTGCAGTATATTCTGTGAAGTGCTTTGAGACGTCTCGAAGACGTGATAACGCATTATATCAAATGCAAGGATTATATCTGGTCCCTGTTACCTGCCTCACCCCTATCTTACACCAGAAGCTGCCAAAATCCCTGTTCATGTCTTTGTTACTACCCACCTAGACAGACTTTTTGAAATCACTTCCTCGCTGGTCAACCCCACCATCTGTATGCTACAACTTATCCAAACCTCCACTGCCCACATCCTTGGCCACACCAAACTCTGCAAGCTCATCACGCAGACTCCATGTCTCCCAGTGGATGAATTTTAACATCCTCAGCAAGGACTTATGTGATAATGTAAAACAATTTGGCTACAGATGTAATGAGTACTGTTGTCTCTAAACCTGAAGTACTGGTGAGTAGTCATTGTATGATGCGTAGAATGACAGGTTCACAAAACAGTGGATACATTGTCATAGAGAGCGAGGGAAATTAAGTCATTTTCTAATGCTACTATTGGTAGCCTCTCCCAAGGACCTGTCCAAGCTGTCACTTTGTTCCATGAAGGTCATAAGATTTTCTGCAAAATTAAGCGAGTTTGATGCATTTAATAAAATGTGCGACCTGGGGTCAAAACCTGTTTTGTACGTATAAATTTTATATTGGTGTGCAATTAGACACATCATATCTAACTGACGAGTTTCCAATGAAGTAACTGGCATTGTATTGTGCCTTTAATGGCAGGAGGACTTCTCAAAGCGCTTCACATGGTTTATCGTAAAGTCTAGTGATTGTGCATTTGTAGATGAATGCAGCAGGATATTTGCAAGGAGCAATATATCACAAACAGCCATGAAGTAACTAACTAATTTTATCTGGACGATTGTTTTGATTATATTGGGAGTAACTTTCTTTGTGAATAACCATCTTTTGGGACGTCCTCCCGAAGTGAAAGGCGCTATACAAATGTAATCTTGTTGTTGTTGTTTAACGTCCACCTGAACGGGCAGATGGGTTTATTATCTCATCCAAAGGACAACACTGCAGTGCTGCCCCAACACTGTATTGGAGTCCCAACCTAGATTGTGAAACCAAACAACAACAGAATGTCTGCCAGTTCAGGTGGCCATTCAAGATCCCATGATACTATTCAAAAACAACAACAAAATTACATTTATAGAGCGCCTTTCACGTCGGGAGGACGTCCCAAAGCGCTGAACAGTCAGGTGTCAGGGCCCGAGCATGGGGGAGGGGTGGTGTAGGGGTGAGGGAAGGCAGAGAGGTTGGAGGGAGACCAAAAACACGATTGAAGAGAAGGGTCTTGAGACCGGCCTTGAAGGAGGCAAAGGAAGAAGTGAGGCAAAGGGACCGTGGGATGGAGTTCCAGAGTGTGGGGGCAGAGAGGCTGAAAGCTCGGCCACCGATGGTAGGGTGGGTCGGGCAGGAGACATGGAGCAGCCCGGAGCCCGCTGAATGGAGGGAGCGGGCAGGTTGGTAGGGAGTCAACAGGTCAGAGAGGTAGGAGGGGGCAAAGCCATGGATGGCCTTGAAAGTGATAAGCCCCAGAGACGGGGCTTAAACCCACAAGCTTCTGACTTAGAGGCGAGAGTGCTACCAACTGAGCAAGCCTGACACCTTTTAGCAGTGATTTTTCGTGAATAAACAATAGACTTACAGAGATTTAAAATAAGCTTCAAAATGTTACTGCATTGTATTAAGTTTATATACCTTTTCTAACATTTTCATATAACAGACATTACATTGAGATTACTATGCATAAATACACATTTGTAGCTGATCAAGCAGGCAGACAGCACTCTCAACAGCAAGCTATGTAGTTCAGCTGGTTATACGTCAGCAGTACCCCAACACAATCTCTGGTGTCCCAAGCCTCACCTCTTGCCAATCTGAGCCTAATACTTTAGGGAATTTGGTAAGCAGGGTAATTCCTCCTGTTAGTCAATGCATGTTCTATTCCAGACAAATGGCAATTTCCATGTATAGATGGCATACATATGTGGAACTCTGTCTGGTTTGTATACTCTTAATCAGGGTGACAGGTTTATGCATGTGCTAACTGAACCAAAAAATCTCTTGTCTCTCAAATATTTTGCCAACCAGATGCAGCATATTAGTTTTGTAACCTGCATTGCAGCGTGTTATGTATTGAGATATTTGACCAGAACATTTGCTTTATGAGCTTTTTTCTGAAGCAATACTGTGATTGGATTTTGACAGAAAGACGACCAAATAAGATTTAGAAATAGCTTGCAATTCTTGACACTTAAATGAAATTGATTTCACGGTCCCTGGAGTATTCTGTCCATTCTCGCACACTCAAACTATCAAATGTAATTTACTGATTCAGATGCATTTATTAAATTAACCCGATGAGGAATGTGTACCTCAATGTCACTTGCATCTTCATGTCACTTGCATTGCATGGGTCATGCTTATGCTGGATAGGTTTAAATGGCATTTATTTTGTAATGGAATTTGCTTGTCTTATTCTCATAACGTAGGACAGCTTCATGATGGACAATAAATAAGATTCTTTGATGAATTGAAAATGGAATCACACCCTTTAAATTCCCCGTGTATATGCAATATTTCATTCTTTCCAATGCAATCTAAAAATTCAAGATATTGTGTAGATTTTACCAAAATCGAATTCTGATTTTTTTTTCTAGTTTTAAATCAATTAATTTAAACTGTTTGAAAATTTTTGTTCTGTGAAGAATTTAATATTTGTTTTCATGTAAGTTGAAAATAATATGAGCAAATTATTTTGCCTTACTAACCATGCAATCACTTATGTGCGAGCCAAAATATTATGCCTATACAAAAATAAAATTAATGGTCTGTTTATACTGCCAACTCCACAGTCAGAATACACACGATTTCTTCCATTTTGCTTTGTTAGCAAGACCAGACTGTTCTAGTCAGTTTACTTGTCACGTGACAGATCAAAACACTAATGTTTTGATCTGAAAACACTAATATTTTGATTATATCGAATCAACAAATTTGAGTCCAAACTAAATTGTTATCGAGGTCTAAATTAATAGTTCTTCAATTCTTTATTTAAATAAATGTCCATTGGAGCCAGTAAATGTTACAGTGGAACAATCTTGTGTTACTACTCTTCCAAGCAATCCAAAAGATTGCATTTGTAAATATAATTTATAGAATTACCAGTTAGCCAAACCTCGTTCAAAACAACAATCTAAAATCTGTCAATTTCAGGAAAAGCTGTCTGGAGTTGAAGGTTGTGTTTCTTGTGTTTTTTATTATCTTTTTTGTCGCCGTGAAGTCTCTGCATCACTAAGGGAACTAACCGGCTGTGCAGGTCTCATGCTTACTTAGAATTACAGAGAATATACAGCAGAATATACAGAATATAAAGCTTGTATCAGCCTTGTGCAACTATCTACCCAAATGTGTGCAAACAGCCTGAGTGAACAGACCATCTCCAATTTTCTCCTGTGGGGAAATGTTTGCTTGACCTGTGCTCAAATGATAACATAGCTGAGAGCAAAACATCCTATAGGGAATTGCAGATATCATGAGAATCCTTGAGGACATCCTGCAGTTTAGTACATTGGAATTCCCCAACTCTACACACCAAATAATAATGAATTTTCACTATCATAAAGATACAACCTGGGAGCGGATGATTTGTGGCTTGCGTGTTTTCATTTTATAATAATAATAATCCTTGCATTTGATATACGTCTTCTAGACGTCTCAAAGAGCTTCACAGAATATACTGTAAAGTGAATTGACTGTATATTTGTGGCTGACATGCGGCAACCAATTGTGCACAGCAGTGTCCCACAAACAGTCGTTGATTGAAGTGACCAATTTATTATTGTTTTTTTCTTGAGAGATTATTATCAGGTGTGTGGAGTAAGGAAACTTGCCCAAGGTTTTGCCAGCCAGGAATCGAACCTAGGTCTCTTGCTTGCAAAGCGAGTGCTCCAATCACTGAGCTACAGGACTCCACTTATGGTGCATTCAAAAGTTAATTGTGTATTTATATCAAAGAATATTATTAATAATAATAATCGTTACATTTAATATTGCACCTTTCAAATCATTAGGACAGCCCAGAGTCCTTCACAGGTTTTACTGTGAAAGGCAGGGACTTAGTATTTGTGGGCGAAAGCAGCAGCCAAATTGCACACAGCAACATCTCACAAAGCCATGACATGAATAATCAATTTTATTTGGGTGATTGTCGGCCAGGACACTGGGAGAAATTCCCTTCTCTTTTCCAATAGTGCTATGGGATCTTTACTGTCCACCTGAACAGGCAGGTGGGACCTCAATTTAATGTTTCATCCGAAGGACGGCGCCTCTGATAACGCAGCACTCCCCCCAACAGTGAAATGGAATGTCAGCTTAGGCTTGTATGAGGTCAAGTCCCAACGTGGGGCTTTGAACCCACAACCCTGTGATTCAGAAGCGAGTGTGCTACCACTGAGCCAGGCTGACATACTTAACATACTGACATATCAAATTTAACCAAAATAATACTATATATAGAAGTAAAGAACGTTTTCTACCCATATTCTTTATAGTGTAAGGATCTTTTACAGTCTTTGCAGAAGTTATTATTTTCTGCTTGTTGAATTGTTGACTTACTACAATATTAAACTTCCTCAACTTTTTGTTTCAGTGGTTAGAAAACTGCAAAAGAACTTTTGGTGCAGGAGATAGCCTCCAAAGAACCAATCGAGATGCGCAAGTAAGTGTGAATTTCATGTTCTTTTCCCCCTCCTTCCCTTCCACTTTATCCAGGTTGTTGAAGTTGGGAAGGACATGAGAGCAAAATGTGTGATTTCCGTTTCAAACTGTAACTATGAACAATTGCAGTGTTCTAAGCTGAATGGATGCAATCTTACATATGCACTTTTGGATAATTAGATTCTCCATAATTCAAAAAGCCTTGTTCATCTTCATAAAAAGTGGAGGATATCGGAAATTTGCATTAGCCTAAATAGAAAATTGTCTGCTAAAATATACAGTGAACCTCCTGATGATAAGATCCTGTCTTATGTCATTACATGGCTTATAGCATCATATCCCAGACGATTTCCATGCAAAATGTGACTAAGGGGCTGGGTCCATTATGTCACACTGACAGCTGCTCGCTCTGCACAGTCACAGTGTGTGGTGTTGTAGGTCCTCCCGGCCACAGCTTCCCCTAGCAGCCCCGGAGGTCTCATGCCTACATAGTCATTCTGGATATAAAGTCACTGAAGCTCTTTTCCCCTGGAGTGACCATACACCAATAGTTTACTGTATCTTGTACATAGTTGTCAACTCTTGTCAATCCTTACTTTTAAAATTAAGAACAACAACAAAATTACATTGGTAAAGCGCCTTTCTCATCGGGAGGACGTCCCAAGGCTCTGGACAGACAGAGTTACGGACCCGAGCTGAGGGTCAGGGTAGAGGAGGGGGTAGGGCAGGGGGGGTAAGCAGGGAGATTGAAAGCACGGTCAAAGAGGAGGGTCTTGAGGTGGGTCTTGAATGTGGCGAGGGAGGGGGCGAGATGAAGGGACTGGGGGATGGAGTTCCAGAGGGTGGGTACAGAGTGGTGGAAGGCCCTTAAATATATCCCTTGCATATCACTTTCAAGATGACAGTTTGATTGCACGTTGCACATCACAAGTAATGTGGTAATACTTCTTTTGAAACGCAATGTATAATTATTTTAGTGTTCTTCTCCTGGAGATAGTGTTACTCTGGCATCTCAAAATTAGCCTTAGTTTTTACAGCATGCATAACAGATGGCTCTTAAACAATGTTATTTAATGCAGTTATTATGACTTTCAATCAGTTAATCATTCTGTATTTTGTAAATATTGTTAAGCATGTTCTAGTCTTCTTGGCAGTTTGAAAAAAAGTGACTCCACTGTTTAATATTATGCTGCTGCCTAAGAAAACAATAGTTGACTTATATAATCTTTCACTGTTGTTCTATTGAGCTGTTCAGGCTTCACCCAATTATATAGGAGAACAATCAGTCTGTGCGTGACTTACATTTACCCTGTTTCACTTTCTGTCTATCATCGTAAATGAAGTAACCAGCGTTTTTATTAGTGGACAAACTGGTTCTTACATTGTTGTGACTTGTTTTCAATCTGTTCTATATTTACCTTGATGTCTCTGAACATGAGGGCTCCAGCTAGAAAAACATTGCAAAAACATTTTAAATATTAGGATTGATTTCATCTTGACGAATATCTTCAAAATCAGTTTTGATCTAGATATGAAATTAGCAACAATAAATTACATTTTGATAGTGCCTATCCTCGTTGGTAGGACTTCCCAAGGCATGGGCAGTGAAGGTTTTGTATCCAAGATGGGGGTTGGAAACAAGAGGGGTAGAGGGCAAGGGGAGATGACTGAGGGCGTGGTCAAAGAGGAAGATCTTGAGACCAGCCTTGAAGGAGGCAAGGGAGGTTGTGAGACAAAAGCACAGAGGAATAGAGTTCCAGAGGGTGGGGGCAGAAAGGCTGAAGGTCTGACCACTGATGGTGGGGGACAAAGTGAGGGGTATGGAATAGGCCAGTGCCTGCCGAGCTGAGGGAGCGGGCAGTTTTGCAACGTTTTATCAGGTTGCAGAGGTAGGGAGGAGCAAGACCGAGTCCTCTGCTCCATAATCAGCGCCCGTGCCTTCAGCCACTACACCCCGAGGCTCTGGAACTCCTTCCTCACTCCCTTCGCCTCGATCGTTTCTCTCCCACTTTCAGGTCTCGGCTGAAGACCTTTCTTTTCAACCGCGCCTTTGGTCACCTTCCTCCCGCTCCCCCTGGCTCGGCCCTGGGATCCATTACTGTGAAGCGCTCTGAGACACTGTCCGGCATGGAGGGCGCCAAGTTGTTGTTGTTTTTGACTGGAAGCCTTTAAGAGTGCGGACGAGGATCTAGAACTTGATCATCAGGGGGATGTGGAGCCAGTGGAGGATGGGGGTGATGGGGTCACTGAGCCTGGTGTGGAAGAGGACACGAGCTGCAGAGTTATGAATAATCTGCATCTTGTGGAGGGAAGAGTTGGGGAGTTATCATAGTCAAGCCTGGATGTGATGAAAGCATGGATGAGGGCCTTGGGGGCCTGAGGGGAGAGTTAGCGGCGGAGGCGGGCAATGTTGCAGAGGTGGCGAAGGCAGAAAGCATATGGCACAGATGTCGGCTTTAAAGGACGGTTGAGGTCAAACAAGACACTAAAGTTCCATCCTAGCTCAGTGAGGTGGAATATGCATCTTTGAATAGTGATGCAATCAGCACCTGAGGTGAAAAGGCCCTGATGGGAGCTAAGCAGGAGAGCCTTGCTCTTGTCGACATTCAAATGGAGAAAGTTGGCAATCCGCTTAGCACATAACTAGTCACAATTTTTGTAAGTATTAACAATGTAAAATTGATCGGATAACTTGTCATAAGATCTCGTCTGGCATCGCAAAGGTCTTCCACCCTATTCTGTGACTGATGCGGGCACTTGGCGGAGGTTGGGCGCTCATGCTCAGATGCATCACAGAGGTCTCTGGCCTATTGAAGGGCCATACTGTCGCCCTAAATCACTAATCCAAATTGCAGTCGTCACATTTCACTACATTTTATGAAAGTTTATTAAAATATTCTCATCATGGTCGAATGGCAAAACAACGGGACAAATGTTGAGCATGAGACGAGAGAGACTGAAAGTAATAGTCTTTTCTGTCTTGTACATTCAAACGTTCCTTTATGCAAGTCACGTGATACATTTTTGCTGGGAAATTCAGCTGAGATTTACAATACAGTAAAAAATACTATTTGTCAATTGCAGAAGAAAAGTGTGCCAAATACTTTACGGTTAGAGCAATGCTGCTTCAAATGCCTGATCATTACTGTTCTTCATTGGAAGCTATGCTTTTAGTGATCACAAGGCTCAGTCAGTGTATCACACATTGAATCCTGGTAATTCACCCTTTTCTTCCATACTTCAGGCGCTGACAGCCCTGTAGCTCAGTGGTTAGAGAACTCGCCTTGCAAGTGAGATACCTGGGTTCAATTCCAGGCAGGGTGAAACCTTGGGCAAGTTCGACCCTCAACTGTCCTTCATCCCCCACATCCGTGCCATGGCCCGCTCTGCTTTTCCCCATCTCCGCAACATTGCCCAACTCCGCCAATGTCTCACATCATACGCCGCCAAAACCCTCATCCACGGATTCATCACATCCAGGATCAACTATGCAAACTCCCTGTCGGCCTCCCCAACTCTTCCCTCCACTGACTGCAGATCATCCAAAACTCTGCAATCCGTGACCTCCCGCACCAGTCTCTGTGACCCTCATCCTCGCCCGTCTCCATGGCTTCCCATTACTCAGAGGATACAGTTCAAGATCCTTGTCCTCCTTTCAAGACCTCCACGGCCTTGCTCCATCCTACCTCTGTGACATCCTAACCCCCAACCATCCTGCTCACTCCCTCTGCTCAGCGGGCTCTGGCCTGCTTCACGTCCCTCGACTTGCCCTCCCCACCCTCTGGAACGCTATCCCACAGTCCCTCCGCCTCGCCCCTCCCTTGCCTCCTTCAAGACCCTCCTCTTCAACCATGCCTTCGATCACCATTCTACCCCTACCCTCCCCGCCCTCCACCCTTCCTGAACCCAACCACCAGCTTGGGTTCGGATCCCTGAATATCCAGCATCTTGGGACGTCCTCCTGATGTGAAAGGCGCTATACAACTGTAATTTGTTGCTGCTGTTAAAAAGAAATTTTGAGTGAGGACAGAGGTCAGTGGGGTCTCCCTATGATTGAACTGGATAATAGTTAGGCAGTCCTACCTAGATAAATGCTGCACTGTTACCTTTTTTAGAATGGTAGTCTAACAGGAATTCTTCTTACTGTTCAAGCTGCTGTTGTATTTTTGTTACATGATGGAAAAATATATTTATCATATTCTATTTGTATGGTGCTAACATTGTGTTGCTTCTATGTATTCTTATCATTTTCTAACACTAAACATCTAACTTGCTAAAATGCAGGCTTTTTATATCATTTATGTTTAAATATTGAATTTTGCAGTCAAAATGAAGGTATTGATTTATAATAATAATAATTCTTGCATTTAATATAGTGCCTTATCATGTGTTGAGACGTCTCAAAGCGCTTCACAGAACATACTGTAAAGTGAATTGACTATATTTTGTGGACAAAACACGGCAGCCAATTATGTACAGCCCCTCTCGAATCTTTAGGCATAGACTTTTACATTACAGATTAAATTATAGGAAGTATTTTGAAAATTTGATTTTTTTTAGAAATTAAACTCAATCCTTAAATGTAACAAATAAGAGTAGCTTGTTGTCCTTGGATAACGAACCTAAAATATTGATGCAATAAGGAATCTAAATATTATTCTGTTTTGTTGGTAACATAAAGATATGTTTGTGACAGAGTTTTGCAAGGGAATTGTGATCAATAAGGTTTTAAAAAGTAAACGTGTACTTTTTAAGCTCTTCAAACTATTTCAATGCCTATGTGATTTACTGAGCTCTTATTATGAAGCTGATATGGATGGCCACCACTATATTCTGTATCATTTTTATTGGAAGAATCCACATGAAACTGCAATTTTGTGCCGAATTATGCATTGTTCATGGCTCTGCAAAAGAATTGCCTAGAGTCTAGAGTTGACTGTATTTTTTAAAAAGTCTGTAAAGGACATCAGTGTATGTGGAATTCAGGGTAGAAACAGAGAGGAAAATTTTAATAACGTCCACAACAACAACAAGATTGCATTTATAGAGCGCCCTTCATGCCGGGAGGACGTCCCAAGGCACTGGACAGTTGGGTCGGGACCCGAGCAGGGGGGAAATGGTCAGGGTGAGGGGAGGGAGGGAGCGAGGAGGGGGTAGAGAGTCGAGAGGGGAGCTTAAGGCACGGTTGAAGAGAAAAAGAGAAAGAGACAATGCAGCAGATAGACCTCTAAAATTGGCCTTAGGTTAGGGAAGAGAAAGTCAAGCCAATCCTGATCCAACATTGCAAAGTGTTTTGTAAATTAATTAATCAGAACTGAAGTGACTAATAATCCTTGCAATTGTTATTTAATTAATTTTGCATGTCACCCTAGCTTAGTTGGTAGCCCTCTTAATCTTTGAGTCAGAAAGTTGTGGATTCAAACCCCACGTCAGGATTTCCAATTTACATAGTCTAGGCTGGCACTCCAGTGCATTGCTAGGGCGTATGTTGCATTGTCGGAGGTGCCTTTGCCTAAAATGTTAATCCGAGGCCCCACTGCCTGTCCAGGTGGACATTAAGGATCCCAAGGTACTATGAGAAAAGAGACGGGAGTTTCTCCAGGTGTCCTGGCCAACAACCCCCAAATAAAATTGGTCACTCACTTCATGGCTGTTTGTAGAACATTGGTGTATGCAAATGGACCACCGCATTTACCTACAAATACACAATCACTGTACTTTGCAGTTGATTTTCTGATATGCTGTTAGACATCGTCCTAGCGTAAAATTTGCGTTAAATACATCCCAGAAACAACTTTGCGAACTTGTAGAATTGTAAAAATTATCACAGTACCTCTGAAGAACATTATCTCTGTTATATATTTGAAACTTCATGTGGAGAAATGTCTGATCTATGTTTTAATTGATGAAATCCTATGAAGTGAGCAAATGTGGTGGCCACATTAAAAATCCTATCAACAGAATTGTGAATTTTGATTCTAGCTGGAGCTCTGATAAAATGGTACATTTGTTCTGACATTAACACTGGGACATCTTTTACCCTGTTTGGAAATGTAACTGTCACTAATTATTGATCTTTTTTTTCCTTCTTTTGTGACCTGCTCACCTTCTTGCTTAGCAAATGGAAGTTCTAGCAGTAAGTGATGGTTCTTGACTTCTAGACATATTAACAGTGTCTGAAACAAGCTGACCTTCATTTGTCGCATAATATTTGTAACTCAGCCAAGTGTCTCTCATTAATCATATGTGTATGTAGATGTTTGTGAACATAGCCTTAAAAGTATGTCATGTGCTTCCATCTGTCTGAGAATGTCATTGTACATCATCTTGTAGTCTTTCATGTACTTGATTACTAAAGCAAAGTCATTGTTTAATATCAATGTAAATTCTGCTTAATTTGGGTTCAGCTATACTGTACTAATACAACTAAATGAGTTATTATTCAGCATTCGAGTACATTCTGAGGTAAATGTAAATGTATTTACCTCAGGATGTGCTTGACCAAATTGTTATATGAAACTATGTGGATTGCCAATAATACATGGTAAATCATTTGATCTTAAAACTCTCTTATGCCTAAATCTGTTGAATTTCCCAGTATTGGGTCCAATTATCATGCATACAGAAACTTCTACATTTAGTGTATCAAAGTCACAGAATCAAGTTAGTTTTATTCTCAGATATATAAAACTTGCCAAAGTAATGCTTTTGATGTATAAGCAGAGAATGGAGAAAAGTAGACAGTAAATCATGTTACTGTTGAAAATTATTCTATTTTCTCACTGTCAGTGTTGGGTTGTCTTGCATATTCCTATTGCAATGATAAGTTTAATGATCCACGTTTCCAATTTTTGGAATATAGGAATATACCCATACATTGCAACTTTAATAAAATATATGTACTGTATTGGAAATAGTGGCTTTAAATGTACACATCAAATCACCATTTTGACAGTGATACTTAATATTTGATATGAGAGGTTTTTTTTCAGGTAGTGATTACCGTTAGAATGTTTTGCATAAATTTGGTATTGAAACTGTGTGGTTAAATATGCTACGACAAAGTCATACATGACACATTATAGAAACACACAGTAATAAAATAAGCAAAAACACCACACATTTTTATCGTCTTAAAGTATTTTTAACACAGTTTCCAAATAGGATGCTGCCATTCCACCAAATAAAGTATTTAAGTGATAATTTCTTAAACATTCCAGGACTATATTTTAATAAACCAAGCTTTATTGTAGCAGAATATAGCTGTAATTCAGTTTTCTAACATTTTGCCATTGGGCTGCATCTATTCTTATTTTACAACAAAGTATTTAATTTTAAAACAATTTTCCTAAATTTGTCTGTTCGTAGGAAGAAGAAATTATTTTGTTGCTTGTTCATGTACTGCTGTAAATGTGTTTGTGTAAAGATGTTATCAGTATTGCAAAAGGAGGAGGAAAAGGACTATCCCAATAACTGGACCAGTGAGTTTAACGTCAGTAGGCAGAACAATGCTGGAATCCAGCATTAAGGGTTCAGTAAGTGCACACTAGAATCAATATAAATTAACTTGGGAAGGTCAGCATGGCTTTGTGAAAGGTCGATTATGTCAAACTAACCTAATAGAGGCTTTTTGATAGAATCCCCAAGGTGATAGATAGAGAGGGATCAATGGATGTCATCTACGTGGACTGCAGAAGGCATTTAATAAGGAATCCTGGATAAGATTTATCAGCTAAATTAAGGCAGTGGAACTTGAGTGGAGCGACCATGTGGATAAGAAATTATTTGGGAAGTAGAAGGAAGCGATTTAGGAATAAGCTTGGCAGAGTAGTTTCCGTTCATCCCCCACGTTTGGTCAGTGAAATGTTTAGTTGAAAAAATTATATATATTATATTATACCTAGATGTTGGAAAATAATGCAGTACAAGTTCAAGAGCATTAAGTAAATAAAGTGAAGTATGGAAAAAAGTAAAAAATTGATAAAGAATGTAGATGGATTGGAGATGTAAGTAGGTAGAATGATAGCAGATACAGAAAGATGACATGCAAATAGTGATTTGATCAATAGGTTGCAGAAAGAAGGGATTTTGATGTTCAATGTCCATAGACCTGAAAGAAATGATCTTGTAGAAGTTAATCTTTCTAATCTGACCTTGGACATTGTGTTTAATGTTTGAGAGGAAATTGATTTGAATCTTCTGGAATATGATTTTATCGGTGAGGTTTAATTTGCAACATTCAAATTTTGCTTTTTTATGTTGCTGGCTTTTGCAATTTGCAATTAACCATTTTGTGAATCTTGCACATTGAACAGCTTATGCTACTTGCAAACCAGATTTTACAATGAGTGCATCGGTTTCAGTCTGTCAAGTTTGAATCCTATATGTGAATGTTAGAGCAAATAATATCTTTTGTTTTCTTTTGTAAGCATAGAACATAATTATTGGATTCCCGTTGAACATACAGAAAGATGGGAAGTTCTGTAACTTTCATTAGTTCATGGTCGATCTTGTCAAATCCCCAGTTGAAAATGTTTGCTGGCTCAGCACATATCAGTGTTAATCAGGATCTGTATAAAGGATTGTGGCATTCCCAGCTTAATTGCAATTGACAATGATCATTTCCCAGGGCCAAGTGTTTATTTAAGATTAAGGTACATTTCTAGAAATGCAATCACTCCTTAAAACACTTTCAACCAAGAATCCATTGCTGTAGATTGTGTTTGTTTTTGCAACTTATACAAGGACTGAGGTGTTAAAACTTAAGTGACTGAAGATCTGTCATATCAAACATGAGAAAATACCTTTTGAGTATTGCCTAATTACTAAAAGAAACTTGACTAATAATGTCACAAAGCACAAGTTGCAACCTTATTTTAAAACATTCAGGTTTAAAATAAGTACAAATATATAATAAACAAATGTTGACTGGAGGCTTGGGATTATAAAGTAAACTATTTTGTTTCGGCTACAGATAATAATAATCATTGCATTTGATGTAGCACTTTATCAGGTTGTTTAGTGTCTCAAAGCACTTCAAAGCTAGGTTCAACCATACATCCCTCAATGTGGGCTTCATAATACACTTAGTCAGTTGTTTATCTTATAATCCTTTTCTGATGTATGCTTTAGCTGCAATTAATCACTCAAATGAACTTGGCATTTTAGACATTTTATCAGCTAACTGTCAGACTAGTACCTGGCATCCACAAATAGGGAATGGCACATTATGAATGTCAGCTCAAAGGTGTGATCAACGATTATTGGGTGGAGTGGATTGGTGATGTTTTTCTAAATATTATCATTTTAAATAATCTGTTAATAATGGCCTGAATTGTCATGGCAATACCAATGTTTTTTTTGTAAGATTAGCCTGTGGCTTAATTTTGCAGACTTGGCATAGTGGTAATGATTTTTAGTGCAGTTTAATTTGCTTTTTTAACTTGACAGTGTACACTTACCAGAGAACCCCATTATATAGGCCTTCTGTTTAGCATGGCCTTGTGTAGAGGCTGTTGTCCTGTGGACCAGTTGCACTTACACCTGGCTTCTGGTGCTAAATAATGGATGACTTCTACCAGGTTGTGGTTGACATTTCTGCCATTAATGTTGCCCGGTGCACATTGTATACAGCAAGTGTTATTGACATCACTTCACAGAGTGACATCAGTGGCATAGTGAGTAGGCACAGGATGCGATCGTTGTCAGCTGCACTTGCAATGCACAGTGCACAGGACATGACATCAGCAGCAACCTGATCACCCTATATTTAGCCAGTTGTTAGCCCTTTGCTTATTATTGAACCCAAAGGACCACATTATGATATGGTTTCCTGTAGCAGGAGACATTTCCTCCCTATAATTAATGAGTATCCATCTTTATTATTTCATATTACGTTGCAGAAACCTGACTATGATTTATCTTCAACTGATATTGTGTGCATTAAAACAGCAGCTCACTAATTTATCTACCCTTAATGTTTAACTTTAGGAGCTGGAGCTGTGTCGAAGGCTTTACAAACTGCATTTTCAACTACTTCTCTTATACCAAGCTTATTGCAAGCTCATCAGTCAAGTGGATACAATCAAGCAAGAGCCTGAGGTAAACCAGCATTTTCCTTTTTTTGAGGAAAAGCCTTGATTAATGTTGTTATTTAGGTAGAATACCTAGTGGCAGGCTCCACTGGCTCCCCATCACCAAACGGATCGACTTCAAGATCCTCACACTCGTGTTCAAAACCATTCACTCTCTGGCACCCCCTCATCGGAGGTCGTGCTTTCAGCCTCTACGCCCCGAAACTCTGTAACACTCTCCCTCAATCCCTCCGCCTTGCCCCTCTTTCCCCTTTTTCAAGCCCTACCTGAAAACCTTCCACATTGACCGTGCTTAAGGTCACACACACCCACCCCGACTCAGAGTCAGGCTCTGCCACTGTTAAGCGCTCTGAGATGCTACTCTGTGTGGAGCGCACTCTATAAGTGCAAATTGTTGTTGTAGAATATAAATTGAAATAAGACAGCACTGCTAATGGCTCTGGTTTTGGCCTGGGCAGTTTGTGAGATATGGTGGTTGATCCACCCTATCTGACTCCTGTACAGGACAATCCTATGCTCTTGTTCACTTAAAGCTTTCTCACTTATATATTAATAGGTAACTGTTATCTACTTCTATATTACTCAGGTGATAAAAATCAGTTTTCTTATTTTCACTTGTTTTCAGGTGATAAATATGTCTGAAGAACTGGCACAGCTGGAAGCCAGCTTGAAAGAGGCAGAACGTACAGCAGAAAGCAACAATGAGGATATTGACATACCTGAGGCCCTCCAGACATGCACAGAAACTGCCATTCACTCTCTTATTGAGACTTTGAGAAACAAGGAATTCATGTCTGCACTGGCTCAGGTCAAGGCATTCAGGTAATTTATAGATGGCTTCAATAGGCCTTTATTTGATTAAATTCCATCAGCATTAACAGCAACAGATACAGATAAATTAACAAATGGACCTGTTTCCAAAACGTAATGGTGGCACCCCAAGGTCTTTATGTAGATGCATTAAAGAGTGGCTTTGTATAGCACGTGCCAAAATATAAATCCTCCTTTGTACCATTTTCTTTCTTAAATGTATTTCTGATAAATTAATTTTGGATTGTGTTTTGTACCAGCTGTCTGGGCCAGTATTTATGAGGCACATTATGTCTATGACCTTGGAGAGACTGGTAGTTTATTGAATGTTTCCAGCAAGATCCATTAATGACGCAACAAAATAATATTTAATATTAATTTTATGTGAGTGATTTACAATACAATATAAATTACAATAGTTATTTGTATAGCGCCTTTCACGTTGAGAGGACATCCCAAGGCGCTGGAACTCGTTGTTAATGCAAAAATACCTTTTTCAAATTACTTGATTGGTCAAGTTTGTGGCCAATTTACACAGATTGAAGCAATGCTACATTTCTTCAACAAGATCAATTCAAGCATTTATCTGCCACATCGGACCAAACAATTTCTAATAAAGTGGAATATTAAACCAAGGCATCCTTTGCATTCAAGTCCATTTTAAGTAAATACTAATTACACAGGAATAAGAGTAGGCCATGCAGCCCCTCAAGCATGTTCCACCGTTCTATTAAATCATGACTGATCTGTTCCTTAACTCCAGTCGCCTGCCTTTGCCCCATATCCCCACAAATATATGGTCAATTCACTTTACAGTCTATTCTGTGAAGCTCTTTGAGACGTCTAGAAGACGTGAAAAGCGCTATATCAAATGCAAGGATTATTATTATTATCCTTTGTTACCCTTACCTAACAAATATAGATTGATATGACATGGAAACAATCCATTCGGCCTGTGTAGTGTCAGTGTCTATACACAATCCCCACTCTTCCTGTTCCACTGGCTCATATCCCTGTATCCCTTATGTAAGCAACAAGTTTTCTCTTCAATACATTGATTTTTTTTTCAACCACGACTCGTGGAAAAGAGTTCCACATTTTCACCATCCTCTCCATTCCTCCTAAATTCATTATTAGGTCAACTACTCACAATTTTAGATTTATGCCCCCGCTTTTTGGATTCATCAACAAGTGGAAACAGTCTATCAACATTCACTTTATTGAATCCTTTCATAACCTTTATTATAACCTCTTATCACATCCCTCTCAACTGACTTCAGTCTAGAGAGAAAGGACCGACCTGTTCAATCTCACTTATCTCTGGTATATCCTTGTAAATCTATGTTTTCCAATTGGTAAAATATCACCCCAGTGACTGACATGGGAAGGAAAAGAGCAGAATCCCACAATTAATCTTGCTGTTGGGAGCGGGAGGGGGAGGAATGTAATTAAACATTGAATTTAAACACGAGTTTCACTGCTATATATGGAGTATGGTTAGCCATTCAAATGATTATAAATGAAGACGTGTGTGATTTTCTTTATTTCTATCTGCAGATCTGTCTGGCCCAGTGATATATTTGGAAATGATGAAGATGACCCAGTTCAGACCCTTCTGCACATCTATTTCCGCCATCAGACACTAGGCCAAACTGGCAGCTTTGCGGTAGTAGGCTCTAACCAAGACCCGTCGAAGGTTTGTTCCAAACTAATGGAATTGAATCTGCAGATTCGGGAGTCGCTCCGAACAGTCCAATCTTACCAACTCCTCGCAAAGGCCTCACCTTCAGCGGATGTTGTCAGTACTGGATTCTAAAGTACAACAATGGCCTCTCCAGAATATTCATCCATTTCAGTGTTAGTCAGAGTTCTGTTCACTATTAACCCCGACTGTCATATTGGCTCCTATTTGCTTTTCAAGCATTCTGCAGACTGCATCTATTTATATGAATACACCGAGGCACGTGAAGAAGAAGCCAGATGTTAAACATAAACAGCCTATTATTTCAGCATTGTATTAAAATTCCGGAGTGAGTGGTTGCTGTACAGAACTAATCAACAGCTGTTTGAGGCAAGTTGCTCCACGTGCCAGGTGTACAAGATTGACTACAGCCATCGTCATGCTTATATTGCAATTATTACACATACGCAATTAATTCTGCAAGAAAACAGCATGAAAGGACGGGGACATGTATTCTTCATTTTCTGAAGACAAGCTAGCTGGAAGACTTCCTTGTATTGATGTACAGTAATAACATTAGCAGGTGGAATGATGCTAAAATCATCTGGGAAATGGCTTTTGGCTGATTGACCTGCAAGGCTTCCTGGTCTATCTATAAATATTATATATAATATATAAATAATATAAGAGTAAATAAAGCCATTAAATATTTGAACTTTTTGCTTTCGTAGAATGTGTGGACAAATATCTAATCATAAACTAAACAGCAAATCTCCTACATGGACAAGTATACCAACTATGGTCACTTTCCATGTGGTAAAGATTATATGTAAGGATTGAAAATTTGATGTATACAAAATTGCAGGCTTGCAGTTATTCTAAAAATGTTTATGATTTATAAAGTCTCTGAAAGCATGCCTGATTTTTTTTCAGAATAAATTTATTTTTTATTAGAACTAATGTGATCCATGGTATGCTGTAGTATATCTTATGCAGATTTAGGATATTTGACAGGTATAATTTAAACTGAGTTTAACTGTAAAACTAATCACGCATCTGTTTTTTTGTTTACTGTTCAGAGATCATTTGCTTTTCTCTGATCAGTAGTTATGTTATAAATACCAGTGGTATCTAACCAAAAATACATGCCTGTAGGGACTTAAAACTGAGTTGCAAAAGGATAAACTGCTGTGTCCCAGCAGCTTTCATTAGAAGTCAGAAAAATAACTTATTTTACTCTGTAAATATTTTAGACCTGTATAGTGTAAAATCAGTATTGTTTTTTCTTGTACATTTGTGCAATGCACTGTTATATGAGAATAGGTGTATAAAAGTAATGCAAAAAAAACACAAAAATGTACTGGTAATGAGTCTTTATCTGCTGTCTATGCAGTCTATGAATTCACAACAACTCTGAGAACAGATGCTATTTTGTCTGCTCCACATGTATTCTTCCACAGAAGTTCAACTTCAGGACCATTCATTATTGGGAAAGAAAGTCAAAGACTGAACACATAATATGTGTTACACTCAAAAGGACTAATATATTGATACCCTTCAGATTTAGAATACTTTGTGAACTTTGTTCACAGCAGGTTGCTTTCTGTGGGGAAAGAAATGAATGTAAAACCACCCATTGGTGATGTACCTGCCTCTGTTTGCTGGGAATGACCCTGCTTATTATATGCATCTATCCTATCCACTGTGATTTTTATTGGGCTCTGTACCATAGAGCATAGAATGTACTGTTGAATTATTAGCATTTGCCTTTTGAGAAAGTGAACTGTAGACCAGAAATAATTGTGATGAATTGTATGAGTTTAAGGCACTGTGCACGCTATCAGACTGCAAACAGTAGTTAATATAATTTAAAGCTCTGTAACCAGTCATAGCAAATTAACAAATCACTGTAATCATTCTTCAACAATGATAAATTATTTTGTTGGCAGTTCTGGATGTTTTTAAATATTTAAAGGATATGCTTAATCACTGAGGTTTTCTCAGTTTATATATTTTGGTGTGTTATTTTATGCCCATCAAGATGAACAATCTTAATGTTGCGAAAATGGAACAGGTTTTCTTTCACTTTTTTCGCACCAAATTTGATACAAACACTCGTCCTTCATATAAGATGCATGGTAAAGCAAATTACTCTGAAAGAGTACTTCTTCCTCATAATAATAATAATTATTATTAGTAAAACAGACATTTTGAGTATATATGGACCTATATCAAATGCAAGGATTAATATTAGTACTAGCAAATGGTAATAATAGTAAATAGGAAGTCTCAATAATAATAATAATAATTATTATAATAAATATTATTATTATCTTCCTCATTCCAAGCATCCGCTGGGTTTCGGTACATGAAAATTTGGGAAGAGACAAAAAAAATTGGAAGCACATTGGGATCTAATATGCATGTATTTCTAACAGGATTCCTTAACGAGGAAACCGGGTGGGGACTGCTTCTGGTAAATAGATTACATCAGAGTGGAGTTCCCACATGATATTTCCTTATTGAGGAATCCTATTAGAAATTGCTGCATGTTAGATCCGAATGTCACTTTAAAATGTTGTTGAGGGACAGCAACTTCCCTCCCCCCGGGCACTATATGGGCATATTGCCCTAAAAGTTTCCGTTTGGTTTTCCCTACCTGTAAAAGCATTTTAAAAAAAAGATCTTCAGTAACAACAGTGTCCATTTGCTCTTTCTTCACGTATATTTACAATGCCTCATTATAATTTTTAATGCTTTCAGTTTGTTGGGTGAGTTATTGTGTTGACTGAGATCCTGCCATTAAATTTAAAATGTCAGCGTTCCATCAGAACCAACCGTTGTCTCCCACATCACTGAAGTGGTTAAAGCACTCGTCTCACAAGCGAGAGACCTGGGTTCGATTCCCTGCACGGCGAAATGTTGGACAAGTTTCCTTACTCTACAAGCCTCTGTTTACCTAGCAGTAAGTAGGAACCCGGCTGTTAGTTGATTGGCGGATCGCTTTTCCGGGGGTAATAATTCCTTAAAAAAAAATAATAAATTGGTCACTTCAATACACAACTGTTTGTTGGACACTGCTGTGTGCAATTGGCTGCCGTGTTTCGCCCACAAAATAATATACAGTCAATTCACCTTACAGTATATTCTGTGAAGTGCTTTGATACGTCTCGAAGATGTAATAATGCACTGCATCAAATACAAGGATTATTATACATTGTAAATTCTTTAACAACAACTTGCGCCCTTCGCGTAGGAAAGAGTCCTGTAGCGCTTCACAGTGGTGGAGTATGACAATAAGCCAAGGGGAGAGGGGTACAATGATACCATGTTATCCTATACCGTCTTTAAGCACTTCACTCAATGTCATCCCGTATCATCTTTACACATTTCCAGCTGGATCTATACAATAGCTGACACCTATAGCAATGGCTTCAATACAAATAGAATTCTAGCCGAGGCTCTCTGCCTCAGCAATTATTCTTATTGGCTTCAGTGCATGAAGTTACCCTTGTCTGGCTCCAAATCGTAGCCAGAAACTATTGGATCAGCCAGATTCTATCCATTCAAAAAATCCAGGCTTCTTCATCGTCACTGCCTCAGGACCTGTTGCTACTTGAAGCATCATCTTAGGCATCCTCAGCTCCTGAGGGAGTGACTGAAGTTGTCACCAGCTGGAGACTGACTTCAGGACTGAATCCACTGTGCTGGTAAGGATATTATTGGATCTGATTGGACCCCACCTCCCCTATCCCTTTGCTGTCAGTTTTAATTTTTAATCTATACCAACAAGACTGCCCAACACTTGGATGCCAAAATGGCAGTGAAGAAAAAATAGAACTCATCCAATACCTCTGAATTGCTGCGGCTGTGACACACTAGCTGACTCGAGACATCCATTTAAAAAACATAGTCAAAATCCTAATGTTGTGAATCTCTGAACGTTTATTGATGGCTGTTAAGGACAGGAGGGAATGGCTCTACTGAGTGTAAGGTTTGGTGAGTCCTAATCAGTCGTCGAACTGTTCAAAGGTACTAACAACTCTCACATGGATCTTGGAGCTGGAATATACATTCCAGATAAAATTTAACTATTCCCATAGCTTCCAGTTTGATCATGAAGGTTTCATGAGGCACTGGGTCAAAGACCTTTTGGAAATCGATGAACGCAACTTGGGTTTCCCCTGAGCCTTATGACATTCTGTAATCTCATGCAGGCCACAACCTGGCCCATTCCTGATGAGAACGGAAGCCAGCCTGCTCCTTTTAAAACCACAAATTTCCAGTGCATCCGATACACGTGCAGTGATTATCTGAAGCACCACTTTAAAAGCCACTGAAATCAGTGAGATTCCTCAGTAGTTCTTGTCTGACTGAGGGAGAAACCACAATTACACTCTGTATCACTGACAGATTGCATGCCTTAGAGAGAATTCTGTGGACCAGGTCTAGAGGGCAGCTATCAGGCGAGTTGGCAGAACCAAAGCGCTAGCAATACTTGGGTGAATGACTCATCAGGATCTTTGGTACAGTTCCACTGTTCTGGGAAATTGTACACTTGGATCTCATGAATAGACCTGTTGAATATTAATAGCAAAAGTACAATTTTGTGCTGCCATAAAATGAATTTTGCAACAGCAAGCAAGGATTCCTTTTACTGTTTTTTTGTAATCCCAAAGAAAAAGTTGTTAGTATCTGAGGTGCTGATTATCACATCAGCATATACTTCAGGAGCTTCCATACAATTTTCTTGACTGACACTGATAATACATGTCTCCCTTTTAAGATCCAGTACTAATATAAGGAATAACTGGGCTTAATGAAAGTGGGTTGTAGATGTGTCCCATTTCACACTACCATTTCAAATGAGTTGTCTTTAAACAGATTACAGTCTGTCACTAAGCCGAGGGGAGGGAGGAGACCATAAGTCGAAGAGGAAGGTTTTCAGTTGTGATATAAAAGGGGAAGAAGGGAGCAAGGTGGAGGGATTGAGGGAGATATCTCCAAAGCTTCAGGGTGTAGTGGCTGAAACAACAACAATTTGCATTTATATAGCACCCTCCACGCAGGGTAGTATCTCATATCGCTTAAAGCGCAGTCACCGATGGTGAAGTGGAGGGGACGATGGTCAAACAGGAGGCAAGAGCCAGCTGAGCAGAGGCAGCAAATTGTGGAGTGGGAGAAAGGAGATGAGAAAGGTAGAGAGGTGCCAGGAAGTGAAGGGATTTGTAGACGAGTGAGAGGATCTTGAAATTGAACTGTTCTACAACAGGGAGTCTGGCGAGAACTGGTGTGATGGGGGTACGTGGTTTAGCGTGGGTGAGAATACGAACGGCAGAGTTCTGAATCAGTTGTAGTTTGTGGGTTGTGGAGCTGAGAAGACTGGTGAGGAGGGCATTGGTATAGTCGAGGCACAAGGCGTGGATGAGGGTTTCGGCTGTGTTGAAGGTAAGGTACGGTCGGAGGTGGACAATGTGACACAATGTGATCATATCCCCTCTCAACCTTTAGAGGGTCAAAGAAAAAGGCCCCAGTCTATCAAGCCGTTCTCTATAACTGCATGGTGTCATTCCAGGCAACATCTGGTGAGTCTCCTCTCAACAACATCCAGCGCCTTAACATCTTTTCCTGTAATGAGGAGCCCAAAACTGCACACAGTATTCGAACTGTGGACTGGTAATCATTTTGTACAGAATTAACATTACCGCATTCGATGCTCTAGTTTTCCATCTATAAATCCCAAGGTTCCGCAAGCTTTTTAATGGCCTTATCCACTTGCGGCACTGCTTTTAGTGACTGTGAATCTACTCCTGGATCCCTTTATTCTACCCCTTTAAAATTTGCCCTTTAAGTTATAGGCTCTTCCTATTTTTTTTCTCCTGAAATGAACTACCTCGCACTTTCTTTCATTGAACTCCGTCCTCCATTTGTCTGCCATTCAGGCATCCTATCAATATCTACAATACATCTATTGCATGTCCCTCATCAACCATTTTTATTATCCCCCTCAAAAATTATAATTAGGTTTATCAAACAGTTTTATGTTACCCCTTTCACATCTGGAACTTGTCCCAAATAGCTTAACAGAATGGCCTGAGCACCTGAGCTGGGGGGTGGAACCGAGTGGGGGGTGGGAGGGGAAATTTGATGACAGCAATGTTAAAGAGGAAGGTCTTGAGTGAAGGATGAGATGTTAAACCAAGATCCCTGCTGCCTGTTCAGGTGGCACTTATTATCCCGATGGCCTAGCCAACAATTTCCCAAACCAAATCGGTCACTCACTCCATGGCTGATTTCGCTCAAAAATACACAGTCAATTCACTTTACAGTATATTCTTTGAAACATCTAGCAGATGTGAAAAATGCTATATCAAATGCAAGGATTATTATTATATTATGGCTGTTTGTGTGCAATTGTACTGCCACATTTGCCTACAAATACAGTGCACAGTCACTCCATTTCACAGTAAATCCAAAAGGATAAGACTATACCAAATGCAAGGATTATTATGATTATAGTATCAACTGTAAGGATTATTATTACTTATGTTACACTACATGATGGGTGCTATGAATGCAAGTTGCTTTAAATAACAGGGACAAGACCATATGGAAGTTGTATGGCTTCTCTTTTCATAGTGGTCAGGCAAATTGTTATTTGTTTGCTACGAATTACCCAATCACTGGACTTTACAGTATATGCTGTGAATCGCTTTGTCCTCTCAACATGATGTCCTCCTGATGTGAAGTCGCTCTTTCAAACGTAAGCATCATTATTATACATGCAAGTTATTGATAGTTATTCCTCTGATTTCCTCCATAGAGTGAAAAGTGCAAAGATGATTCCAACAGTGCTGAGCTGCGCGACATGGAAGGTTTTAAGCTCTTGTCCAGTCCAAGCTGAGTTAACTAATCTCAGCATTTTAGGACATGTCCTCGTATTGAAAGTGCTCTCTGATCTTGCAGCCTTGCAGAAGGAACCCGTTCGCTCCACAATCAGCTCAGGTTTT